CCTTTCCTGTTCAACCCACACCAGTTTGCGTGGAACGACTTCTTCATCGATTACCGCGACTATATTCGCTGGCTTTCTCGCGGTAACTCCCGATCCCATGCCTCCTCTTGGATCGGCTTCTGTCGACTTTCGCGTACTCGCATCACTGGTTACAAGCGGAAACTTCTTGGTGTTCCATCGGAGAAGGGCTCTGGTGATGTCCCCAGAGCGCGAATCACGAACATCTTCTTCAGCGAAATCATTGCGCCTTTGCTCGGCGTTGCTGTGACACTGATTCCATACCTCTACATCAACTCCCGAACCATGTACTCCGATGATGTCAAATGGGCCGCGGACCCTATCCTTCGTATTGCGATCGTCGCTTTCGCTCCTGTCGGTATCAATGCCGGTGTCGCGGGCATGTTCTTCGGTATGGCTTGCTGTATGGGCCCAGTATTCAGCATGTGCTGCAAGAAGTTCGGTGCTGTCCTCGCCGCTATCGCCCATGCTATCGCCGTGATTGTGTTCCTGATTATCTTCCTGGCTATGTTCTTCCTTGAATCCCTCAATTGGGCCCGCACTATTTCAGGAATGATCGCTGCCATGGCTCTCCAGCGATTCATCTACAAGGTGATCATTTCTCTCGCATTGACTCGTGAATTCAAGAACGATCAATCCAATATCGCTTGGTGGACCGGAAAATGGTACAACATGGGTTGGCACTCTCTTTCTCAGCCCGGACGTGAATTCCTGTGCAAGATCACCGAACTCGGTTATTTCGCCAATGATTTCTTCCTCGGCCACATTCTTCTGTTCGCCATGCTCCCGGCCCTTGCCATCCCCTATGTTGATACCTTCCATTCGGTCATCCTGTTTTGGCTGCGCCCAAGGTACGTATCTCTTCAGCTTGGTTTCAACATCTGTACTAACTAGACATGCTTCTAGCTCTCAAATTCGCCCTCCCATCTATTCTCTCAAGCAGTCCAAACTTCGCAAGAGACGCGTTGTCCGCTTCGCCATTCTCTACTTTGTCATGCTTGTCATCTTCGTTGTTATTATCGCTGCGCCTGTCGTCATGCGGAACACGGGGCAATTGGATAGCGTCCTGAAGGGCGACCTGTGGAAGAGCCTCGGTGTATCCAAGACCAACGCAGTTGGCCTCCTGCAGCCACTTGATCACGGGCTCAATGACACCGTCTCCTGGTACACCGGCTCTAACATCCCCAAGGGCTACTCCTCGGGCAGCATCCCGGCAGCCTCGGAGGGTACCGGCGTGTGGTCCATCTAATCGCTTCGGCGAAATGACATCGGAATGCTTTGTACAAAGTTATGCGTTTATTAAAACTCGCTGCATTTTTCTGAACTCACGGGCGCACAATTTGATCTTAATGAATGGTTGCTTCCAAATATTGTTTGTGGAATGACACTTGTATGAAAGGGTCTTCCAAGTCATCCTCGGGGGTTTACCTTCGTTTTTCCAGCTTTCTTTGCTTGTTTTATTTTACACTTCTACCGGAATTAAATTGCATTGCTTTCGAGAAATTGTCTCTGACATTACTCAAGTCGTAGTCTCCAACTTAAATTTACAATCTCCCAAGTGCCTGCAACGCCTGTGGTCGAACAGATAGGTCACGTGACACGGAGGTTCCCAGGGCTCCCCGTTTCATCTTCCCTCCATCATACACACCTATCTCTCGCGTCTCTCTTTAACCTATTGCGTTTCTGGTATCTCGCCGGCCTGGCGCACCCCACAGCAAGCGCTCTTTTCGACCCTCCGCCATGGATCTCCAGGAGACCCAGCGTATCCTTTCCGTATATTTGCATGAACTCGCGGATCTATTTCACCGTGTGCCTGGTTCCGCAATCCTCCTCCGCTACGTGAAATCAAGCTACCAAGATGACCCAATTCGTTCTGCCGTTGAACTTTTCCTCTTCCTTTTCGCGGTGCGATATCTGCTAGCGCCCAAGTATTCGACTAAACCGGGCGTCGTACCACTCACGGAAGATGAGATTGATGACCTCGTGGACGAATGGACCCCAGAGCCCCTCGTCGGGACCCCGACGACGTTGGAGGAGATGGAAGTTGATAAGCGAACTGTCATAGTTGGGTATTGTACCCCAATCGTTCCCATCGCTTCAGCCTGGCGTACTCAGCGGACATTTTACTGACGGATGGAATGGGATCTGCAGTCCCGTAGGCCCCAAATCGAAACTGGCCAACGGCCGCACCGTTACGAACCTTGGCTCCTTCAATTTTTACAACTTCAATACGAATGAGTCCCTCAAGGAACAGGCAATCCAGACACTCCGCGCTTATGGAGTCGGTCCCTGTGGACCCCGTGGTTTCTACGGCACACAGGATGTTCACATGAAGACAGAAGATGATGTGGCGGCGTTCATAGGGACCGCGGCTTGCATTATGTACTCCCAAGCCTTCTCCACCATTTCCAGTGTTATTCCTGCCTTCTCGAAGCGTGGAGATATCATCGTCGCGGATAAGGGGGTTAGCTTTGCGATTCGCAAGGGTATTCAGATCTCTCGAAGCATTGTCCGGTGGTATGAGCATAATGACATGGAGGATCTGGAGAGGGTGCTCGCGAAGGTCACCAAGGAGCAAGCCCGGAAGCCCCTGACTCGCAGATTTATTATCACGGAGGGTTTATTTGAGTCTTATGGTGATATGGCGGACTTGCCCAAGATCGTATGCGATCCCGTTAACTTAAATCATGCTACCCGTGCTTACAACTGTCGCAGATTGAACTCAGACTCAAGTACAAGTTCCGTCTGATCCTTGATGAAACCTGGTCCTTCGGTGTTTTGGGACGCACTGGCCGTGGTATCACGGAGCACCAGAACGTCGATGCTGCCGAAGTTGATATGATTGTGGGGTCACTGGCTGGTCCCCTAGTTGCTGGTGGCGGCTTCTGTGCTGGTTCAGAGGAGATTGTTCACCACCAGCGTATTTCGGCCGCTGCTTATACCTTCTCCGCTGCGCTTCCCGCTTTGCTCTCGACTACCGCCAGTGCCACTATCAACATCCTTCAGAACAACCCTGAGACAGTGTCACAACTTCGGGAACTCACAAAGGCCATGCGGGCTCAGTTGGATCCTCGGAGTGACTGGGTTTACTGCACCAGCGCGCCTGAGAATCCTATTCTGATCCTGGTCATCAAGCCGGAGGTTGTGGCTGCTAAGCGGCTTACACCAGACGACCAGCAGTTCTTGCTACAAGATGCAGTCGATGAGGTACTATACACTGTCTCCCATTATAATTCTCTTTGAGTCCATTTCTAATTTTCTCGCAGTCTCTCGCCAACGGTGTTCTAATCACGCGGCTGAAGACCCTCGAGGACAACTTCGAGCCCAAGCAGGTTGTCCCGGCAGCCCTGAAGGTGTGCGTCACTACCGGTCTCACCAAGAAAGAGATTGAAAAGGCAGGAACAATCATTCGACATGCGATTACCAAGGTGATGAGCAAGAGGAAGTAATTCCTTCCCCTGCCTCTTAGCTTCTGGTCCTGACCAGATATCCGATGACTGCTCACGCCCACTATGACTTCGGCATCTATCGATTCTCTATTCTCCCCAGTCGACCTACGCCCTAATGCCCCTTCAATACTTGTATTGTTACCTTGTCGATATACATTCTTATTGCATGCCTTGTACAGGCCCGCCTTTTTCTCTCTTTGTTGGCGGTATGATTCTTTACCTGTGCATGGCTTTAAGTTGTTTAATACTATTCTTCTGTCCTTGGCTCTTTGATTCAAGGATGTGTCTATTTTTTCATACATTATTCAGACCCAGAACCCCTCCTTGTCCTATGGAATGGACGGTATTGCTTCATGTTCCGATTTATTTGCTTTTCTTCTCTCGCTATAGTAGTATCCACGGCCACAAGATTGAATCGTCTGCCAGGCAGATATTAACAAAATCCAGAATTTGAATGTCCCCTCGTCGTTCATTTGATGGTCCTGAGCATCATCAGCAAACCAAAAGCCCAATATGTCCGGGCCAGGCTTCAACCCTAGAACTGCCCCTTCCTCCGGCCCCTTCCAATGTCTCTCAATAATATCAGATAATTCTGGCCAGCATTCTATGTCACATTCTTAACGAATCCCTCTGTGTCCCCGGGAAACCCCCGAGAATGCGCCCCGCATTCCATCTACTCCATCATCAAGAGCATTCCCGGTCCATCTCCAACTTCGAGATCTTGTACGATGTCTCGAACCAAGATCTCTCTGCCGAGGAAATCGGAGGCCAAAGGGGCCTAACCAAGCCAATGGGCATGTTTGGAACTTGGAAACTCCCAGATTCCATTCCACATGTCCTCCCCAGATCGAGGCGCTATGCTTGGCTATCCTTGCCTTTACATGCTCTGCTAATAAGTCCACGTAGGTGGAATTCCGTGCTCAAGTCTGTTAGAACGGTTATAATGGGTCCGATCGGCACCATATGCGTGGGTTTCCTTTTCTAGATGGTTGCAAAGTTACTCATGTTATGATCGCCGTCGACTAAGTTCAGAGACTAAGTTCAGACCACTTCACTCGAGGGATTTACAGATCAGCTTCCCTAGGAAGAACTCAGCTGGAAATGAAGCGCCTGAGTAAGGCGCTTGTTGGCTTGCTACTTGCATGTGGTGTTTGCGCCAAAGCCGGGGGTAAGAACATCATTGTTCATTCCTGGAAATAATCTCATGCTTATATTGGATTTTGCTGATTTGCCATAGTCGAGAAACAATCTCGTGGAGATGTCGCCCAACTACCCTTTACCAAAGAGGTAGTCGTCTGGGTCAATGAAAAGGGAGAGCGTATCAGCACGGAAACTCACTACGTTCAAGCCTTGACTGCCGCACTACACGAGAATGTTAGTAGATAGAACTGTCCCCGAAGAAGAGAAGAGATATTGGTCTCTCATCAAAAACCAGCCCTAACTCCCCCATCAAAGCAACCCCCAATATCAATCCCAGACACGGATGGGTCCGATATAGCACCGCCACATGTTCTATCCAAGAACAACGATGACATGAACGACCACCATATCCCAGTCAAAGGAAAGCTCAAGGAGCTACAACACCCACATGCCCACCCCAAACCGCCCGTTCCTCATCCCCATCCTCACAAGCACCAGCACCCGCACCCGCACCCGCACCCGCACGCCCACTTCGGCATCTCCTACTCTCCATACAAAGCAGACCGCACCTGCAAGGACCAAGAAGAAGTAAACCAAGACCTAGACCGAATCTCCGAATACTCCTTCGTCCGCATCTACGGCACAGACTGCGACCAAACGAAAACAGTAACCAACGCCGCACGACAACACAACATGCGCGTTTTCGCCGGCGTCTACGACCTAACCAATTTCCCAGCGAGCCTCAGCGCCTTCGGCGACGCAGTAACAGGCCCAGACGGCAAAAAGGACTGGTCAATCTTCCACACGATCGCCGTCGGCAACGAGCTCGTAAACGCCGGCACCAACTCCGCCGGCGACGTCGTGGCCGCCGTGCAAAAGGCACGCTCCGTGCTCCGCGCCCAGGGCTACAAAGGCCCCGTCGTCACAGTAGATACCTTCTCCGTCCTACTCGACCACCCGGAACTATGCCATGTCTCCGACTACTGCGCTGCGAACTGTCATGCTTTCTTCGATGCTACTCAGCGGCCTGAGGGTGCGGGTGCGTATGCGCTCGAGCAGGCGCGAAGTATCTCCGCGAGAGCGGGTGGGAAGCGTACTATGATTACGGAGTCTGGGTGGCCGCATGCTGGGGATGCGAATGGGGTTGCTATTCCTTCGCCGAAAAGTCAGGATGCGGCTATTGCGAGTTTGAGGAAGAGTTTTGATCACCGGAGGGAGGATCTGGTGCTTTTTACTGCTTTTGATGATCTTTGGAAGGAGGATAATCAGTTTACCTTCAATGCGGAAAAGTTTTGGGGGATTCATAGGGGTTTGTAGAGAGCGAGAGCTCTGTATAAACCCCTTTGGTGGTTCGTTTCCTTTTTGGTCTCTTTTGGTCCAGTCAAGCTAGGACTTTGGGGCTGGCTTTTGCTCCTTTCGATAGATTGTTCGTGTACATACATTATTACTCTTGGAATAGCATTACAGTCGAATGGTGAAGAACGACGTATTAGGATGAAGCTTGATATAGTTTCGCTGATGATATTATTATACATGATAGTCTACACTCTATACATTAAAAGTAACCTGTGCAAGATAACCCAAGAGCTCAGCGGGGGAAAGCCCGAGTTGCCTGACGTTGCCACGCCTCTTCCTCTGAACGCGCCTCGATCTGATCCATCCAACCGTCCTTACAGGTGAGCTCATGGAAAGCCTCCTTGTTAGACGGCAAGTCCCAGAAGAAAGTCTTCTCACTCGGGGATTTCCGATGGGCCTCCACGTCCCGGGCTTGGCGAATGATAAGTCCGGTCAACATACCGCGGGACTTGCTACTCGGGTTGATGCCCAGCTGGTTCATCTCACGGAGGATTGAGACCACAGCGGGAAGATCTTTGCATACTCGCCAGTGGTAGTGGATCAATTCATCGTATAGGCCAGATGAAGCACCGAGGAAAGCAGAGACACGGCCGTAGCCTTTGATAGTCGAGCGGAACTGAGGGATGAGCGGGGAATCGCGGAAGTGAGTGTTCAGCAGGCGGAATGCGACCAGGAGGGTCTTGGGGTATAGAGATACCACGACGGGGGCGACTGGGACGACGGCTGGGACTCGGAGAGGTCCTGATGGCCGAGCGTGTGGTTCGGGCTGGTCTGTTGTGCTCAGATTCTCTGGGTCTGAAGCCTCCTCGAGAGATTTCTCGTCCAGGTGGCGCAGCATGGAGAAGATGCGCTCTTTGCATACCTCCCACACACCCAGGTCGCCCTTGCCATCCTCGATGGCTTGGAAAAGTGCGAATTCTATGTGCTCTGATTCTGCTTTGACGACGATCTCAATCGCCCTCCGCAGGCTGACGGTTACTTCGGCAGCGCTGGCTGTGGCGGGCTCGGAGTAGCCCAGATCACGGAGATAGATTCGCTTTAGACCTTGGTTCTCCGCTGGGACTTGTTCTTCTGTTTTTGACTTTTCTTCTCTCCGACGAGAAGAATAGCCGTCCTTCTGTTGCTGCCTAGCTTTTGAAGCCGCCTTCTTTTGCCTGGGGTCTTTGAGCAGATTGTTGAACACCGACACGAGCTCGGCCATTTCCGCCTTCTTCTCCTCGCTCATTGGTTTCAATGAGCTCGCCTCGGTAGTGTCCCCATCGTGTTTGAATCCAAGCTGCTCTAAGAGTCCTCCAAATACCAGTTTCTCCTGAGTTGTGATCTTCGGAGCTGTTTTCGTTGTCTTCTTCACCACAGATGGTCTGAGGCTAGGCCTTTCAGATACAGATGCTGCTCGTTTCTGTAGATAGCTTCGTCGCGGTTTTGGAGCTGCCTCACTCGTTGAGCTGGAGGTAATTGACTGTTCAGAAGTATTTTGACTTGTGTCATCCTCCGCTAATGATTTGTTCTCCGTCGCATCATTGGCCTCGGAGTTGTTCTGAGTGGAAAAAGAGCGCGGGAAACGGCGATTGAATTGTTTTCGGGCCGCGGATGAGAGTGGCGTAAGTGTTCGAGTGTGATATAGGAAAGGAGCTGTAGAAGTGCTTCTTGAGAGGAAGCATAGCTGGGTAATATTTGTCGCCATTGCTAAGTCGTTAGGTCTGCACTTGCGCAGCCTTGTTCGTGCACTTCTCAGAGTAAATCCAACCTGGAGTAAATCCTACTCTGTCTTCTCTTCCACCTGTTCAAACCTTGCAACTTCTATCCAAAAAGAAAAAAGAGAAACAACAAGAAGATTACTTCCTCTTTTTTTCGACAAGCACGGACTTATCGGCGATCCCGCAAAGTCACATGATGTCGTGTAACCGGCCCACGCGTGTCGAGGACGTGCCTCGCACCCCCGAGGCGCAAACTGCATACGAATCAAGTACGCCCGAAGACCCTGGAACCAACATGTTAGGGAAAAGTGAGTTGTCAGAATTTGAACAGCAGCGTTTGGCAAACATTGCCGAGCGCGATGCGCTGTTGAAAAAACTTACTCTCGAGTCTCAATCCTCGGGGCTCTTCGCAAGTCCCAAGACTCCCGGCACCAATGGCGCAAAGCCGAAGAAGCGTCCAACCCCAAAAGTGAAAACCGAGGAAGAGGCGGTTACGCCTCGGCGAACATCCTCACGCCTCAAGGGCATTGCAGCCGAAAGTGAAGTAGCAAAGCGCAAGGCCGACGACGAGTATGAGGCGATGCGCGAAGCGGATAGACTCAAAGAGGATGCGCCGGACAGACTCGTTCAGCCAGGCGGATATGTTTGTTTCGGGCCAAAAGCTGAGCGCCGATAGCTTGATCGGCGTGGATGTCATTACAAAGGGTGTTGCGAAACCCTATGAACGAACCTTCGGAGATGACGAAATTGAAAAGACGACAGATAAAGACCTGAAGGCTCTTCGGGAGGAGATGAACGGGCTTCAATTGTGGGAATCTTGGGACCCTCAACGTAATGACTATACTCTCTATGTTGACAAGCTACCATTCTAACGCATTCTCGACCATTACAGGGATCAAGATTACCCCGGAGCGTGTATACAGCATGGCCTTTCACCCGTCTGAATCGAAACCCCTCATTTTTGCGGGCGACAAACTGGGCCACCTGGGCATGTTGGATGCCTCTCAGGAAAAGCCATTGGCGGGCGAAGACGACGACGATGATGACGATGACCCGGACCCAGTCCTCACCACCCTCAAGCCACATACCCGGACCATCAGTGCAATGATGGTCAACCCATCAAAGCCAACACACCTGTACACGGCCAGTTACGACAGCTCCATCCGATCCCTGGACTTGGAGAAGATGGTGTCTTCAGAGACCTATGCTCCTGAATCCACCAACGTTGACGAGGCGCTTTCCGGAGTAGACATGGCACCCGATGATCCGAACACCTTGTACTGGACTACATTGCAAGGTGGATTCGGGCGGTATGACACCCGAACACCACGAAAAGACAGTAACGTGTCCAGCTGGGAACTTTCGGAAAAGAAAATCGGAGGCTTCACACTGTGTCCCTCCCAGCCAAATTACTTCGCAACGGCAAGCCTGGATCGATTCCTGCGGTTATGGGACTTGCGCAAACTCTCGCCGGATGATCCCACTCCAGTAGCCGAGCACGAAAGCCGGCTGTCGGTCTCCCACGCAGCTTTCAACGCTGCTGGGCAGATTGCGACGTCGTCATACGATGACACGTTGAAAATCTACGACGTTGGTGCAAAGGGCCTTTCTTCGTGGAAGCAGGGCCACAAGCTTGGAGAAAAGGACTTTACTCCCGACACAGTTGTCCGCCACAACTGCCAGACTGGCCGCTGGGTTACCATGTATGATTATCCCTTTCTTTCCTCACTTGTGTCCCTTTTGTTTTTGCCAAAGTATTAAGCCCTAACTTTCTTATATAGTCTCCGCCCTCAATGGCAACTGAACCCGCAATCTCCCATCCAGCGGTTCTGCATTGGCAATATGAACCGTTTTGTCGATGTGTACAGTAGCAGTGGTGACCAGCTTGCCCAGCTTGGTGGCGACGGTATCACCGCTGTTCCTGCTGTGGCTGTCTTCCATCGTAGCAAGAACTGGGTTGCTGGTGGCACCGCTAGTGGCAAGCTCTGCTTATGGAAGTGATATGTATACTTCGCTGATTTCTTTCTGTTGTTTCTTGAAGCATGTCGCTGTGCAGCTTATTTGCTAATTGTTTTATTGATATGTGTTTCGATCTTTTTTCGAAGCGGTGTTGTCGGAGGGGTGTTGCCCAGGGTTCTGTTTATCCCCTGCTGTCTTGTTATGGCCAAAGGTGACATTTGATATGTGTTTTGATCCGATGTACAGAGGTACTCAATGAACAGCATCTGACGTTACCATTTCTATCTAATAACGGAGTTACAAGCACTGCAATTGTGCATCAACTTTCCAAAACGAGAACACCAATCCATTCCATCTATTGGAAGAATATAAGAAGAGTAAAAGGTATTTACACGACGGCCACCATCTCCAAATGAAATCCAAACACACAAAAAGACCCAAATGATTCCTCAGAATGGCGAAAAAGAGAAAAACACAAGAGCCTCAGCCGAGTTCAAAATCAGATTGTGTTCTTTTCTTTTTTTCCCAAAAATCCAGATCCTTACTTTTCAGCTCTCTTTGTTTTATCTTAGAGCTGGGTTGGGGGAGATGTGTATAAGGGAGGGCGGGACCATGAAACACACAATCAAAAGAAGGAATGGGTATCAACACCATGACACATGCTTAGAGGAGAACATAGACATATAGATGACCAAGAAGAACAGAACTCGAGGAGGCAAGATGGAAAGGGGGAGTTGAGAGAGAGAGAGAGAGAGAAAAGGGGAGAAAAGAGGAACGTTGAAATCATGAGCACATGGGAAAGAGATAGGAGAGGGAGAACAAAATCAAAAACGTGCAAGGATAAAAGGAGATGCATGGGCAGACATTGGTGCATTAAGACTCATTGCGTAGATCCTCGTGCGAGTGGTTTTGATTCTGGTCACGGTCCTTGGCCTTGCGTCGGGAGGGTGCAGGAACAAAGTCAAAGAAGCGGTACTTGCTCGAGGAGGACTCTTTCGTGACGCTGGCCCTGCGTGCCTTGGAGGAATCGGAGTGCTCGAGCGAGTAGGTCGAGGAGTTCTTCGAGCTTCCGGTGCTGTCGCGTGGGTCAGACCAACGTGGGATGGAGAATGGGATGCGGCTTTGGTCCCAAGTCGCCGATGATGAGCTTGGGGGCGTGTCATCCTCGGCATCGGGGACGTGGTCAGTGGACCGGCGGGGAAGTGCAGGACGCGTAGCAAAATAGCCAATCGAATTGCGATGGCTGCTTGGGGCCGGTGCAGTACCAATTGACGTTTCTGGCGCCGGGGTATTGGGTTTGCTTGAGCTTTCGTCGTAGAAGGTTACGGGTCGTTCCATCGAATCCACCAGTGCTTCCCATTTGATCTCAAGGTTCCCATTTGGCCGCTCGGCTTGCTCTGCTCTTCTGAGACACTCCTCAGTGCGTGCCTGCAAGCGAAGGGCTTCTTTCTGGAACTTAGCCAGGCTGACGTCCAGCTCGGTCAATTCGTTGAGTCGTTCGGGGGAGATATCAAGCCAGACACGTATCAAGTTTGCGAAGGAGCGAGCATAGTCAATGAGAAATGGAAGGCTAGGGAATCCCTCGCGCGATGTGGGCGGCAACCGCCCAAGGATTTGGATGGGAGTGGTGTAGGAGGGTGTGACGACAGGAACTGGTCGGTCGGCGGGGATAGCACAAACCGAATCAACAAAGTCCTTGAATTCCGAGCGATGAGCGACGAGGAATTTGTTCATCGGTTCCATCCAAGGTTCTTTATTGCCGAATGTTGTCATATTGGCCAGACCCTGCAAAGCTTTGGCAATGAGGGTCAAAGTTCGCTGTGCACGAGGACGAGGGTGATCTGGAGGTGGTTAGCAAAAAGAAAGGGGAAAGAAAAAAAAAACAAAAACAAAAAAACAAAAAGCCAAGGTGCGGGCGTATTCTATACCTTTCAAGAGGCCGAAAAGCTTCGGGTTCAGAATGGCCGGACAGAAAAAGCGTAGGAACAGGAAACCAGAAACACTACTGTACGTCACAGACCGGAGGAAGTCACCATAGCGATCGTCTGCACATGCCCTAACATGCCGGAAGATGCGTCGCAGTTCTGGAGGACACCTCGACGCAGATCCCGCAATGGAGTTCCACACGCTTGTAGTGAGGGCTGTAAGGTTTCGCCAGTTGCGATCAAGATCCTCGTGGCGTGGAACTCGAGATGGATCGACTTCGCATTCCGGATCGCTCTCATCGATATCACGTAGTCGTTCCGCGATAGTTTCCTCCAAATACTGCTTGCCCAAACGACGCATGTGAAGATCGAGGGCCTTGGTTAGAAGCGAGTTTCCACGAAACAAGAGGTTAGCCTCCACAGTGGCCGTCCTTCCCATGTCCCTGACAAGGACCTCGCGCTCTTGACTAGTCTCCTGTGAGTTGTTCGAATGAATCCTCGTCGTATACCTCAGCCGGTTGGTGGTGGATTCTTTGTGGACCCCATCGATTTCATCTTCAACCAAGGCTGAGATCCATTCCACCGTTGACCCCGAGACCTGGTAAATGTTCAAAAGCATCTCGGCCAGGTGATTTAGCTCCGACGACATCAGCTGTGCCATGTTGATTGTGAGGCCATTGGTGAAGGAGTGGAGAAGTTCCGACATCGCCGAGTACTCATCGGACATCAAGACAACGGTTTCCTCCATCCGGGCTCTCATGAACATCTCGCCAATTGCCTGGTCTTGATTATCCAGGATAGGCCACCACTTTTCGATATCCACGCCGGCATCCAATTCTTCAAGTCGCAGGTCTACCCGTCCGAAGATGATGTCATTTGCAGAAATCTCGATCTCATCCAGCATGTTCATAGCACTCACATCTTGATTGGGTGCGTATGTTCCGTTGGCGACAAGTGTCCAGTCTCTCTGTGTCGGGTTAAGAGTTTTGACGAGGATGGAGGCTTGTGATAGTACTGGCGGCAGATCAGGGAAGAGGAAATCTTCCCGCCAGAAAGGATTCATGGTGCGATATTTGACAGCAGTCTTGCCACGAATTTCCCCATCTAGGAGCACCTCCGTGTAATAGTCGCTGACCTTCGAGCTTGAAACAGGCATGCCATGTGATCTTGATGCCTTTCGGCTTCCGGGGAGTGTCTTCCTCTCTGGCGCGAAACAGCTTCGCCTCCACAATTTTCAAGCTCAAGAATCGTTCAATCCGAAACATGTCTTTGGTCGAGGGTGGGTCGGTGGTCTCGGCTTCTGGTGTTTTATCGGGATCCTCTCCCTGAGACACAGGACCGTAAAGTTCTGGGATTGTGAATGCGCGGAGAAGCACAAACCACACCTCAAAGAGAACGCGGCTTTCAAGAGCAAGGTATATAGGCCGCAGGTTGGAATCGGGTACTGGGTGTGCCGTATATTGAGGGTAGATAGCAATGCAAAACTCATCATCCAACACCGAGGGGTCCAGCTGCTGAATAGCGCAGCGTGATAACTGAGATAACTGCACACATGCTAGGAGAGCCACGTCGGATTCTGTGTAGAGCTTAAAAAAGCCGTTTTCTTGTAGTGTGCAGCTCACCTTCTGCCACGAGGAAGAAAGGGCCCTTGACTGTCTGTACGTGGACACGCGGCGTCCGGACACCGGCATTGCACCGGAAGCAGACGGCTTGTCCCATAGAAGCATCTTGCCAACTTTGATGATAGTTGCATCCTTTTGTGCTGCACTTTCCGAGTTGCGTCGACGTTTGGGGATCCGCCGGTCTCCAATCACAACCTCTTGAGGCTTTGTCATCTTGTTCTGAACACCTTTGGGCCGAATTGGTTGCCAGCAAAGTAGAGCTGCAAGCCAGGAATCAAAGGTCTCGTTCACGTGAGGTCGCAGTTGTATCCCAAGCCCAGAGGTAAATGTGTGAACGCTCAGATAGGTGCATTGGAGCTCAGGATCCCACAGTGTGCGAACTCGACAACCACGTAGATCTGGAATTAACGTTTTGGCCAATGCCGGCTCCCCCTTGGCTTGGTAAATGAGACTTCCAGTAGCGACGTTAATGGCGCAGTATCCGGATGTCCAGGCAGTGGTCGAGGCTGTTCGAAAGGATAGGATTCCATGCATTCTACCACAGGTAGTCTTCATCAACTGCAGGATCTTTGTTGCTTCTGCACCCGAGAGGGGTGAGGAAAACGAGTCTTGATTTTGTGCTCCACCGGCGACCAGGCCGGCAGCTTTACTCAGTCGATGGCGAGGGACGGTCTGGCTGCTGTATTTCGGGGTCTCAATCGACGGAAAACCGATGGATGACGAGGGATCTTCAGGCAATTTTTGTTGAGACGGACTGGCTGTGTTAATTGACCCGACCCGCGTTCGAGCTTTGAAGGTGCTGGGGGTGATGTCGTTGCGTTGCTCCTCAGCTGCCGTTGTCCGCGATCGCGCCCGTTGACTCCTTGCTTCCGGAGGATCTTCTTCGCCTGCCCCAGATGAGTGCTTGTTGAAATCCCGACGACGTTCGGGTTCGTTGGGCCGTGGTCGTACGGTATTTCGAGGCGAAGAGGAAGCACCCGTGAGGTGCTCCGGTTCGGATAAGGGGGAATGGTTGGCGGGGGAGTGCGACTCTGGCGTCACAGTTCGAATGCTAGTGTCTCGGAAACTGTCGGGATAGACCATACCATGCCGATCCCTAGATGAAGACTTCTTGCTTGCACGCCGTTCCACTGGACGACTGTATAGTGCTTGGTGCATGGAGCTCCGCTTGAACGCGTTCGGATTCTCGGGGTCCATCTCGTTCGGTTATAGACAGCCCCCTCGACAAGTGATGGACACAAAACGAAAATGAAACTCGTCAATATATGAGGAAAGGAGAGAACAGATTCACTCCCTACTCGCGCCCAACACAACCTCCCTCAAAACAATCGGTGAAAGAAGACCTTGTTGGCACCCGACGTATGCGGTACGGCTGCGCTTGTATAATTGGGAGTCGCTTTTTGTCCAGGAAATTGTTATGAGACCACATGGAGTCCGGTGAGAGGTTGGGTATCGGGGTCGCACATTCGGTCCAGGCGCCGGAAGAGGGGAAGTAATGGGAGACCAGGACAAAGGAGGCGCGGGTCACCGTCGTTTGTCTGAGAGATGCAGGAGAACCTAGCGAATGCGGTGAGCGTCCAATCCTCCGGCCAGTCGATAGCGATAGTGTCGCTGTCAGTGTCAGTGACAGTCCTTGGGAAAAGGCGACCCGGGGGGGGGGGAAATTGGTGGGAAGGGCGTGATATCATTATTAGTGGAGGGAGGGGAGGGGGGGGCTGAGAGGGTATAGGGATTAAAGAGATGCGCACATACCTTCATCAGTCCCTTTTGAAATTGGGAGGTTTGGATTATGCTCTCTAGGAGAGTTTGTGTGTGCGTCTATGTGTCGCGGATTCCAGCAAATGTAGGCCGCTTTGGGACGGGGGCAGAATGAGGGGAAGGGCTTCAAAGAAAAATATTCCCCAGAAATGAGGAATCGAGTTGAAATTTCAATGGGAAGATCCGGTGAAGATCGCCAAAAGCCAGAGGAAGAGAGTAAGTGAGAGAGAGAGAGAGATAGAGAGGGGAGGGGGAGGGGAGAGAAAGAAGTGGATAGCGGAGCTGAGTTTGTATAGGGGAAAAATAAATGAGGAATGGCAACTGACCTTTTTAATATATGATCTCTTGAGTTTTCTTCAAGTTCTAATATCAGCTATATTCTCTTATATCTCTCTTTATTCTATAGAATGTTTTAGGCTACATGACAGCGCAACATGGCATCACCTCCATCTACATACATCTTAAATCATCCCCGGAGCAAGCTCGGACTACAACATATTGACTTGCTCTGTACATGGAGATCCAAATCCCGGCCTTTTAGCTTTCAGCCTTTAACCGAAGATACCGAGTCTATATTGCACAAGCAATCGGGGCAAGGGAAGTAGTTAAATAGTTAAATAACGTTATGAACTTGAGACCCAAGATCAATAGCTTCCCCCAATTCACTAGCGTGCATGTTTCTCCCTTCCATTCGGATTCCCGATGGTCTTAAACTGCCGAGAGACTTTCTAGAAGAGATTACTGCATGGCGTCTTTTTTGCTGACTCGCACTGGCTAGTGGACTACCGGACTAGTGGAAATGGGGCCACTAATCTCGAGTCATGACGGTTATGCTTGAGACATTGGTTTTTGGCCATCTCATTTATTATATGAATTTATTTTAGGCCCGCGGTTCCCACTTTCTACATACAACATACTTGCACTTACAAAATCCGTTTTCCATATGGTCTGTTCTCTGCAATATGCAAACATCCCAACGTGGTGTCCGGGGCGCAGATCCTGGTCCTAACTAGAAGTGGGTACGTGCAGAACCTGGGCAAACTCTCACGGGAATACGGAGTACGGAGGAGATACAATATATACCTATGATTTGCTCTACACGAAATTGTAGTCAGTCTCCTACTAAAACAGATTGAGGGAAATCCCCAAAAGTGGAGCCAAATAAGATCTTCAGCCAGGATTACAGACTCAGTTCAGATTGAGCCGGGATAATGGGTGTGGATATACGTATAGGGACATCTGAATTTGAAGAATTCAACACAAACTAAGAAATCAACATAATTTAGGAAGATACCAGGATAGCAATATATAAGCAACTTCTACTCCTTAAGGAAGCCAGTGATCCCGTCCTGAGGCTATACAACGTAGAAGCAACTACTCCACCACGCCAGAGCTACCTAGTTAGCGTAGGAGGATACGGAGGGTTGCCAATGGGCAGGATTACAGGAAGCAAGACAATCATTTGTTTATAGAGACGGTACGACATGAAGACTGCTGCTTCAAGGTTATTAATCCCACAAGTCTCCAGAATCGAAATTCCCAATCTCACAGGCTGTCGGCAGCCAGTCGTTCGGCGACATACCTCGGTACCTAGGTAGAGACCGACTAGAGTCATGAATAACTTCTGGAATCCTTGAGCTATACACACGCATAGCCTAAAACAGACTGATATTCCCAATAAAGGAACCTTGGAAGTAGTTATGAGTTCCAATGGGTGCAGAGGTTGATAACCTTTGGAAAGCTTTAAGAGTTGACTTGCAGCCCACGTGACTGCCCAGGTGACTTTTAGATATCTGCCTGAGGCGCCAAGCCCGTTCCCCCTTCTTTATGTCATCATAGCTATCAGGTCTGGGGAATGATCACAGCTCCTGGTGACTGCTACCACGAGGACTAGGTCAGATGCATACTTCTTTATAAGCTGATACAATTATCTTAATCAGGACACATACCCATTTCCGACCCGATAATACTCAGCCTGCTGTATTGATAGTGATTCTTCATTACTCCGCATTCTCAAGCGTCGCTGGATGGCATTTCATCACCACTATCACTGGCTTCTGAAGCTGTTGCCATGAGTGGGTCTGACTATAGCCTTCAGTCTGATGCAAAATGATGTCTTCTAACATATTATCACGATTCCTACCCCCAACTGGCTCACCATCGGTCTACGAGACCATTCGCCAACATGACGCCGGGTCCGAATACTCTGATCTCGAAGAACGTGCGGGCTTGGTCATAGAAGACCAACAGGAACAATATAGTGACCGGGAACTGGAGGATGCACTAGCGGATGCGCAGGACAGTGAGATAGTCAGCCCCAACACTGCATTGCTCAACCAAGCACGGTCGGGCAAGGCACCTGAAGAGCGAGCTTCTCCATCTGGCACCCGCCGTCGCAAGTCGTCCCGGCCTCGGTGGATGGCACAAGAATCGCCACTCGGCTATGAGCTCGATGATCATGATGAAGATGTTCCTCAGTCTCTGCTGGTAGAAGGTCATCACGAAGATCTGAAGTCACGGTTACCTCCTCCTCCTCCTCCTCCTCCTCCTCCTCCTCCTCCTCTCCGGTCTCATAATCGCTCGGATCGACGAAGAACCCCAAGTCCTGGCCCATCCTCGGGACCTACGGAAGCCCGCTGGAATGAACGAGGAGCCCATCAACAACCACCGCCAAGTGAAAGCGGTCATCCAATAGGGAGATGGTTTACTGGCCAACACCCCGGTCTTGCCAATGTTGACCCTAAGAAGAAAGCAATGTGGCGGTGGGCAAACGTCGAGGATCTGGATAACTTCTTGAAGGATGTCTACGTATACTTCTTAGGGAATGGAATTTGGTCTATTCTGCTGACCCGGGTGCTGAATCTCTTGTAAGTCGATATTAATCCCCTTTCCAAAGAATCATATGAGAAGCTGACAGTAAACACAGGACATTTGCATTCGTTGTTGGTTTCTCGACATTCTTAACAAACTGCATTGATTATCCTAAGGTCCGGCGGAGCAAGACTCTGAATGATATCCTCGTGCCCCAATGCACAGCGAATATGTCCGGGTCGTCCACATTTTTGTTGTGGCTCTTCAGCTTCTTCTGGATCGGGAAGCTTTTTCAATACCTCCTAGACATTCGCAGGCTCAAACACCTGCATGACTTTTATCTCTACTTGCTCGGCGTTTCAGATGCCGAAGTTCAGACGATTTCCTGGCAAGAAGTGGTCAGTCGGCTGATGGCGTTGAGAGACTCAAATCCATCTACCGCGGCGGCGGTTTCTGCCAAGCATCGAAGATTCCTGGGCAGCCAGTCAAAGCAGCGAATGGACGCTCACGACATTGCTAACCGCCTGATGCGAAAGGAGAATTATATGATCGCTTTGGTAAACAAGGATATTTTGGACCTCACTCTCCCTATTCCATTCCTCAAAAATCGACAACTTTTTCCCGAACCATGGAATGGAATCTCAATCTTTGTGTCATGGACTATGTCTTTAATGAGCAGGGCCAACTGCGAACCCTGTTCCTCAAGGACACACATCGAAGAGCGCTGAGTGATGGCTTGCGTCGGCGCTTTATTTTCGCTGGCGTCATGAACATTTTCGTAGCACCCTTTATCGTGGTCTATTTTATGATGCACTACTTCTTCCGGTACTTCAACGAGTTTAAGAAGAATCCGGGCCAAATCGGTTCCCGCCAATATACACCTATGGCGGAATGGAAATTTCGCGAGTTTAATGAGCTTTGGCATCTCTTCGAGCGTCGGATTAACATGTCTTATCCATTCGCCTGTCGCTATATTGACCAGTTTCCCAAGGATAAGACCGTCCAAGTGGCACGTTTCGTTGCTTTTATCTCTGGGGCTCTCGCGTCAGTGTTGGCCCTTGCCTCGGTGATCGATCCAGAGCTCTTCCTTGGGTTTGAGATTACTCATGACCGGACTGTGCTCTTCTATCTTGGTATTTTCGGAACAGTCTGGGCCTTTGCGCGAGGGCTGGCACCCGAAGAGACCGATGTCTTCGACCCCGAGTACGCACTCCTCGAGCTGATCGACTTTACACATTACTTCCCGTCCGGATGGAAGGGCCGTTTGCACAGCGACGACGTGCGGAAAGAATTCGCAATTCTCTATCAAATGAAAATTGTGATATTCTTAGAAGAAATCTTGAGCATGATTTTCACTCCTTTCGTCCTGTGGTTCAGCTTGCCCAAGTGCAGTGACCGCCTCATTGACTTCTTCCGAGAGTTCACCGTACACGTTGACGGTGTAGGCTATCTCTGCTCTTTTGCGGTCTTCGACTTCAAGAAGGGCACAAATGTTCTCTCCCAAGCCGGACCCGGGCGCCGGGATCCTGGCAAACAAGATCTGCGCACCGATTACTTCTCCACTAAAGACGGCAAGATGCTAGCTTCGTACTATGGCTTCTTGGACAACTACGGTACCACCCATCAAGCTACCAGTCGGCGACCATTCCACCCACCACCAACCTTGCCAACCCTCGGCTCGCCCACTGCAGCCGAGTTCGGTGCTCTTCCTGATCGCCCTGACCATATCCAGACACGCCTTGGGCCGACCCCTGGTGTGCCATTCGGCCCTCAATCAACGATGGGCGCTAAACCAAGGCAAATGGGAGGATTCGAACACCGCTCTCCTGCCCCGTCCATCCTGCTTGACCCGCATCACCAACCCTCAACCACCGGCTTCCGCGCCGCAGCCCGAATCACCCCTCAGCAGCACCAGCGCTCCCGGCTCGGACGCTCCCATCATCCGTCTACGGATCCTATCGACGACGAGGAAGAACCACTATCCCAAGACGGCCATGATTCAACAACACGGCACTCCGGTGCTCGTACAGGTACTTCCAGTGCAGGTGCTGGCACTAGTGACAGCAACCTCGGCGATTCTTGGCGCATGAACCCGCTCAGTAAAGACGAGGATGAGGGCGATGAAGGCGAAAATATTGACGCCATCGCTGGCGGGGGCGGCGTTTTGGGCTTAATTCAGCAGTTCCAGAAAGCTAACACCGAAGGCAGACGGACAAATGTGGGGATTTAGATATCCGTTCTCCATGCATCTTCTAGGACATTGGTAGGCCCAGGAAGACCATAGCTTATGTGCTTCAGACACGATATATGACCATTTCATGCGGAGTTCAGTGTCTCCTAGCGAACGTTTTTATGCTGCTCTATCATGCCATTGTCTGTTATGATGTAGGTAGTAGGTAGTGTGTTGGTAGTCGTAATACATACATATATAAGGTAGAAATATGTACAGGATGGCCGTATGCATAATGCACATCAGCAGGCACTTATATCACGACTGATATACCCTCAGCATCTATACAAACCTACCACATTTCCAAACGCCGTTCTTGCTGAACATATCCTGGATATACAGCTAATAGGACATGCAAACTTCTCATCACAGTATCTGCATGAATATAGCCAGATGTCTAGAGAAATCCATCCTCGATGGAGAATTGCTCGGCCCCTTGTCAGAATGGATAGTTCGAGATGCTGGCCTCGGGATATACATGTCCGCCCTAACCCATCACACAACTGCCGACGTGCAACACAAATCATAAAGTACTAACCTACTCATATGCAATTGGTGGCTGGAAACTAAGCTCCAGATCGATTATAATATTGAGTCATGGTTGACCGCGAGCTCTTGGATACCTTCGCCCATCTAATATTAGCTATGTTGGTGGATTATTCTCCTAACCCCTTATATAGAATACCAGCGGGCCCCCGGGCCGACGCTATTCACATGTCAGTTTATTAGTTGATAATGCTGCATCAAGATAATTATACTTGAGCATTATGTATAGGGTATATTCTCCGACCGAATTGTCGATGCTCCACGAGCATGCAATTGTAATCGCACCGAGTCTTGGGGTGATATGTAGGCTGCAGGGGTAACTAGCCCAATATGTGAGGTGAGCCCTGTGGAACACGTTTGAGACGGAGGCAGCACTTTCATCTGGGCTAGTGGAAGAGTCGATTGATGATAGGCCAATTTGCAAACCCTTGCAGTCACAGTCCGGAATCCGGGGCCAATGATCGGCGTCGAACAGCCCTGTTCATACGCCCTAAGAGGATGGCGTCTGGCAATCCCCACTATGTCTTGAGACCCGAGAACCGCGGTCTTCCTGGGCATGGAGTTGTTTGCGATTGAGATCATTTGAAAATAAGTAGATTTCTTTCTGTAGATAAGAGATAGAAAGGTAGAAAATGTGAACAAGAAACAACATAGAATTGAAGAAGCTGAAGATGTCAAAAATAACAGCAAGACCAAAATAGAACGCGGAGGCTCTCGCCTGTGGATCTTTTTACTTGTGGAGTCTCGTGATTACATCTGGACTTGGCTAATTTCCGAGTTGTTTTTCTTCATTCCTCATTCCTCTCCTTTTATTTTTTTCTTGAATAAGAATACAACCTGAAGGGTGACCGCTCGCGATGTTTCGAGCTCGCCGATACCGAGTTCTGGTCATATTCGCGGCGGCTATTGTCTTCACATTCTTCCACTTTGCGCGGTCACGCGATTGGAGCTATACAGTGATTGAAAAGTCTACAGGCGTTCATACACCCGATGCTGCCCATCCGAATCAGCCCGACACACAAAGACCTGAAAACCCGGCCGTTGCTGCCGCCATCGAGGAGAGTCGAAACCGTGTGCTTCCCGATCCCTACCGCGGCTCCACCTCCCCACCACAGCCAGAGAAGATAATCTCGCCTGTGGGTCCCAACAGTGGCTCAAAGGATGCCGGCCGGTTTAAAGATGCCTCCTCTGACACTCCGGTGAAAACACCCATCAAGGATGACACCAAAGACTCCACGAAGGGCTCCACGAAGGAACCCGTGAAGGAACCGGCGAAGGTGGAGGGCACCGACAGCTTGGCGCCACCTACAACGGCAAATACCGATAGTTCAAATGGGGAGGAAATAGATAATGGAGGGGCAGGCAGAAGGGGCAGCGGAGCGCCCTGAGCCCGGTATTCCAACGGCCAAGTGGAGGAAGTTCCCAGAGCGGTTCCCCGTCCCCGCAGAGGAGGTGATCAAGCTGCCAAAGGAACAGCCGAAAGCAATTCCCAAGCTGCAAGCGAAGTTCAAGGATGAGTCGAGCTCTGACAAGCAAGAGCGTCTGCAACGGCTTAGCGTTATAAAGGCCGAGTTCACGCATGCCTGGAAAGGTTACAAGGAGATCGCAATGGGACATGACGAAGTCAAGCCTTTGTCGAAGGAGCTTGAGGACCCATTCAATGGTTGGGGAGCGACCTTGGTCGATTCCATTGACACTCTCTGGATTATGCAATTGAAGGATGAATTCTCCGAGGCTTTGGATGTGATCAAAAACATTGATTTCAAGACATCACTGAGAGCAGATATTCCGATGTTTGAGACAACCATCCGTTATCTTGGAGGCCTTTTGGGTGCCTACGATATTTCTGGTCATCGATACCCGGTGCTTTTGGAGAAAGCAGAGGAGCTTGCTGAGGTTCTCATCGGTGCCTTTGACACCCCTAACCGCATGCCACATCTTTACTATCGCTGGGCCCCGTAAGTCTCAATTTACCTCTGATTATATACGGGCGACGACTAACCAAATCCTTCCCAGAGAGTATGCTGCGAAACCGCATCGGGCGTCTTCCCGAGCTGGTCTGGCTGAGATTGGGTCGCTTTCCTTGGAATTTACCCGTTTGGCTCAATTGACCAAGCGGGACAAATACTATGATGCGATTGCACGGATTACCAACGAATTGGAGAAAATCCAAGATTCGACTAGCATCCCTGGACTGTGGCCTCTGCGGGTCAATGCACAGGGATGTTCCAAGTACTCCAAGAACACACCTAACACACCTCCACGTGATAACAGTCCTACACGCGAGCAGCACGCCGCTAGTACAACCGAAAGCACTACTACGATGACCCGCAAGACTTACGCTGCACCGACGGACCTTGAGAGTTATTTGAAGCTGATCCCACGCGGCACGAACGCTGACATTGAAGGACATGCCCAAGCTGCCAATGATACGCGAGTTGCGAGTGAACCTGGCATTCAGGCTCGGGAGCAAACTACGCTATCAGCAGATCAATGCAATGGCGGATTGCGACTTCCCAATTCACCCCGCGATAACGAATACACCATGGGAGGAATGGCTGACTCGACCTACGAATACCTACCTAAGGAATACCTGCTACTGGGTGGCCTGAACGAGCAATACCTGAATATGTATAAAAAGGCAGCCACTGCAGCCCGTCAGACTCTTCTCTTCCAGCCCATGGTGAAAGGTGGACGTGATATCCGGTTCATGGCCTCGACTACTCCAATGACACCTGGAAAGGTCGCGGAGGTCACTCCTACCGATCTTCGATACGAAGGCGCTCACTTGACATGTTTCGTCGGCGGCATGTTCGCCATAGGAGCCAAGGCCTTTGGCATAGATGGTGATCTGGAACTTGCAGGCAAACTGACCGACGGTTGTGTTTGGGCTTACGAGTCGACACAGACCGGAGTGATGCCTGAACGCTTCCGCCTCTTGCCTTGTGAGAAAGGCTCGGCCTGTGAGTGGGATCAAGCCCGCTTTGACGCTGGCGTGGCACGCTACTCGCGCGTAGACCCCGGGCAGGACATTCGTTCCGCAATGGAGAGACCAGCTACGGACAGCGTGTGGATTTGATCGCACACGACCCACCGCAAGAATCCGCGACCGGGTCGATTCCCTTGCCCATGCCAGGCTCATTAAATCCCCACGATAGCGATGTGTTGGCCAAGCGCGATGGCCTCACATTGGAAAAGCGTGCGGAAGCATCGTCTGTTGCTTCAATTCCGACTGCTACTCCCAGTGGAACTGATCTACAGATCCGAGATGCACCTCGTTCATCTTCATCGCCCGCTTCGCCCCACATCGCTGAAGTCGGCAAAGACCACCTCCCAGCAGGCATGACCAGTATCCCGTCACCGAACTACTACCTTCGGCCCGAGGCAATTGAGTCAGTCTTTATCATGTACCGTCTGACCGGTGACGAATCTTGGCGTCGCAAGGGGTGGCAGATGTTCGAGGCCGTCTCGAAGTATACCCGAACGGAGCTGGGCAACGCCGCCATCCACGATGTCACAGCCCAGAAACCGATCCATAAGGACACGATGGAGTCTTTCTGGTTATCTGAGACACTGAAGTATTTCTACCTTTTGTTCAGCGACCCTACTGTCGTGGACTTGGATAAATATGTTCTGTAAGTGATTGCCGTAGCCCTGTAAACAATGGACCAACAACTAACTTTCACAGAAATACCGAAGCGCATCCTTTCCTGCGCCCGGCTGCATAATTGTGTTTTGCATTTTGATACCAATGGAAGTTCGTTTATACCACGTACATAGTGTCCATGATCCTCGTAGTAATGTAGTGCGTACCTTAGGGTTGACCCGCAGTGGGACTCTCGAATTCCCCCCAATTCCCCCGCCCTTCAACTCTCTCCAACTCTTCAAACCGGCACATAAACCGGCATGAGCTGTCTGACGGGAAATGGAGCCTGAGGTCTCGGAGACTGAGTTCTGGACTGGTACGCTGTTCTCAGCCTCTATTCCCCTTTCACGATAATGCGACAATGACAATTGACCAGTTCTTGCAGAACTTCAAACGATCGTCTCCAAGCCCTGTGACTCCGAAGACCAGATCGACGACGCCCTCCGAGCTTATCTTAGTCTAACGACGCAACACAAAGGTAAATGACACCTCGATCTCAGAGAAGCGATACCCCTACCCCGACACAGTCCCGCGAACAGCGCCACGTCCACCCCCAACTTTGCATCCACTGCTTCCACTGCGACTAACACACCCGCCCTTCCCTAGATGAATACCTCCGGTCGGAAACCGATATCGCTCGCTGTTCCTACAAGCTGTTTACGTCGAGTATCTTTGCCACACATGCGGACTACGTGCGACGACAGATCCTCTACGGTCTGTTGCAGGACGATGACCCGAATACCCTCCACTTCATTGCGTCATTCATCCTCTTTGACGGAAGGCAGAATGAAGTTGTGCTTCAGATGCTGAATGACGAGGGCGCGTTTGCGCGTCTCCTCGAGCTTATACAGGCGATGCGGAGGGCGGATTTGGACGGCGACGCGGGTCTCCACCGCTTGTTGATGGACCTTGTGTACGAGATGTCGAGGATACAGAGGGTCAAAATTGAAGACCTGGGTGCGTTTTGGATACACTTGTGCTGCTGCTGGTAGCTGATTATGGGCTTGCGTGCAGTTCTCGTGGATGACGATTTCATTCGCGGTCTCTTCGATATCATCGAAGATCTCTCATACGATGTTACCGATCCGTATCATTACCCCGTGATTCGGGTGCTGGTGAGTACTCTCTTCGGGCTCATTTTGGTTGGAATGGGATTGACAAATTCCACAGCTGGTTCTGAACGAGCAGTTCATGATCTCGGCCACGATCCGGTGGATGGCCGGCCCACTGGTCAATTGACCAACAAGGTTATCAAGGTTCTATCCATGTATGGTGGGATGTATAAGACATTCGGGGAGAACATCATTCTTCTTATCAACCGTGAAGGTAACGGGCGATCCTCCTGTTCAATAGAACCGATTACTGACAACATGCAGCTGAGACGTCCCTCCAGTTGCTCACATTGAAGCTTCTCTATCTCATCTTTACCACCCCCAGCACATATGAGTACTTCTTCACCAATGACCTACACGTTCTGGTCGATATATTGATCCGGAATTTGCTTGATCTACCCGAGGAGGCCTCGGCACTGCGGGCATACTTACCTGCGTGTTCTTTACCCGCTTCTAGCTCACACACAGCTACGACACCCGCCACACTACAAGCGAGATGGTCTTCGAAGACTACTCAGCGTTCTTGTTCGGGGCCAAGTCTCATATGGGAACGACCCAGAACATGAGAAAATCATGCATTTCGAAGAGGTCGATGAAACGACACGTCGACTTGTCGCTCGGTGTTCGACAGTGGATTGGTTGCGCAATGCCGAACAGCCCGACGCAGCAGAAGCACAAGACACTCCTACGCAAGTGACAGCAACTACAATCGAGACTGTCCTGGATCAAGGCGAACAGCACGCCTCACCCGTAGATATCGGCGAACCACTCGACGCCCCTCGCACACTCTCGCGAGCAAGCACAATCGCTAGCTCACCTGATACAACATCACCAACGCGAATGGACTCGTATAGTTCGTCCAACGCACCTGGGGGTCGGAAACACAGCTTAGCCCAACGGCTTGGCATGAACCTGGAGCCCGCATCCGCATCTTCACTGAGCGTTCAGGCCGTCGCAGAACAGCACGAAAAACCAGGCATAATCACTCCCAGCCGCAAGGACGGAGTCCCTGTCGCCGCTCTCAATGGCGAGACGCCAATAATCAAACCACCAAAGGTCAAACCAGAACCACCGAAATCTCGCCGCTGGCGCGGGCGCCGTCTGGCTGTGGATGAAGAAGAGAACCACTCTGCCACAAGCAGCGACGGAAACACTATCCCCGAAGGTGTCGAAGTCAGCCCCACCACCACTTTCACCACCAACACACCACCGCCCCAGACACATGCCAGCGATCGCCGCGGCTCCGGGTCAGGTTCCACTCTTGCGCCCCCAGGTTCACGGCCGCGGCGGGCCGTATCGAATCCACCCCCGGCCCTCCCACCACCACGCCGTTCCAACTATAGCACACCTTCCTCAAGTCACCACCGGCCCATAGCCGGAGCAGGCCGACATGGGCAGGCTCCACTTCCGCCGAAAACGCGCCGTTGGGGACGTGGCAAGCCCCAGCATGGACAGAGTGACTCGGTCGAGAGCGGGGCCAGCAGTGTTAGTCCATCGAAGGAGCCCGAGACTGCTGAAAATACCGCCGTGCCTGCTCAACAGGAACAGTCACCAGAGGGCAGTGTTGTTTCAGATCCGTTCTCGCCAAAATCCCCAACAATATTGGTGTCGCCGTCTGAGACTACTGCAGACAAGGCAGATGCCCCAGCCAATGGTGCTGGCAATGACCATGTGCCTCTCAGTGTAGAGGAGGCAGTGCAGAATGTCTCTCTGCACTGAGCGTCGCTTCTGGATCTGCTTAATTCATTTTCTTTCATGATTAGATATACTCTTTGCTCGTGGCTCATTTTCTGGTTTTTTTTTGGCATCAAGCGCGGCTGTTCGGGTGAACAGGTTGGGACATAATAGGTTATGTCTCTAGTTATTTTGCATGACATGGATATTTGTGAGGGTACCAGCGAGGACTGGATCCCAGAATAACAAAATAGAGTATTTTCGCTGACAAGAATGGAGTAGTTTACAATAATATAGTAAGAATAAAAGTACAAATTTATCTCCCAGCGAGCAAAACCTGCCTCAATTAACTTCCCTGGAGGACCTCGAGTAGGCGCTCGTCATCGATACCAAGAATAAAGAGAGGTTCATTCCAAAATGACCTCAAATCTTCAATCCCCAGCTTCGCCCCAGCCCAATGGCAGTATTCCACCCAAACCCAGCACACTGTCCAATACCAGTAAGCTTATCAGCAATCGCCTTCCGATCCTCAAACCGACGCTCCACGAACGCCTCCGTCTCCACAAGATCCGGCGTTGGGTCACGGGTCATAACAACATCAGCACTGGCATAGATAGCCGACACCGCAAGACGGCGCGTGTACCAAGTCGCATCAACAGCGTCGTCACCAGAAAGAGTAAGGATATCCGAAGCGAGGGCGTGCAATTCCGTAAGAGAGAGGGGGATATTAGCAAGAAGGGACATTTGCGCAAGAGCCTAGCAAAACATGGATTAGTTTGGGATTCCAATTCATTCAACATAATCACGTTCGCATTCTGTATGTATCCATCTGCTTCAAAGAATCTCCAAAAGGGAAGGGCAGAAAGTAAAAAAGGTAAAAGAAAGAGAAAAACTCACATCCTGCCAAACACCCTTAACCTCCGCGTTCATCCTCAACCTCTCCAAAATCAACCCCCCTAACCTTCTCCTCAACACTAAGCTCATGAACATCCTTCCCTTTCTCCGCCGCAATGCGCCGGAATAACCCACCCTCCTCGACCTGACCGCGCAGCAGACCCCGTCGACTAGCAAGCCAGAACAGGATGAGGTCGAATTCTGCGCGCGGGAGTAGCTGCACTGAGACGTCGAGGAAGCCGGCGTCCCGCGCGCCGAGGGTCAGCGCCGTGGCTGTGAATCCGTGCGCGGGGACGTGGGCTAGCGCTGAGGTTAGGATTGCTGTTTGGGAGTTTGTGTAGGAGTGGTCTGGGAGCCTGGCGTGGAGGGCTGAGTGGTAGGTTCGGTGGGGGGAGTTGTTTGGGTTTGCTTGTTCGGGTGGTGTTTTGTGCTGGGCGGGTTGGTGTGGCTTGGAGGATTGTTGTGGTTATTGCTCGGGTTTGGCGGATGGATTGGGGTAGGGAGGGGGTGAGGACCCTTTTCGGGAGAGTGCGGGCGAGGTAGGCCATAATTTTGGTGTGGTTGGGGGAACAATTGAGTGGATGTGAAGATGTGATTGTTGGAGATGGGATTGGGATGTTGGTCCGTGCGTCTATATAAGATCCGGATGGATCTTTGTATACAACATGGTATTAATGTTTGTTTTACAACTATTTTGATTGCTACATACGTATGTACATTCAAAATGTTTAAAAAATAGACTAGACATTTACAAGTGCTTTGTGTCTATCCATGGCTGTACCTCTCCTATGGGATACGCATACAAAAGATACAAGTGGGAGCTTCTTAAAGCTACTCAACCACACTTTTATATCGATAACATCAAAGTGGGATCATGAGTTATGACATTAATGGTATACTTCTTATTAAAGTAACCTTGGAATCGTAAGTGTAGTTATATTCCAAGGTTCTCCAGGGCTGGAAGTTGCTTAGTCACTACTAATGATCTCCAGGGCTCCAGGGCTTCCCAAGGTCAAAGATTAAAGAGAAAGATAAAGAGTTCTTTATGTCGCTAAATGCAGCAACATTAAGGAGACAGGAGAGTAGACTAAGCTCAAGCAAACAAGTAAATGTCACGTGATTAGAGACAAAGGAGTTTTGAAAGACGCTGGTATAAATAAGAAATCGGTCCGTCAAAATAAACTAAAAAAGCAAAGGCGCAGCAAGAAACGAACGGCGACGGGTGCAAGCCCTGACGCGATGCGGCGACTCACCCTTAGACCAACGCTCTGTAAACTCCAATACTAAGATACGAATTTCTGAATGATAAGGGAACTACAAGGATTACAGAAAAGAAAATGGAAGAAAAAAAGCTCATCCATTTTGAAAGCAGTTGATCAGCCCAAACGGGCACTCGAAACCCATTTTGCGAGAACGAAGCCACGCAAGAACTGAAATGGGAATAAGGGAATCATGAACGAAGAAATTGCGAAAGAAACAAGCCAGACGCCCCCCCTGTCAAAGAAAGTGACTAGGTAAAACACGGACGAAAGCGCTTTACATGATCTGGTCCTGGGTCAGACCGACGGTCGACTCTTGGCCTTCCATCATTTCTTCCGGAGCAGGGCCGGCGTTCATGTACTTCACGAAGGTGATGCCCAGAGGACGACCGCCGTACTGGTAACCAGAGAACTTGGCTGTGGGAGAGAGAATATATTAGTATGTGGATATGGCAGCTGCAATACAAATGAAACATACCAATCGCAGTTTCAGCAGTGTCGGCAGTATCAAATTGAACGACACCAGTACCGCGGGAGCGGCCGTTGGGCTCGTACTGGATTTCAGCGCGCTCAACTTTACCGATGGTGGAGAACAAATCAATCAGGTCCTCATTGCAAGTAGACCAGGGCAACTGGATTCAAGTTAGCATTCCATATAGTTGCCCATCGCATATCCCCAAAACTTACGTTGCGAACATAGATGACGGCGCTCTTCTCGCCGTTGGAAGTGGCATAATCAGTGAAAGGGTTGGGGGGTCCGGATGGAACAGGAGGAGCACCATGGTCAAATCCACCGGCGTAACCACCGTGGCCGCCAGGGGGACCACCGAAGCCACCACGTCCAGGGAATCCGCCACCAAAGCCTCCGCGACCAGCAAAGCCTCCACGGCCCATGGGACCGCCAAAGCCGCCACGACCGCCAAAGCCACCGCCAAAGCCACCACGACCACCGAAGCCGGGGCCACCACCAGCGAAACGATCTTCACGAACTTCAAGAGCACGACCCTGCCAATCATATCCGTTAAACTGCGCAATGGCGTTGCGCGCATCATCGGGAGACTCAAAAGCAACAATGCCAGAGCCCTTGGGACGTCCGGTAGGGTCAGTGTGCACATCGGCACGGATGACGGCACCCTGCTGGGCTGTAATACGGAGTCCGGGTCAATTTACCGTGCACTCACACTAGACGGAAAAGTAGGAATCCAAGTCCAAGGGGTGTTCTGATCTGCACTTACCAGCTGAGCGGAATAGGTCTTTCAAGTCTTGCCAGCCAACGTTGAAAGGAAGCTACACCGAACGGTCAACAAGGCCTGCCAGAACTTAGCGTAACGGGGGGTAAAAAGAGGGGACAAACGTTTGAGACATAAATCTGGCGGACACCACCAGCACCTGGGGGGGCCTCCGAAGCCACCACCACCGAATCCACCTCGGGCACCGGGGCCGAAATCACCGCGTGGGGGACCACCAACGAAACGGGGCTCGGATTCACGGTCCTGGGGACTGAAGTCAGTACTTGCAAATCGCAACACCATGGATTCTGCGGACACATACCTCACGAACGTAAACAAGGCGACCCATCAAGCTCTGGTTGCTGAGCGTATTCACAGCGTTCTGCGCTTGGTCCCTGGTTGCATATTCCACAATCCTAGTAGATATGTTAGCGAAAGCGTTCAATTTGAAGAAAGACAAGAAAGTACTCACCCGCATCCCTACAATATCAGGACAGCCAATGTCCACCCGTCAACCCTACACAAACCACGAAAATCGGGGGAAATAGAAGGAACTAGCCCCTCTACGTATAAGCGCCCACCTTCGACATTCCATTAGGAAGAAGCAAAACATCGGCAAAGAGAACTTCTCCAGCTGTAAGACACGAAATCACAACCCTGGTTAGCTTCAAACGTTCCAACCAATCACCATTCCAAATGCGCGACCCTGCTCACCCTGTCTCATAAAATCCTTGAGATGATGCCACTTGACATCGTACGAAAGGTTGCCCACATAGACCCGGCGGTCTTGCTGGGACGAATCGCGAACGGTCTGCATCATATTCTCCTTGGCAACGGTGCGGTCCTCAAATCGAGCCGGGGGGGTATCCACTGCGTCCACCGAAAGGAGAGCCTGAGCCTTGGGGTCCAGCTGCTGCTCCGGAAGCACTCAAAGGGGATCGCGAACGGCGCTCGGAACGGCGGTATTCGTCACGCTCACCGCGGCTGCGAGAGCGACTGCGAGGGGAGTACGAACGACGAGTGCGTCGGGGAGGACTGCGAGAAGAACGGCGACGGGGCGAGCGAGACCTCTCACGCTGGATGTGGTCAGACATGAACAAAAGGTAGAAAAAAGGCGGTCGCAAAAGCGGTGCAATGTTATTATTTTGATGAAATGGAGATGGGAAGAAGCGAAAGACCCGTGGACGTGTTCGTGTTCAGTAAGCAATCGCTACCCGTGGAAGGCGTAACCCGAGGGGGGTCGGGATCCACGGCGTTGGTCAGGTGACCACCAGCTCTGAGGGGGGGTGTTTGTCTCATATGCAATGAGGACCTCCGGGGTAGGAGCTTGGGGCCACTGGCACATCTTGTTTGCGCACACATCGCAATTATTTTTTGAGAAACAATGCGATGATAAAAGTGGTTTCCCCTTCAGGTCCATGGATCTCCAGATCTGGAAGATATCCGATCTCGAACAGGCATGGCGGGTTTCCACCCCCGCACCAGACTCTTGCGATCATTCATATGGACTTGAGTTGTCATGCGCGATAGTGGAATTGTTTGTAGAATCGGAAAATGGGAAGACAAAAGGAAACGAGGTTCTCGGTAAACTTACTTGGTATGGTCGATAGACGTCGGCTGGACGGATGAGGCTGTTAGCGGAGAATCTCAAGAAACCAAAAAGATAGAAAGAAATAGGGAAAAGAGAGGAAGCGGGGGGAAGATGAAAGGATCAGGCGTCAAGGTTCAACGTTTGGGTGGGAGACAAGACACGGTGATTGGGCGAAGGCCTGAAATGACCGGGGACCTTCGAGTGTACCAGGCGGATGAGAGTAACAACATTGAAACGAGTAATACAAAGATACGGGAAAAAGAGGACACGAAGAACCTACCCATGATTCCGGGGCTCGATGGAGCGTGGAGGTAAGAAGATTGAATGTAGTACAAAGAAGAAAGGTGGAGAGGTGAGGAGTTGAAAAGATAAATAGGCAGAGGAGGTGCTGTCCACGGGTTGGATTCCGGATCGTTCTAAAAGACTCTTGGGGAAATATCATGGAGAGAAGAAAATACAGAATTCCGATATGTACTTGAGCACCTCGGGCAAAACCCGTCACCGCCTCGGCATATAGCTTAAGACTTTGATTGTATACATGCTGTATATAGCTATGACGGTAGTTAGGAATGAATCCATTAGATGATATTGCAGATATACATTCCCTCTTCCATCCCGAAAGCCAAGGACAATAACCCAAACTATGATTTATGTACTGCACTTATGTACATTTATGTGCGGAGGTCCTCCAGGGCTGACCATACAGAGCCTTATCGCTCTTATCGTGCATCTCAACAACCTGCGCGCCAACATACAGTGCACATCTGCACTCATGACTGGCTGCACAGCGTATTTCTGTTACTAAATTGCCACGGCCTGTATCCTTTCGGACTACATCAATTCAATGTTTCATCTGAACCATGTTCATTTGTATCTTAAAAAAGAAGCCTCTCAGACTTCAATGAAAACCTCAAACAATAAGTTCCCACCGGGAAACGAAAGAAATGGGTGCTAAGTGCCCAGCACTGGGAATCAATAATCAATCCACAAAAACAAGAATAAGAATCAAAGAAATCCATTGCGCCACACCCTGCCAGTAAAACGAACGCCGATGCAGCACTTTTATGCTGTGGGAGAGACGGGACCTGTGTGGAAATTGTCCCAACGAGAGGATCAAGACGCCTTGAACGGACAAGGACGAGTTGTGTAAAGGGCAAGGAGTGGTACATGTACAGACAAAAGAGAATATCGAAGAAAATAGAAAAGATGGGGTAAGAAAAAAAATGAAGAGACAAATGTGGAGATGAAGATAGAGAGAGGGACCTATGCAGCCACATTGGTACGAGGATAACGGCCAGGCATCTTCATGTCCAGGGCAACAGTGTTGTCTGTATTGGAACGCAGCAAATCGGACGGAACCTTGGCTGCACTGTCTGACTCAGGACCTTGGTTGATAGAACCATTCCCAAGGCCATGGGTCTGGGTCTTAGGGAGCTCGAGCTCCTGATCATCTACCGAGGTAGGATTGGTATTGTTTGTGAACTCAGTCGCATTAGTGTTCGTAGGCGCCGTAGAGACACTCTCCCGGCGATCAATCTGGGCAGGAGCCGAGTGATCGCGACGATCAGCAATACCGACACCCGCGATGGCAGCGAGGGAAGCCTGGTCCCCATCAGACCGGATCTCGCGGTCATCCTGGTTCGAGTTTTCCAGCTGCTGGCTCTGCCTCTGCTTGGCCACTATCACGGACGGGCCGATCCAGTCGCCGTAGTAGCTATCATGTTGGGTAGCTTTAGGGCGGGACTTTTCATTGGCCCCTTCGTTGGACCCGTAGCTTTGGTAGGAACTGTCTCCCTCGCGGCTAGCTACTGGTCGCAAGTTGTCATCAACTGCACTGGACCCGTCAGGGAAGGACCCAGTAGCTCCTAACATGTCTTTGCCAGCGGAGCTGTCCCCGCTGGAAGGTGACAAGGGCGCCTGGAGGTTCCGGTCAAGTTGGACGTCGCTGGGAAACGCCCCTCCAGCTTGGCGAGAGGATGTGGGTCGGTCTTGAGCCATGACCGCAGACCCCGCGGAGTATGGAGTGCGGTCGGCTTCGTCATCTTCCATTACCTCATTGTTCGTCGACTTTCCACTCACGCTGCGGACGTGCTGTCGGACGAAGGCATTTCGTGCTTCCCCCGTCATGTTGCTCAAGCCCTCGATGTCTTCATACCAGGACATCATGGTTTCGTGAGATTCGGCGCGGAAGACCCACGAATGGCCTCGGTGCATTGCGCCGGTCTGTCGACCCTTCAGCATGAACTTGTGGGAGCTTGAATCTTCCTGCGAGTGGGAGCCGAGTTTCTGCTCTGGCAGATAAAGCGACATAACAGGCGTCTGCCATGCCACACGATCCGCCGACTTGAACTCGTGCAGATGCGTCGGCGACAAAACATACCTGGAATTGATTAGGAAATGGCTTCAAACCGCACAAAAAAGGGGTGCTCACCAGCCAGGAGTATAACTCTTGAGATACTTGCTCTTGCGCTCCAACATCCCAGCCCTGACTTCGGCAGCTGCTGGATGACCCTTGCCAGGGTAGGTGATGCTCTCCACATCCCGGAGAGGAATCCGGGGTCAACGAGCTCATCTGTGTCGGCGACAAACTGGTTCCACTCGTGATCCTGGGGCATGGAGATCGGACCCGCCTGAAGCTTCTCAACAGTGTCAAGAGCTTCATTAGCTTCGCGTCGGAGGATACTAGCATAAGCATTGTATGCTTTCTGGATCTCGCTCACTACAATCCCCTCCAGTTCACGACCAGAGTTCTCCAGGTTCAAGAATGCCTATGAAAGCAACATTAGACAAGCAACTAGTATGGGGGGGAAGCCATCACAAACCCGATGCAAGTAGTTCTCCTCCTCAATCTGTTTCTCGACCTGTTTCTCCACGTGCAGGCGCAGGATGAATGGATCACCTTTGCCTGATGTCGCAGAGGCATCGGTATCGACAAGCCCAAGAGCCTCATGCAAGTTTCGTACAGATCTGCGCGTGCCGTCGATCTCCTTGTCGACGGTATTCTTGAAATCGCCCGAAAGACTCTTGATCTCCTTAGTCTTCTTCTGGAGATCGCTGCGGAGGCCAGTCAATTGACTGATGACCTCGACCTCCACTTCAACAGCTTTATTGGCCTCGGTATAACCCTGTCGGTGGAAATTCTGGAGGATCTCCGTCGCATCGGCCAGACCACCCGACTGAAGCAAACCCGGTGGAAGGGTCTGGTTATTAACGACACTCGAGGCGGAAAGGAACAGCTTCGCTCTAGTTTCGTATGATTTCTGGACCTCCTTAAAGAATAGAATCAAGTCCTTCAGGAGCTTGCGCCAAGCTATAAATCCCCTGTCAGTAAAATATCCACAATCCCGCACATGGACGGGAGTAAAGCTCACCTCCAAACCGATTTGCCAGTACCTCGGTCGGGTTGCCATTTGTAGGGACCGGAGTCACGAAAGCACTGCTGAGATCGTTCGAACCCTCGGTGTGGTACTTTTCGCGATCACCCAAGCTCAGACTCCTCACACTTCCTGCGCGCATGCTTCTCCGGCTCCCATTGCGCCGCAAGCTCCCCTTCTTGCTCAGCGAGGCCTTCTTCCGCAAGGTACCCGAACGGGATGGGGTTGGGGAGCGCACGTGCGACATGGTGGAGGCAGACCTCTGCATTCCAGCCGGGCCGTCAAACACCGAGCTGCGGTGACTGGCGGTATCGAAGTCCTCTTTGAACCGGGGGTTGTGGGGAACCTGCGACGACTCGAGGGCGCCGGAGCTGTAGTATGCTGATGTGCCGGCGAAGGAATTCGGTCGTGACAAGGTAGAGCGCGGGCCGTACCCGCGACTCAAAGCCCCCGGATCGTTGGGGTGCGGGACCATGTATGCATCCTGTGAGGGCGTCTGTGGCCGCGCGGCCATCGCCATATCTGCGGGAACGTGGGATTTTATGGTTTATGCAAGTTTCGGAAGATAAGTATCGAAGCAGAAGATCGAAATTTAATCGAAGGTTGAGAGTAAGAAATTTTTAAAGGGAAAGAAAATACGAAAATCGAGGATAATAGCTCCAAGAGTTCACAGGCCTAAAAGTGGCGTCTTTTTGGTTACCTAGCGAACGGAGCAATTGTATGCGGGGGAGGTACTGAAGCATAAAATTTGCCCCACTCAGTTTGGAAAAAAAAAAAAGAATTTGGAAAAAAGAAAAGGAGAAGACCAGGAGAGATTGGGCTGCCGATATAGGGCAGAGCTGGCAGAGCTGGGGAATTAAAGCGTAAGGAATTTCTGACGATGACGTCTACGAGATGCGAGATGGTGACGAGCAAACCTTGGAAGAAACTGGGCTCTCGGGATGTCCGGGACAAAAGGAGACCTCGGGAGGGGAAAAAAGCCATTTGACTTCTATTTCTCTATATCTTCATGGTTGACGTACTGGATCGGAATTTAACGCCGTCTAAAAGTATTTCATTCGAGTTACTGCAAATGGTAACAGGGACTTCTATACATCATTTATATGGTTGCCTGTAGGGAAAAGTGGCTGAGGGACTTCCGCCCCCTAAAAAGGAAGAGAGAGACTATTGGAATAAGATTATTATTGATGTACATGATCCACTCGATCTGTGGCTCATCGATGGGAAAAAATAAAAGGGGCTGATAGGTACACTCCCCCCCTGATCATCTAGTGATGAACAGTGCATGACGTTGGGATCTGGGGGCAGATCAAACTTGGAACGTTTTCCCTTCTACCTACGGAGTATAATATACATACCTAGGTAGGTACCTATATCCAATGTACAATTTCCCGGCTCATTCGGAAGACTACCTCTGGTTCCGTTCATGCGTACCATATTTCCTCTGGACTTCTCTATCTGAACTGTTGTTGTAAGTAGTCCCGAGGTCCAGGGGAATGGTTGCTCGTCATCATGTGATATATACATGTAGTCATCAAGAAGCATCCATCCCGGGGCCATGGATGTCCACGGGTCAGGTGATATCAGGTCCCTACATGTACCTATTCTGTCTTTGACGTATGACTTTAATAAACTGGTTTAGCTAGCTCAGAATTGACCTCGGCATATAAGGCACATTATATGCAAGACAACACTCTAATTTTCTTTTCAGGTGTCTTTTTAGAGACCTTTCTTCTTGCTGGTGTTAGCACCTTCTAAAGCACCATGGATGTAATGAAATGAATAAGCACTGAGTACGTCCCTCGGTTGCGACTTCCACGCCAGCATAAAGTGTACTTCGAGGAAGGACTGACCTGTGCACTAAGCCATTCCAACTCCCTTCCTCTCTTAACCCAGAACTCATCCCTCTCGATGAAACACAACTGACCAAAGTATGGGCTGAACTATGTCCCGAGTTTGAGGCAATGGCACCGTCACCTCTAAGCCAACTTGCTATATCGTTGGCATCAACTGAGTCTCGTGTGGAATCTAACGACCCTCAGAAGTCCGAGGATCACCTCACTTGACGAAGCAACAGTCAATCGGCTGCAAACGCCTCGTGATTCATACTTCCAGTGGACAGGAAACAACAGGCAACATCCGGGGTATACAACACATCAACGCCGACGATGTTGACAAAAAGGCCCTGGACTTGGAAGTTCTCGGCTTGGTGTAAAGTGGGTTGGAACGAAAAGCCGGAATGGCCACCGTGCCTCATGAAACTCTCAGATGAATGGGTCTACCCCTACAAAATCTCCCTCATGAAGTTGCACGATGCAATGTGGCGCATCGATTTCACGCAAAACCATCAAGGCGAAAAGCGACTCGTGGATATTAACGAGGAACATGAAAGCAAGAGGCTTAAGCAGCCCTGGAGGATTCGACGGGGATGGACAAGGCGGGAAAAACAGTTGGCAGCAATCTCGATTCCCAGCAGAACCGCGATCGGGCTTTCAGAGACGAGTGGGGTTTAGGACGCAATATGAAGATGCAGGAAATTGACCGTCATTGACGACTCTACCAATTGTTATGTGCTTGTATCCTGGTTTCTCAAGGCTTTCAGATGGAAAGAATAGAGATTTCCTAGCACGACCAAAATAAAGTGACTATTGGTTAGGCTCTTACGGAGTACGGGCGCATAACATGTTTCTTCTAGCTTGGGAAGTATGTATCTCGAAATCTTCCGCTCGTTTGATATACCCGCGCTGTTATTGGCTCCCGGGTGGTCCGGGGGTATCCCCTCATTTGGAGTCTTGTTGAACACCAGTGGTACATGCCTGCATTAAGATCAATCTTTGTTGAAGTTCCATTGATGCCAATGCTTCTACAGATCTTATATTTTAGATTTGATTGTGTGGCCTATTCTAGCTAAATAGGTTCACAGCCCGGTATACCTAGGACTGCACAATTGTAGGTCCAAACTTGAAATGTGTATTGTTTTGAATTTCCTGGGGACTGAAGGAAACCACATCGGATGGGCGTGTCCATGCGATAGGCAGCGTGATATGGGGGGGATAATTTACACAAAGCAACGGGAAAAGGCGGACAGAGAATAATATAGGCTTATGATGCAGGAACTGGGGATGTGGGAACCTCAATGCCGTAGTTCGCCTTGAGACGCTCCCGGCGTCTCTCTTCGTAACCAGGGCCGTAGATACCTAGTGAAATTAGTACTCGCAGACAATAGCGCTACCCGGATAAGAAGCACATACCACGTCCTTCACCCACTTCCGAGATGGTCTGCTCTCCGGGAGTCTGGAATGCCTTGCGCAACGCCGTCCGGCGGTCGAACTCGTCCACCGATGTGTCCTTCTGGTATCCAAACAGGGTGCCACCGGTGTACTCGAAGGCGGTCATGGCAGACGACAGGGCGATACCGTATCCGAGCACAGCGGGAGTGTGCGGACTGAGGTAAACCCGATTATTAGCTTTAATTACATAACCATAGACTCAATTGAATTCAGAACGTACCTCGGAGACCGAGAATGGCACCTGAGAAGAAGCCACCCAGAGCGACGTTGTAGTGGTCCTCCTTCTCACGCAGGTTGGCGGAAGCGGTCTTGATGAACTCATAGGTACCACCCATGGCCGCTTTAACATGTCTAGTTTAGCAATTGATCCATCAATTCATATAGAGAAGCCCATACCAAAGGTAGTAATGGTACCACCGCCACGGACGAAGACGCCCAGAGTTCCGACGTTCTGTTTGGTGAGCGTGTTCTGCACAGCGGCGCGAAGAGACCGACGCTTCCGGTCAGCGCGGTGGCCTTCATGGCTGCCGAAATGGCGTCCTTGGGGTGATAGCTGTGATCTTCGTCGTGGTGCGCCATGATGTGTCTGTGATAGCAGGGATGGACTGCTTGCGGTACGAGATGTGGTTGGCGATAGGATTTTGGAAGTCAGCTTTCTGCCATCCCTGACCGCCACCGCCCACCATACCAACGGAGCTCTACATGATTATGTTGATACTTCTTTCACGTCGAACGTTTTCATTCATTTGTTATCATCGAGAATCCTCTTAGATGCTGCTTGTTATTTTTTAAGAGTGACTTTTGATCTCAAAACTGTCCACTTTCCAGAAGAGAGAGTTCCAGAGCTTGCCACTGCTTGCTGCCAAGTGCAGTGGGCTCCCCCGCTGTCTCTCCGCATACAGTGGCGATTTCATCATTTGTCAATATTGCCATCACAGCTAAACTGTTACATTGCGCGCTTTTGTGAGCCTCGATGAGAACCAACCCTTTAGGAGAACCAACTCTGCCATAGCATCAAGACGAATATCCCAACTGTGCGAGGCCTTCAGGCCTGAACACCGTACTTCATGGCGTCTGTACAGAAGGCCGGTAAGGCAGCAACCTGGATCAGCAAATCTGGAATATGATTTGAGCAAATGCTTACGACTGTTTTTCATCAATCATATAGGAAAGACCGCGCCGCGTCTCATTCATGATGTCCAGCTGTATGACGCAGTACACGAACCAGACACAGGCCGTAATCTCCTCTCAGAAACTCCGCCCATTTACCCAGAAGGCTACAACGGCCCACCCGGATTCATATCACCGGAGGCATGTCGACACAACTATGTTTTGAAAGAAGACCAGACCTTCATGTCTGAGCCAGAGCACCGGAGAAGGCCAGGCACATCGTCCAAGGTCTCAGCCATATGCGCAAAGTGCCGTTATCATCTCCAAGTGGTGGTCAACTACACCAGCCACATAAGCACATTCAGTCAGAAACAAGGGAAACACTTGCATCATTTGGTCTATCAATCAGGACGGCAGAAGAATGGCCTTGGGTTTCCTGAAGAAACTCCTAAAGGGCAGGTTGCGGAGACGTACCACTACCAATGCTCCTACATCTCATGCTCGGCTATGGTATCTTTGCGGATTCTTTCACCAATTCTGAGACCGGAATCCATCCGCTTGTTGACCGATAAAGACTTGTTGCGGAAACGAGCTGAAGAGGCCACTGCAGCGTATGCTGAGTCCATGGAAGGCATGGGTGATCCGCAGCCGATCAACGTATTGGATAACCTGCGCCTGTACATTACCAACGCCCTACGAAATCCACAGCGCAGCAAGCCCATCTCCTCCGTCAATAAGAGATTCATGCATTCTTTCGGCGTGGAAGGTGCTGCTTGTAAAGAATTACTTGAATTTCTAGAATTCATGTACAATAAGGTTCGTAGTAATTACACTGTCTTCTAATTGTCCACTGATCTCACTTGGTTTCGTGCCGCTGACGAATCGATTCAGGACACCGGGGCATGGCACCCGCCTAAACCGACCACTAACGCCGAAAAGCCTTACCAAGACACGATGCGTCTCTTTCTCGACGACTTGCTGCATGAGTTGCTAGTCCTGATACATCTAAGATCAGTCTCGGAAAGAAAAGGATTCCAGATTCCCAATCTTCCTTCCTCCGCCATCCCCATTATTTCCTGCGCTCTAGAAGCGCAAGACTGTTCGTACACCGTGACCCTTACCCCTAACAAATCTAAACTAATTTCTGCTCCAGATCCGGAAGCTATGCGTTACAAGGAATTCGAGATGCCTCATGCTCCGTTTGTACACCCTATCTTTGAATTGATAGAACTGGATCTAACCCATGTTTCCTTAGTTTTTATGAAGACTTGGGGGTGATGGAGGATATGTCGTCGTCAGCTGTGGTCGAAGCATACGATCGACAGGTCTTAACCGATCCTGGCAGGACCCCGATGTACTTGTCTGCCCTCAAGGCTATCGGCTGTCTTCGTGGTGGTCAGGACAAGGAAGTCATTGACATAGCTGTCCAGGCAGCTTATGAACAAGGAAAGTACGCCGTTGAGGACGTTGTCGGCGCGTATCAGTACTTTAATCTCCACTTCGATGATCCAAATCTCACGGAAGACAGCATCATTGGCAAATTCTACGCCTTCGTCAGCTCGACGACGCAAGATACTGAGGCACGTCAGCAGTTGTGGCGGATTGGCGACTCCAGGGGAAGCTCGCGCATCAAAGCGGCATCAGAAGATCGTGTGTTGATCCAGTCATTTTGTCTCCAAAGTCAAATGGGTGCTAATTTTAACAACAGGTGTTTCTACTGTTGAACAAGCGAATGTCTTCTTGGGGGTCGAGAATCAGACCCCCGATGATTTTGTCATGACTATGTACACCGCAAAGGTGTGTTTTCTGAGCGCTTTATTTGTGGGTTGAACGCAAGTTAACATTGGCATCAATTAGGTCAATGACAATCCACTTACCAAAGAACTGGCGAAACGCGCCGTGGCACTCATCGCCGAGTCCCGAAAATCGGTCGCACTGAATCATTTCATCAATACTGGAGAAATGATCGCGGGTGAAATGGACATTGGTGATGCCTACCGTCTACTCCAAATACCCGATCGAACTGTTGATGATGGAGCAATCATAGCCGCATATACAATCTGCGTCGATGAAAAACCCAGGGGATGCCGAAAAATACAATCAGGCACTGACAATCATTGCCAAACAACTGGACAGCTCAACGTTGAGGAATATGGCAGGTATCTCCAACGAGCCGGATAGAAGCATGCAAGATTGGCCAGTTGGACTACAAAACATCGGCAATACATGCTACCTCAACAGCCTGTTGCAGTTTTATTTCTCCGTCCGTCCCTTCCGTGAATTGGTCTTGGATTATGAACGCTTCCAAATGGATCTCAATGACGAGGAAAGCCTCGCAAAGAAACAAGTGGGCTCGCGAAAGGTGACGAAGAAGGAGGTTGAGCGATCTCAGCGATGTAAGTTGCTTTTTTCGGTGCCAAAGGCTATGTCCCTCAAGCTGACCCTTTCCTTTTGCAGTCCTTAATGAGCTCCGGACTTTGTTCCGTAGCATGATCACCTCATCAGAAATCTCGGTTACTCCCGGCCACGAACTTGCTCGGTTGACCCTGATTAGCCCAAGCAATGAGGCGGCGATACGTCGTCGGTCGACGATCACTGCCACTGAGACCCGAGATTCTCGGTGATATCAACGGTGCTCCTATTCTGGGACCCCTTGGGCCTCCACAGACCCTCCTCGGGGGTCGTATGGAGCCAGTCTCATCATCTAGTCAAGCTGATCCCGCACCTATTCAAAACTCGACCGTGAGCGATGACGGCAGCGATGCAACGTTGGTGTCTGATAATAGCATGAACGATGCACCTGGACTATTTGTTGAGGACAAAGAGAACAACCCCCCGACTTGGACCAGCTGTCGGATCAAGCAGAGGCAGGATCTCCCCAGGACATGAATATCGACACAGACAACATTGCATCGGCCAATGTACCCCCTGCCCTCCCTCCTCGGAACGTCCCGCAAGTTGATCGGGAAAAGCAATTGAAGGAGGAAGTAGAAATTGGTGCCCAACAGGATGTGACAGAAGTCATCAACAATGTTCTGTTCCAGAGCCAGTGCGCCATCCAGCCTCGAGAGATTGGCGATGACGGTGAGCAGCTTGACCAGGTCAAGGAGTAAGTTATGAACAGTCGTCTACTAAAGTACCTATGTTAACCCTCCCGTCAGCTTGTTCTACGGCCAGACCCGCTCTTACATCTCCACCGAGAAAGGCACACGTTCGAAGAACGAACGGTGGTGTGATATCAAGGTTGATGTTGCTCACGGATCTCGAAACATCTATGATGCCATTGATGGGGCATTTGATATTCAAAAGATTAGTGTGGACAACTCTGTGGCTGAGCAATTCGCTTCCATTAGCCAGCTTCCCCCTGTTCTCCAGATCCAGGTGCAACGGGTCCAGTTTGATCCTGTGAAGAAATGCTCGTTCAAATCTACAAACCATCTTGGGTTGCTTGAAACTATCTACATGGATCGATACATGGATACCAAGAATCCCAATATTGTGGATCGACGAAATCAATGCTGGGAGTGGAAGGCATCTCTGAAAAGGCTCGAGGCTCGTCGGGAAGAGCTTCTCAGAACAAAGGTATCGAATACTCTCAGTCGATGTGCCCCAGGTCTATATAGCTAATATTTTTCTTTTCTACAGGAGGGTGCGGGCGTCGACGTGGCAACATTGTTCCGTAGAGCCAAGACCGCGCTACAAGATGTAGACTCTATCGAAAGCGACACCGAGACCGGAATGGGATCTGATTCCATGGACGCGGTGGCTAGTACAGAGTTACTGGACAAACTCGAGTGCCTTGCCAATAAAGCAGAGACCGACCTGCAAGGTAAGAAAGAGTTCTAATACCACGGTTTTACGTGGAACAGGCGTGTTAACCTTTTCCATAGCTGTCGACCAAGAAATCAAGGATACGCAGACCATGATTTCCAGCCAATTTGCCGATTTCCATCAACTCCCATATCGACTGTACGCTGTTTTTGTGCATCATGGGTCAGTCTCATTTGGCCATTACTACATCTACATCTTCGACTTTGACAAGAATATATGGCGCAAATACAACGACGAGTACGTCACCGAGGTCCAGAATGTGGATGAGATCTTCAAAAACGACTCGACCAACAACCCTCCGACCCCATACTTCCTTGTTTATGTCAACGATAGCATGAAAGACCGTCTGGCAAACCCCGTCTGCCGTGTGATATCCGACAACATGTCCGAACTTCCCGATCTGGAACCAGCCATCACCATGGAGGGTGTTCAGGCCACTAGCCCTGCGCCGGACGTGAATATGGAACCTCCATCCTACGAGGAAGCGTCGGCCATCAATGGAACTCCAGGTACGGAAAACATAAAATCCGACACGGAGACCACAACATGGCCCCGTCCTCGTCCTGCGACTGACTCGGAGCAGTATTGGTAGATTCCAATGTTACGCCCGTCGATGCGGAAGCTGTCAACCCTCTGAAACGCAAGAGTGTCGATGAAGTGAAACAAACCCGTCCGACTTAGTTTCTTACACTGCGTGGCACCCACCTGGACAGCATGATAACATGATTTGCATGATTTCTCGATTATTTTATGTCTGCACGTGGATATTACTGCATTGCGAGGTGTGAAATGTTTTTTGTTATCCAGCATGTACATACGCTGAAGATACCATGGAGTACTTGTAGAGTTAAGATAGTCGAAATTGATCTTTCTCTTTATGTTTGACCATTTGAGCCCCAGTTTGTTTCATATATGTACTTTGCTACCTTGCTACTACTAACGTTGTTACTTTGTTACCCCGGATAAACGTATCAGGTGACTATACGAAGCTGACTCAGCACAGCCGATTTCCCACCTGGGCAAGCCGCGGGAATCGGATACGGATCGGCTGTGGATTTCGGCAGCGGCAAGAAGAGATGTCAATCGGTCTAGGGGGATACTGAAGGCAATTAGAAGCAAAAAAAGAATGAGAAATAGGTAGAATTTGCTAGTACTTGACTTGGGATATCCCTAATAGCTAGCCACCAATTTCACAGGCTTCGGGGGGTTAAAAGTATTGAATTCAGGGCAGTTCATAGAGGCGGGAGAGAGCCGGGAATCCACATTTCCGGGGAAACGAATATCACTTCGGGAATGATTCCGCCTTCACTGCCGTGCGGGAATATAAGAAGTGGCGATTGCCGCTGCCATGGGCATTGATTTGATCCTTTTATACCTTGCTGCGGACTTGGGGTTTTATTAATATAACATCTAATCTCTTATTTGGAAGTCCTTCGCTATGCCTTCGCAAGTGGCAACATGCCTGCGCCTCGCGCGTCAGTTCTCCGCCAATCCTGTCCAGGTAAGTGATTTGCCAATAGCTCATGGCGCATTTCGCTTTTCGAGCCGCGGAGACTGACATGTCTTTTAACTAGCACCAACGTTTCATGGCCCGCGCATTCTCCAGCAGCGTCCGCCGAAGTGAGATCAACAAGGTGTACCCCTCCGCCGAGGTAGCAGTCAAGGACATGAAGTCCAACTCGACTCTGCTCGCCGGTGGATTCGGGTTGTCTGGTGTACCTGACTCGCTGATCAACGCTGTACTCGCGAACCCCTCTATCACTGGCCTGACTGTGGCCAGTAACAACGCTGGTGTGGACGGAGCTGGTCTCGGTCTGCTCCTCAAGTCTAAGCAGATCAAGAAGATGATTGCTTCTTACGTCGGCGAGAACAAAACCTTCGAGCGCATGTACCTCACTGGTGAGATCGAGTTGGAGCTCAGTCCCCAGGGAACTCTTGCTGAACGATGCCGTTCTGGCGGTGCGGGCATCCCCGCATTCTACACACCCGCCGCCTTCGGTACCGTGGTGCAGACCGGTGCGGTGCCCCTACGACACAACGCTGATGGCACAGTCGCAAAGTACAGCGAGGCGCGCGACACCAAGGTGTTCGACGGCAAGAGTTACGTCATGGAGGAGGCGATCAAGGGTGACTACGCTTTCGTCAAGGCGTGGAAGGCCGACAAGCTTGGTAACTGCCAGTTCCGCTACGCGGCCGCCAACTTCAACGGTGCCATGGGCCGTAACGCCAAGATGACCATCGTCGAGGCTGAGCACATCGTCGAGCCCGGCGAGATCGAACCCGCTGCCATCCACCTGCCCGGTATCTACGTCAAGCGTGTTATCCAGAGCACCACCCCCAAGAATATCGAGAAGTTCACCTTCGCCAAGGAGGAGGGCGCTGACACCTCTGCTCTCGGCAAGGGTGAGACCGCCAACAAGCGCGAGCGTATCGTCCGCCGTGCCGCTAAGGAGTTCAAGAACGGCATGTACGCCAACCTCGGTATTGGTATGCCCATGCTTGCTCCCAGCTTCGTCGACCCCTCCGTTGAGGTGACCCTGCAGTCCGAGAACGGTATCCTCGGTCTCGGCCCTTACCCCAAGCAGGGTCAGGAAGACCCTGATCTCATCAACGCTGGCAAGGAGACTGTCACTCTCAAGCCCGGTGCTAGCTGCTTCGGCAGCGACGAGTCCTTCGGCATGATCCGCTCCGGCCGTATCGACCTGACCATCCTGGGTGCCATGCAGGTCAGCGCCAAGGGTGACTTGGCCAACTGTACGTTTATCTCACTTTTCCTCCGCTTCATGCATATAACTGACATTCTCGCGCAGGGATGCTCCCCGGTAAGATCAAGGGCTTTGGCGGTGCCATGGACTTGGTCTCCAACCCCTCTGCCACCAAGGTCGTCGTGACCATGGAACACACCGACAAGAAGGGTAACCCCAAGATTGTCAAGAACTGCGAATTCCCTCTGACCGGCCCTGCTTGCGTCAGCCGTATCATCACCGACCTCTGCGTCTTCGACGTTGACTTCACCCACGGCCTGACTCTCATTGAGATCGCTGACGGTGTCACCGTCGAGGAGGTCCAGGCTAAGACCGAGGCCCCCTTCAAGGTCGCCGATGATCTGAAGCCCATGCTGTAAATTTGCATGCAGACTGTATGATTTGTCAAGCGTTTGTATATAGCAATTAGGAGTTCGATTGTTTCAAAGTTAGTGCATTCTCATGAATATATCCTGGATATGCATCAAGAAGAACATTGCTCTGAATAAATCGTACATCTGAGTAGAAAACATAGTAGGTATACAATAAAATGGAAAAAAAAGAGAAAAGGTATTGGTACACGTCATGCAACCCATCATATAAAACCCCAATAATGCTGACCCAATCCAGCTAGACAATGATAAATCAAGTATCCCCAAAGTTTCCAGCGTCAAAGAACCAGAAGTCTATACATACAGCAAGAATAGAAACATCACGTCAAGCGGATAATACCAGCCAACCTCTTCCGTAACCGGCCAAGCCAATCGCGGTTCGGCGCCTCTGCAAACTCACGTACGACATTGTCATAGTGGTCTGGGTTACTGGCCGGCCGGCGCAGCTTCTCCGGCATGGGATATTTGCGCGCGTAGCGGTTGTTCAGCAGCGATTCAAGTGCATTCGTGGAGGACTCGGAGATCGCTGGGCTGGACTTGTCTGCTTGGAGACCGGATTGGATGTAGTTTTGGACGGAGACTGAGGCTGGGCGGACTGCATCCGAGGGCCAGTGCTTGAGAATGTGGTCGAGGCGACTTTGGAGGGAGCGCGGGTTAAGGGTCTGGACGGTTTGTTAGGAAATTTGTCTTGGGATTGAACGTTGAGGGGGCTCGTCGATGGTGCTGTTTGGGATAGTTCGGGTGTTTAGATACTCACAGGTGTTTTAGACATGGTGGACAAGAGATATCACAAGATAATTGTGGTATAGGGGAAGGATCTTCCTCTGCAAGTTGAGGCAAAGACGGGAACAGTCGATTTTGGCCTGGCGCATCAGGCATCATCAGCCACATCCATTCCTGTTGCCTTCTCATCGACCCCGTCATTTTCCCATCCCCTTGTACTTGTGTGATAATCATTTTCGCATTCTAACCGAAGTCCTTTCTGTCCCATTTTACTTTCTGATTCTATTCAGGGTCGCTTCCCGCTCAGCTCGCCATGAGCTCGCAGCGCTATTCACGGGTACGCAATCCCCCGCTGATCCCCTATCAGAACGAGTCCCCCGGATGGAATCCCTCGGCAGGATACTGACCACTACATGTATAGGTGAATGCCCAAGATGAAGAGGAAGGACCACATTCCTATCCGCTGAACGCGCGACCCGAACACAACACCTCCTCACCTTCCTCTTACCGTTCCGGATCCCGCTCATCGTCGCCATCGTCGAGGCGGCTATTACACACCGATCCACAACACAACGATGATGAACAGACACTGGCCGATGCCTTCGGCGACGAAGACGAGTCCGACGATGATAATGAGCCGGATGACAGGCAGCGCTTGATGCGAGCCGACCCCGACTTCCGGGCTCCCTCGGATAACGGCCCTTCTGCCACGGCGTCCTCGTCGGAGTCGAGGGGCGATTCACCAGATCGGACTCAATCAGGGCCTTTTAGACGGCCGACCATGTTGCCGACTTTCACAGCACCAGCTTCTGGAGGGAGTCGGCAGATCGCCTCATCGAATGATGGAGTCTTTGCCAATCTTGCCGCCAAGCCAGAACGGGGTGAAAAGAATGATGATCTTCCTCCTGTAAGTTGACGATTGGTTCTCTTTGGTATGTTCGAAAGACTTGTGTACTGATATCTTATTTAGTCATACGAAGAAGCCGCCGCTGATGCGACACCGCCATACTGGGAGACCACCATTGTGGCACCTGGTATCTCTTCCGATGAGGTCTATGTCGATGGACTGCCTGTCGGATCTGTTTTCTCATTTGTCTGGAACGCCATGATCTCAATGTCATTCCAGCTTGTTGGCTTCTTGCTGACGTATCTCCTCCACACCACCCATGCCGCAAAGAACGGCAGCCGAGCGGGTCTCGGTCTTACTCTTGTTCAATACGGCTTCTATATGAAAGGCGGCAACGAAAGTTCCGGCTCCGACGGTGGAGGCTCAGAATACGTTCCTCCACCTGACCCCAACAGTCACAACTTCGACCCTAACTCAGTTAGTGAGGGCGGGGGCAATGGAGGGAGTGGCACCATGTCTGGCATCACCACCAGTGAATGGATTTCATATGTTCTCATGATTGTTGGTTGGTTCATTTTGATACGTGCGGTCAGTGACTTCCTGCGGGCACGACGTCATGAACAGCTTGTTTTGCAGAGCCCAGATCGCGGTCTGGGTGTACCAGTCATTGCAGAAGGCGAACGGTCCGAAACTGTGGTCTAATATCGGTATACATTGGGATTTTCACTTGGTTTCTTTTTCTAGGACGTGGACATGGACATGGAAATGTCTGGCGTTACAGCATGGAGTTTCTTTTTGTATCGACACCCCCAAGGAGCACTGCCTCCGGATTGCATTCCTTCAATTGTTTTCCTTTTCCTTTTTCAGACCATTCTACTTTTATTTCTGGCCGTATAGCCATTCTGAAGATACCAAATATATGAACCATGAACAACAATAGCAGTCATACTTATGTACGTAGTGTCAATACCCTAGTTCGAGTCTCCTACTAAAATGCCGCTAACGACTTCAGCAGCTTCTATAACCACCGCCACAGTTTCCTTGTCCAAGGTTCCCTCCATACTTAAAGCCCGTAGCCTATCCCCCCAAAATAGCCACCGCTCCCGCGTCAGCCCCTCCTCCCTCGGCCACAACTCCGTCTTCTCATCTAAGGCCGCCGCCCAGTGCCGCCGCAGCCCCTCATAGTCCGCCTCCCACAGTGCCCGGCCCCCATCCCGCACCCAGATCGCTGCTACTCGGACATCCAGCGCCCACACCTGCTCCGACGACATCCTATGGGCTTTTGGTGGACAGGGCTGAGGCCCCTCACGCTCCAGCACGTCGCGGCACGCATAGAAGACCCATATAGGATACATCATGTCTTTACCTTTGGTTGATTTCAGCAGCGCAGCCGAGAAGATGCAAAAGCGGAGAAAGTACTCTCCGCCGCTGCTACCCACCGTACTAACAGTCCAGTTGTCCCCCGCACCCGAGTCACGCACGCCATCCCAGTCGCGCCAGGCTTCGAGGATATCATGCACGTCGCGCCACTGCGCGTTGAACCGTGGCAGTGTCTGCCAGTGTATATTTCCATTGGCCCCGATGTAGCTGCTCAGCTGTCGCTCTGCCTTGGATCGTGCGCGTACGTTGAGCTGCGTTGGCGGCTGCGCATGGAGGGCATCGAGGAGGGCGAGGAGAGGCTCGTGCGATGTTGAAGAGGTGGCGACAGCCGTAAAAAAGGCGTCCCAGAGTTCCCAGAGCGCGTGCGCAGGGTCTGAAGAGGAAGCCACGGAGTTGACGATGTTGGTGGCTGTCTCATCTGGCGCTGGCGTTGATGAGTGTTTGCTAAGGGTTAGAAGGGCTTGGATTGGCGTGGAGAAGGCATTTGGGGGGTTGCTGCCCGGGATATCCAATATAGTTGTCATTGGATGAGCTGGAAGTTGGTGGGAAGTGCGCTGGCCGGTGGTGAATTCCTCTTAGTGATAGGCGTCTTTTGGCGTTTGGCGGTCATTTTGGCCCCAACAGCGGTAATTTTCGCCAATTGCATTGGTGACCTCGGGTTCTACCAACAATATTGTAGGTAGTTATAGTAGATCCCAACGTTATCGAGGCCTAAGGGTGCCCACGCGTACTGCGCCACGATAGGCAGCATTCTATATCCTTGTGCCCTTGCATCCCTTTGTTTCTCGCCTGCGCAACTTCACTCCACTGACGGAAGACAGAAAGAAGAACAGAAGAGAAAAGAGAAATAGACCAAGTCCTCTTTCCTCGGCGGATCAACTCCCGCCCACTGCCGAGAGCCCCATTGTTTATTTGCCAACCTCAACTCTACATACCAAGGTAACCTTTGTCTTTCGATATTCTACCTGCGTTTCTTGTCGGGGCGGATCGCGGCCTTGTCCGCAATGTCTACTATCCCTCAGGGCCCCGTCGAGGCACGTTCACTGTCGTCGGTCACCACTATCGCATCGAATCCCCCCGCCTACCCTCGCAATCCAACTCACGAGAAGCACGAACCGCTCTCTTTGTACATTGTGCGTGTGCCAGGAAGCAAAGGTATGAATCAATTCCACTGTATTGACACTCTGCTCTCCGTCTTTTGGTCTTGAAAGAACCATAATTGCGCCTTATTAGTGCTTTAACAACCAAATGAAGATAACCATAACTGACTGCTATTTCTATGCGCAGACATTTTCCTCTCACCTCTCAAACCCCCGACCAAATCCAGTGTCTCTGCCGAGGCGATCAATGCCTCTCTATACTATCTCCATGTCGCGACTCCCGAAGATGATACCCTGCTCCAGGAAGTGGAAGAAGAGCGAGAAGAGGAGGCCCAGTTGCGCAAGGAGCGTCTCGCGAAAGCGGGAGTCGACGACCCGGTACAACGCGAGTTCGCGCGGCTGAATAATGTGCGCCGGAAACCAGTTGGTGGAGGAGGGGACCTCAACACCGAGCCTTCGCTGGCACCGCCTAAACAGGATGCCACTGCTCCTTCCGCCTTGCCATTACGTCCAACCCCTGCGCTGCAGGATGAAATAGCTTCTCCGGCCTTGCCACCGCGTCCAATCCCTATGCCGCAGGATGACACCGCGCAGGATGCCGCTGCTCCTCCCGCCCTGCCACCACGGCCAGTACCTATGCCGCAGGTTACTGCGGAGAATGTATCTTTCTCCGGGACTCCGGTCGCCAACATGCAGCCTCCTTTGACTAATAATACGTCTGGAGGGGTATCAGTAGAATCGGGTGGTAAGAGCGGTGTCTCGCGGCGACCTTTACCTCCCTTGCCGCCTGGTGAAGAGTCATGGACCAATTCTGCAGCAGGCGAGGACCCGTCTAAGAGGACATCCCGATGGAGCGCGTTTACGGAACAATTGCAAAATCGGGGAGAGAACTGGAGGGGAAAGTATGAGGCAAAGTACGAGGCGTTTGGGGCTGGCCGTCATAGCCTGGACTCTAATAGACCGCAATTGCGGCCTCGTTCTTCGCATAACCGTACCGGATCACCATTAGGAAGCCCCGGGCAATCTCCTAACCGGCAGAGAAACGCACATGACGACCCTCCTAGCAATGCTGGCTTTCATATCACGCTCATCCGACGTGATCCTACGTCCGGTACACAATGGAATGTGGCAACTATATCAACCCCGCGAATGGACCGCAATGCCGTCGATATCGAGATTTCCACGCCGGGATATAACAGGTTCGCAGGCTCCAACGAGATGCCTTCATTATCCAGCCTGGCGGCCAATCTCCCGACGGGAATCGGGCGCCTACCCAACTCTGTCATTGCCCAATCCTTAGCTGCTGAGCAACCAAAGGAGCAGCCGACTGGCCCACGCAAATTCCACCGCCAACTCTGCGTATCAAAACCATTTGACGACTCCGTCGCCACAGATAGCAGCAACGGCCACAACCCAGATGGCCCATCCTCATCTAAGCTAAAAAGCGGCTACTACGTCTTCACTTCTCCCTGGAATGGCACATGTACCTTCACAAACAGCGTGAACGGCCGAAGCCTCAAATGCAAGCACATGATCCCAACACCCGGCGGCTTCGTCCCTCCCAATGGCGAAGCAGAAGCACCCCCCGCCGTAACCGTCGCCGAGCTCCGCTTCAACACCCCCTTCCAAGCAGCAAATCTCCACTCTCATGTCCACCACGCAATCCATAAACCCCACCCAAACCACCTCTCCCCCTTCACCCAAAGCCAAATTCAGACCCCGTCCCTCTCCCGCCCAAATGACAACCCAAACGACAACAACCCCAATCCTGAAGGAGGACCCCTCCACCCATCCTCCTCGAACAACAGCTTCGCAGCGGCAAAGCGCAACTCCCTCTCCCAATTCCTAAACCCAAACACCTACGCCCGGCCCCGCGCACACACGGGACCAGGCTCAGCCCCACCTCATCCCGCCTCGCCCCCCGCAGACTCGCGCGCAAACTTCAACCCCTCAACCCTCCTCCGCAGAACCTCTATGCGTGCGCAACGCTTCGCGCGCCAGAACCAGCTCCACCCGGGTTCTCAGCCCCACTCGCACCGCAGTACGAGTAATAGTAGCGGTGGGGATTTGGATTGTGATTCCGATGAGGATCGCTTGGACTTTTCGCTGGCGAGGGAGAATGCCGGCGGTGGGCTAAGGGGGAAGAGTGCGAAACTGGGGAAGTTGGTGATTGAAGATGAGGGGATTAAAATGCTTGATCTGGTTGTTGCGGCTTGCATGGCTGTTTGGTGGAGGGGGTATTATTATTGAGATATATTGATCTTGGTCTTGGTATTAAGAATTCCTGGCTAGGTTTATAGGTCTACTGGCTATAGTCGGTTAGTACGATGATATCGTATATGAATGCATGAATTTCATTTTGTCTGATCTGGTTATGTCTCCATCATATATGCTATTTCTCCAAGCTACAGAGTGGCCTCAGGAATGTACGTACATATGTACCTGTTATGTACCAGATTTTAGGCCGCGGACGCGGATTTCCTGGGGTGCCGCCGCTTTATAAGGGGGCTCTCCTGCTCACTGAGTATTTCACCGCACAGGGTGATTACTCAATGTACTCCAAGGTATGCCTAGTAATGCTCAGGTCATCCACCTGCTGGGCATGGATGCTCAGTGAGCGGGCTACTACCTTCCAAGGTTCTTACCTTGATAGCACTCGTACATATCAAAACCACCTGCGGACTTCACTGAGTAGCTACTGCATCAAGACATAGTCTTCAAGGGTAAGTTTACTTAAGATTGAAAGTGGAAGGGGTGAGATGTACTGATTGATGATGGCTCATATTTGGGTAACGTGGCTGGTACGCCGAACAAATATGAAAAAGATAGATAAAAAAGAAGTTCATGAGTGTGCTATGCTATAAATAAAAAGCCAAAAACTATTTGTGATTCATACATATACAATGCAAAAAGTTTCACTGCAGTAAGGAGAAAATCCAAAAACAAGGGACGAAAGAAAAGACACCAATTCGCCAAATAACAAGGACAAAATGAGCAAATGAATGCAGAGCCGCATTTACTGGAGCACCCGCACCATGGAATCCAGGGAAGAATGCTGCACTAGTGTCTCTAGGCGCACAGCACCACCAACACCGTGAGCTTGCAACTCACAGAGCAGCAGAGCCATGTGTACCAGATCTCCTCCTGCCTCAAAGAAGTCTACCTTGTCATCATCAATCCGAGAATCAATGGGAAGGACGGTACGCCACGCCTGCTGCACCGCCGCCCGGACGTTGGAGTTCGTAGTCGGCAGAGGGCACTTCTCAAGCAATTCGTCAACTGGGCGCTCTTCTCTACTGTGTAGAGGGAGCAGAGCCGGCGACTCCCCCTTTTCGTAAACGGGCGTCTTTTCCACTGGCAGGGCTGCCCACAAACGCAGCAGACTGCCTAACTGCTCAATCAGCAACTCCGCCGCGAACGGCGTCATGACTGCCGATGAGGTGAGCAGATCTAGGTCAACGTAGCCATCGCCGGTGGGAGTCGACAACACTGAAACATCCGTGAGGTCGAGATCAGCGCCCATGAAACCAGGCTCATAGAGGGCGGTGGCATTGTCCTGGTCTAGCTGCAACGCACGGTCGGGCTCGATATTTTGATGCTGCACCACACTGCTGAAGTGAGACCAGCGCTGCCAGTCCGTGCAGTCACGTATTATTTGACGGAAGCCAAGGAACTCATGGGGTAAGTTTGCTACCTGTTGCTGCTGCTGTGCCAAAAGAAGTTCGAGCACTGTTTGACGTGCATCCAAGCGTGCGCGAACTGGCACTACATTCAAACAAGGACCCACGACAGTGTCAATGCTCGCCAATGTCGCGGCAGAGCGATTGGCAGTTGTGTGTCCGAAGACGACATCGGTAGAGTCAGTCAGGCGTGCTAGCAGCACCGCCCAAGCAGATTTGAGGACCGTGGCTGTCGTGATGCCATACTGGGGTAGCGAAATCACTGGAACGTGGTGGCGGGTAACATGCAACACGCGTTCCGTGGCGTCGTCGCGTAGGCTGGGCTTGTTGTGCACGACGAAGCGGGTCTCTGGTGAACCGGCTAAAAGTTTGCGCCAGTGTGAGCGTGCAGCAGTAAGATCTGCTGGAGTAGTGTCTTGGAGGAATCGCGCAAAGGAGGGAGTAGAAAGCTGACTCTGGCCTTGGTAGGCACGCTGAAGGGACTCCCAGAGGGTTGGCAAAGACACACCGTCATATTGCGCGTGTGACAGGCGTATCAGCAGACGGTGTGACTGACCGTTTGGATGCACGGCCAGTACAAACCGTACATAGGGCTCGGACAGCTGGAAATCGTTGGCGATGCCCTTATCGTACAAGTCTTGAGTGAAGGCGGCGAGGTCGGCGGTAGACTCAACGTCGAAGCAGGGCTGCAACTTGTGCAGAACCACCTGCCAGAAGTGGCCTGCGTGAGGTGCGAAGACCGTGCGGAGAATGTCAAAGTGCTGAACCAAGAAGTAACAGGCCTGACGGAGGCGTTCGATGTCAGGAGCACCGGGACCATCGAAGTAAAACCAGTTCAACATCCAGCGCGACTCGCTCAGATGGCCGACCAGTGCGACATCCTGGAAGTCCGTTGTATGCTGAATAGCAGCAATCGCGCTAGGAACAACACCTATCCGCGGTGCCAAAACCTCAGCCAGAGCGAGATCCAGCACGGGAGCTGTCGCAGTTGTCAACTTGGGCACCAGTGGTGGCGTCTCAGTCCCCGGGGTGGGTGGCATTTGGGTACTTAGATAGGCGGCTAGATCCGCCAGAATTGGGTGAGTGAAGAGATCGGCGACAGTCAAACTGAGTTGCGAATTGCGAGCGAGACTGGCCAATTTCATGGCAACAATGGAATCTCCACCGAGGCCAAAGAAGGTGTCATCGGCGCCAATAATGGAGGCGTCGAGAGCGAGAGCTTCGGCCCAGAGACTGGCCAACCAGCGCTCCATTAGAGTCTCGAGCGGGCGCTTGATTACACGATCCTGGAGGGAGTAGGCTTGCAGCTGGGCGTCCGACAAAGTGTTTACGGCGCGGCCCAGCAGCTTGCGGTCTGTTTTACCAGATGCATTTGTCGGAAGAAGTTGCAGAGGGATGAAAAGTGCCGGCAGCATGTAGGGCGGAAGCATCGCACGCAGCGCCGCTTGAAGGTTAACCAGTGTTTGTCGAAGCTCTGGCGTAAGGGCCCGCGCAATCGCTACGAGCTCCATGTCAGGCACGGGGCCAGACTCCTGGTAAATATAAGCCACCAATACCTTCTGGCCATTGCGACTGGCGAGGGTCACGCTGTCCACCATGGTGGAGTAGCCAGGCAGCAGAGTACGCATGTGGTGTTCGATCTCGCGCGGCTCGATGCGACGACCGTAGACCTTGACCTGGGTATCTGCGCGGCCGAGATATTCAATGCTACCGTCAGGGAAGTAGCGCGCGAGATCGCCAGTACGGTAGACAAGCGAGCATTCAGACCCAAGCTGCGTCTCAGTCATCCATGCAAGATCGCAACGGAAAGCGGCGTTACTGGCCTGCTCGTTTTTTAAGTATCCTCGGGACAGAATGGGACCCTCGATAAGCAGCTCGCCCACGCAGCCCAGCGGCGCTAAGCGATGCAGATTATCAGGCTCAGCGATCCACAGGCGACAACCGACAGGCAGACCGATGTTGGTACAGCGATCATCCGGCCGCTTGAAGGGACCGGCGGCACACCAGACTGAGGCTTCGCTGGGGCCATAGGCATTTATCAGGGTGGGCACGTGGCTAACCCAGGTGCGAAGATTGTCCTCTGTGGGACACTCACCGCTGAGAACGAGCGTCTTCAGCGATGGTACCATTGAAGGCTGGACAAGATTGGCGACAGTAGGTGTGAGACAGGCCCAATTGGCACCGAGGCGACTAACGGCACCTGCTATGTCGTTGAGTCGGTCCTGCTCTGAGATTATACAAACCGTCGCACCAAGAACCAACGGCGCGAAAATCTCGGCATAACTGATGTCGAAGGTGTATGCGGCATACTGCAGCACCCGCGAGTCGGGGGTGAGGTTTAGCGCTGAGCTGAAGGCGACGATGCTGGTATGGATAGCGCAGTGGTCAATCACCACCGATTTGGGTTTACCAGTACTGCCTGAGGTGAAAGTCAGGTAGGCTGGCGATGTGGCGTCAACGACCGGTAGCGGTCGGACACTTGTGGGACTGCTAGGCAGCTTGGACGCCATGGTGGAATCCACGACTAGCACATGGTCCACTGGCAGCATCGCCCCTATGTGCGCATGACGGGGTGCGGTAAGAATGTACTGCAATCCTGTGTCGATGGAAATTTCTGTGAGTCGCGCAGGCGGATGCTGGTGATCTAGATGAACGCAAATTCCGCCAGCCTTGAGCACGGCGAGGAGTGCCACAACAGCCCAGCAGGACTTGTCGAAAACCAAGCCAACTGGATCGCCAAGGGGCAGATTGAGATCGACGAGGACTTGAGCGAACTGCGATGAGAGGTGGTCGAGCTCACCGTAAGTGAGATGACCATCCCAAGCCTCAACGGCAGACCGATTCGGATAGGCGCGGGTTTGGGCACATATCTTATCATGCAGAGTGGAGGCAACCGGTTCCACGGGGGGTCCCATCCACCGGCGCAGCTGGGCCAAATCAGCCGGCCCTGTCAGGGTCAGATCAGAAAGAAGAGTTTTGCATGGCAGTTGACATAGCTGTTGAAGCAGATGCTCGAAGTGCTTCAGAAGCCAGCTCATCTGGGCTTGGGCAATGCGGGCGTCGTCATATTTCACTTCGACATTCAGATCGGCGTTCGTGCCCAGCTGGCATTCCACGATCAATGGATAAGTGTCAAAGTTTAAGTCAGCATCTGTGATAGCCTCAAGGCCGAGGTCCGCAGCGGGAGCGTCGAGGGGAGGCTGCACAAAGAAGAGATGACCGACGTCGATCGACTCTGAGGCAGGCAGCAGCCGACGGATATGCTGAAGCCCGACTTGCTCGAAGGGTGTCATGGCCTGGGCCTGATCGTGAATGCGACGCAGGAAGGAGTCGATGTTATCCTCTTTAATAAGTCGAACGCGCACTGGGACAGTTGCGATGGTCGGGCCCATCATGTCGGCCACGCCCCGGAGAGGCACCGTGCGGCCCGACAGCACATGGCCGAAAATGACATCTTCAGAGAGCGTGTAGCGCTCCAGCAGGAGGGCCCATGCGGCTTTGAGAATGGTAGGGGCGCTGAATGGGAAGGAAGAGGTAGAAGAGCGAAGTGGAAGGGAAATTGGGTAAGACTGCGAGCGATTGGGACGAGGAATTAGGGATGACGCCGTTGCAGCAAGGGGAGGAGGGGGGAATGGAGCGGGCAGATCACCATCCAGCTGCGTACGCCAGAAGCTATCGCGCGCGGCAGCATCAACGCTGCTGAGGTAGTGAATAAACTTGTTGTAAGGAACAACGGGCGGCAAGGCTGCTAGGCCATGGCGATAAATGGCCTCGGCTTCGTCAAACATGGCGGCTTCACTCCAGCCATCATAGACGGCATGATGAGCTGTGTGCACAAGAGAGGGTCGTGGATCCTGGGTGGTGCCGGGAAGGAGGGCAAAGCGCATTAGTGCCTGGCCGTGGTGCATGGGAGTCATTTTATCGGCGGCGAGATATGCCTCCACCGAGTCGCCCGACTGCCACGCTATGCCTTCATGCATTACTACCTGGAAGGATTGGGTGGCAATACTGGAGTAGATGATGCGCGTACGCATGATAGTCTGACGGCGGGCGAGAAGCTCCCATGCCTGTTGGTATTTGTCGACATCCAGATTGAGAGGTAACCGGTAGACAGCACGCGAGACGTATGCGGTTTCGTCACGCGCCGTAAGTGCCATCAACGCCTCCTGAGATGGAGTGCATGGATAGATGTCCTCAATTGCATCGTCCAGGACCGCACATTGAGCCATCGCCTGAGCCATCACGTCGGAGACGTAATCGGCGGACACGAGGCTGAAGGGCACTGGCGCCGTGTTTTCTAGCGCCTGCATATCAGAAGCGGAATCCATCGCTGCGGCCATAGCGCCTAGCGTCGGGAAGTCCATAATATCGGCAACACTGAGGGGCAGGCCTGCCTTGGTGGCCGCGGCCACGGCCTTCATGGCAGCAATGGAGTCTCCACCTAGGTGGAAGAAGTGGTCCTCCACACCAGTAGCACTGACGCCCAACACATGGGCCCAAATGCCCGCCAACGCCTTCTCCATGGTTGTGGTGGGCGCCGTCTTTGCCACCTGCGTGAGGGCATATGCGCCCAGCAGCTCGGGCGTGAGCCCGTTACCGACCATGCGCAGGCTCTTGCGTTCTAACTTGCGCGACGGTGACAGTGGCATGTGTGAGACGGGAATGAAAAGTTGTGGCACCATATGGCGAGGCAGGTCCACCAACAGCCGGGCTTGCAACGCAAGGAAGCGTTCCGGTCGTCCATCCTCCAGCGGTAGCAAGAGATTCTCAACATCTTCTGAGACGGCATCGGTTTCACAAATGAATGCGGTCAGGATCTTGAGCCCGCTCCGCGTGGTGGGACTTAGAACCTCAACGGCCACCTGTTGGGAATCGTTCGTGAATGCGCCGCGGATGCGATGCTCGATTTCGCCTAGCTCGATACGCTGACCATGTAATTTGACCTGCGTATCTTTGCGGCCGATAAACTTGATGGTACCATCGGGGTTGTATTTGACCAGGTCGCCAGTGCGGTAGATGCGTCCACACTGGTAGGATTCGGGCCACCAGGCTGGTGCGGAGATGAAAGCGGCTGCCGTTTTGGCCGGCTCGTTCAGATAGCCTCGGCAACGATGGGGCCCTCAATCAGAAGTTCGCCGGCGGCGCCGATGGATACCAGGCGATCCACGTTTTCCGGATCGACGATCCAGGTGGTGCAGCCCAGGCCGCGCCCAATGTTACTGGGGTCACGGAGCGTGGCAGTGTTCACGTTGCAAGTGGATGAGACACAGCATTCACTCGGCCCGTAAGTGTTGATGATTTGTACCGCACCAGCCCAGCGCTGGATGACCTCCTTCGTGAGAGATTCGCCGCTCAGAGCCAGCGTCTTTAGCGATGGAATGCTGCTAGGGAGCAGCAGGTTGGCAACGGTGGGAGTAAGTTCTGTCCAGGTTACCTGGTATCGGGCCATCGCATCGGCCAGAGCATTCATACGCTCTGTCTCACTGGGCACACAGACACAGGCTCCCAGCATCAGGGAGCCGATAATTTCCTCGAAGCAGACATCGAAGGTGTAGGCGGCAAACTGGAAGGTGCGTGTGCCCGGGCCGATGCCCATGGCAGCACAGTGAGCCCGTAAGCCGGTGACAAGGGAGCGGTGTTCCAGGATGCTACCCTTTGGCTTACCAGTACTACCTGAGGTATAGACCACGAAAACAGCGTTGTCTGGCCGGACGCGGAGTCCTGGAGGCGCCGATGGGGGTAGCATCTGTAGGTATGCACCGTCAACTGGGAGCACGCCCTTGGGAGGAAGCAGTGTCGAAAGCATGGTTGAGGATTCTGGATCACAAAGGACCAAACTGGCATTTAGGTCGTTTAGTAGCAGCTGGATACGACTGCTGGGATGCTCCGGGTTGAGCATGCAGCCCACTCCTCCGACCTTCATGACGGCAAACATGGCGACAATGGTCCATGAGCATTTGTTGAAGCAAAGAGGGATGTTCATCTCCGGCTCAACGCCGCGTGCGAGCAACTCATTTGCCAGCCGATCCACCAGAACATTCAGTTCGCGATAGGTGAGCTTGACATCGAACGAGGAGACGGCTGGCGCATCAGGTTGCAGACGTACCTGCTCCTCAAACTGCTCGTGAACGGACGAATCAATGAAAGGGGGTGATCAGCGTTCCAGGAAAGAATCTGGTCTAAATCCTCGTTGCTGATAGGACCTACCGGGTCCATAGAATCATCCACGGTGTCCTCGGTGGTGGTGTCCTGCACAGCTTGGAATCGCTGAATGGTGCGCGCATATTGCTTGAGTATCATGTCCATCTCGCTGACTGAGATGAGGCAACTATCGAACTGTGCCTTGATCTCCACGCAGCTTTCCATCAGGTTACATTCCACTGTCAGGGGGTACGGGTCGGCCTGTTGGCTCTCCAATGTGACAGGTGTCAGACCCAAGAAGTCGGACTCATCCATCGGCGCGCTTCCAGGCTGGATGAGGAGCAAATTCTGGAATTCGACGGCCTCACGAGCCTGCTCACCCATGCGTCGGATGTTCTGCAGCCCAGTATGCTCAAAGGGAATCATGTCGATGGACTGCATATGCACGGCCCGGAGGAAATGAGCCGGCGACTGGCCCTCGCGAACATGGACGTGGATGGGGACTGTGGCAATTGTCGGACCCAGCACCTGGTTGATTCCGGCCAAAGCGGCATTTCGACCAGACAGTGTCGCTCCGAAGCTCACATGCTCCGAGTCTGTCAGATGCGACAGCACAACCGCCCAGGCTGCACGCAGCACAGTCGGGAGCGTGATGTCAGACGGGTTGCGGGTCACAGGAACCGAGTGCGTCTGGACCTGATTTGGAGACACCAGGTAACTGCGTGTGGGCAGGAGTGGGAAGGTTGCAGCGGGGGTTGCACACTGCGCTGTCCAGAATTCAGTGGCCGAGGCCGGACTGATGCTTTGTATATAGTCAATGAACCGATTGTAGGGGACCTCAGGCAACGCAATCTCTTTGTTATATTCCGCAGAGACCTGCTTTGCCAAGATGGACATGGTCAGACCGTCGTAGACTGCGTGGTGCGCAGTCCAGACAAAGTATCGGAGGCCTGAACCCTCCAAGACCGTGAAGCGCGCCAGGGGCCGGCCGTAGGTCATGGACTCGGCCGCGTCTTGGGCCAGGAATGTTGTCAGATCAGTTTCCTTTCCCCACACAATGGGATTCTGCAGCAATATCTGGAAGGCACCGTCAGCAGTGGCAATGATCCGGGTGCGCAGAATGGTGCTGCGGGCGACGACTGCTGCCCAGGATGCCTGGAAACGCGACATGTCGACATTCTTTGGCAATTGGAAAACCTCCTGGATCACGTAGGCCGTGGGATCTTGGCTGGTCAAAACCATAAGTCCCTCCTGGAGCGGCGTACAGGGGTATATATCCTCGATTGCCGTGGGCTCGACCTGGCACTTCTGCGCGGCCTCGGAGATGAGAAGCGCAGAATCCAGTGCTGTAGGGAGCAGAGAGAACGGCTTCAACGGTCGATCCTCATGCGGAGCCAGAAGGCGCAATTCTTGAGCCATACCGGCCAGAGTGGGCTGCTGGAAGATTCCATTCATTGTCAGTGCCAGGCCTTGACTTCTGGCAGCGGCGATGATACGCATGGCTCCAATAGAATCTCCTCCCAACCGGAAGAAAGTGTCAGTAGGACGAAGAGCACTACGATCTGGCAGACCCAAGACCTCTGCCCAGAGATCGCGGAGGAGCAGCTCGTTGGCCGTGAAGTGGGCGGTCGTCTTTGCGGAAACAAGACGGTAGGACTCCAGCTCCGGCTGCGAGAGGCCAGCTACCAACCGATCCAAGGCCGCGCGGTGGACCTTGTGATCCGCCGTCAGAGCAAGGCCATTAAGTGGGAAGACAAAAGCGGGCGACACAGCCTCAGGCGCATGTTCCTTGAGCGATGATATCAATGACATGAACTGTTGCCGCTGCACGTCTGACATCACCAGCAGGGCAGGGTTCGCCTGAACTTTTTGGTTACACTCGACATGGAACATAGCTACTTCTTCAATGGATCCACGCCGGAGGATGGAAAGTACTGCGTGCTGTGTAATTGGGAGAGTTGATTGCACCTGCTGTTCGAGGAGGGCTAGACCCGACGAAATTTCGCTGGTGACCCCGAGATGCTGCACCAAGGACAGCTGGTGTTCTGATGTCCATCGGCCGAGGTCACCTGTACGGCATAAGGGAGTGCCAGGCAGCCACGGGGCATCCAGAAGTCGATCTTTGCGGCCCCGGAGATAGCCCCGGGGCACCACTGGACCGTCCACCAGAACCTCTCCAACACAATCCGCCGGCGCCAGCGCTGCATGATTGAATGGGCAGCGGATCCACATCCGCCCGAGATTCGACGCAGGAAGGAGCTGCAGAGCAACACTGCCAGCTGGAGAACCAGAGAGCGATAGCCAAATCGGCGATTGAATCAATTCGTGTGGATGAATTAACCTGATGTCGCACCATTTTGCGAGCAAAGCAAGAGAAATCTCTCCCTCAGCCACCAGCAGAGTCTGCAGAGATGGCACTTGAGCCGGATAGGTTAGGGCGGCCTCAGTGGGAGTTGTAATGGCCCAATTGGCCTGGGAGTTGCACATGGCCTCAGAAAAGCTGGCACCCTCAGCGGGAACGATGACTGTACTGCCGTTGATCAAGGAATACAGCGTCTCCACTATGTATAAAGGCGAGGTGGCAGCGCTGAACTGCAACACCCGGGCATCGGCGCCGAGCCCAGCCACTGGTCCCAGCAGTGAGGCGACAGTACTGACCGTGCGATGCGTCAGAAGTGCCCAGTCTGCGCCGTCCTGAATGGCTACCGCTACTGTATCAGGAGATAAGCAGTTCGGCGGCGCGAAGATCGGGGACGCATCGTCCCAAACGGCCATCGCACCCGCATCGATAATTACCGGAGTGAGAGATGGCTCATCGAAATCGGTAGCATGTTCCCTGCCACATAAGACTACACTGGCTTGCACAGCCGAAAATGTCTCCTGTCGACTGTCGGAGCTGGCCAGCGGGTCCAGGAAGAGCGAGGTCGCGCCCGCCTTGAGGACGGCCAGCATAGCCACTAGAGCCCAGGGCGAGCGCGAGAAGCTGAGAAGAACTGTGTCTCCCGGTTGCACGGCCAGACTCTGCAAGTCACTGGCCAGAGCACTTGTCATACGATCGAGTTCGTGATACGTGAGTTTGACCTGGCCATCTGTGGATTGCATCGCGACAGACATGGGATGCTGCTCTGTGTGTTTGGCGATGAGCTCTAACACTGTAGCTTCTACTGCCGTTGGTGTAGGCTCGGGGGACATCTCTGGCAAAGTGCTTATTCCTGGGTAGGCCATATTCAAGTTCGATAGAAGCTGGTCCGAGCTAGTGGTGATGGCGAGCAGCACGTTGGTGAAGTTCTGCAGCAGGCTGTCGGCCTGAGTTCCATTAAGCATGGATGTGCGGTAGCTGAGATGAATCTCCACGCCCAAGGCCAAGCCAGTGGTAATGTTGAGATCGACATCATACTGCAGAACAGCGGTTAGCACAATGTGGAAGGAGAGGGTGACCTCAAGACTGGATCAACTTACCTCTGTTGGATCAACTTGATCGACAATCTGGAACTCTACTTGTGGCGTTGGACCATCCACCGGCTCGCGCTGGAGTGAGAGAATGGTGTTGAACAAAGCTGCCTCACTTTTACCCAAGGCGTGCTGGATCGAGGCCAGAGAGGTCTGCTGATGGGGCAGACTGTCCATGTAATCGGACCGGACTGCCTGAAGCAGGTCGCGCACTGACACTGCATCGCCGACATGCAGTCGGCACACCAGGAGGTTGATAAATGGCCCGATGGCGTCATAGATGCCCTCCATTGGAATGTCGCGACCAGAGGCCATGTATCCGAAGCAGACATCTGACCTGCCTGTGTATGCACGCAGAACGAGGCCCCAAGCCGCCTGGAACAAATTGCTGAGTGTGAGGTCCTGGGACTCACAGAATCTTTGGAGTTGGCCATCTGCGTCGATGTGAATAGTCTGCGACTGGAAAGCCGCTGCGGGCAACTCAGTGGGCTGCAAGTCGGGGAAGTGGCAGGGCTCCAAATCAGCCAGTCGTGCGGTCCAGTACGCCAGGGCATCTTCTGGTGACCGCGAGGCAATGTAGGCCATGTAGTCGCTATAGAGCGGACCGGGAGTGGTAGGAAGGGTGTACTCGTAAGCCGAAATGAAATCACGGACGAGCAGTGCCATGGAGGTACCATCGATAAGCGCGTGGCTTACCTCCAGTTGGCAGTAAACTACCCCAGAGGCTTCACAGATGGTCAGTCGATGTGCGGGGACTGGCTGGTGGTAGTCTGGGGCGGCCTGTCGCCGAATGAATGAGACCACATCGCCATCAGTGCCTTGATAGACAAGTCGCTGAACCTGCGGTGTGTGGGAACGAAGTACCAGTTGGTCATAGCCCCCAGCACCGCTCAGCGACTCGACGAAGACGGTGCGAAGCAGGGAATGACGATCCACAGTGCGTTGCCAGGCCTGCAGCAGGCGTGGCACATCCACGGGGCTAATATCAGCACGCGGAACAATCTCAAAGAGCTGGCGCACCTCGTAAGTTCCAGGTTCGCGAGCCTGACTGATGAGAATGCCTTGCTGAATTGGCGAACAAGGATATATGTCTTCGATCGCAGACTGTGGGAGGCCAATGGCGGGAAGAGTCGTCGTGGTCAGCGTCGTCAGGTCTTGGTAATTGATTTGGAGGAGTGGGAAATCGCTGATGGAGTATTCGACATCACTAGCCGCGAGCTCGGTCAACGCAGAGGAAAGAATCGTCTTGTAGCTCTGCACCCATTGTCGGATTCGATCCTGATGGTGGATGATGCTGTTGAAGAAAAACGAGACGGTGAGACGTCCGCGGGAGACGGCAGCACCGATATCGAAGACAGCCAGCCGGCCCATCGTGTCCCCGATATTCTTGATGGAATCACCTGCTAGGAGCGGCTCTTCCTGTAATAGAGCCTCCTCGCGCTCGGTATGCTGTGACTGACCCAGGTAATTAAAGCATATCTCCATAATGCGATGATGTGCGAATTTCTCGCGGCTGTCAGCATTGAAATGGCGGCGAGTGTTGTATGCAAAGCCATTGTCCTTGAAAGCGCGACGCGCATCCTTAGTGCGCTTGACTGTATGCTTGATGCTCTCATGCTGGCGCACGCGACGATAGATGGGGTAGAAAGTAGTGAACCACCCGACTGTTTCGGAGAGATCAATTGAAGGCTCCCACGGTTCTCGACCGTGGCTTTCGCTGAATATAGCGGGCATTGTGCGGTCGGGGAACGACTCAACGAAAGATTGCTGCAGGGTAGCAATAAGCAAGTCGATCGGCTCAGTGCGGAGCGCCGTGTTGGCAGTGGTCAACAGGAGAGCAGTAGTTGCTGCATCGAGTGTGAACTGCAGCTCCTCACCACCCTCCCACGTCGGCAGCCGCTTCAAGCCCCAGTATTCCAAATTCGCCGAGGGGAGGGCAATTGGCAGGTCGGATGAGGTCGTCAGGCGTTCAGAATACTGACGCTGTTCCTGGACCCAGTTTTGATACGGCATTCTGGATGGGCTCTGAGAGCCGGGGGAGAGTAGCAGCAACTCCAATTGGCCTAGAATGATGTGCCATGATACTACATCGACGATCAGGTGGTGTGCGATGAAGGATATTAATTGTCCATGCTGGTCTGGCAGCATGAAATTGTCGACCACGAAGATGGGACCATGCTCGATATCGATACGGCGCTGAGAAGTCATAATAATCTCCATCATCGCCGCACGGTTGGCCACTTGGTGGCTGACCACCGGAGCTGAATCGTGGGCTGGGCTCTGCACCAGCTGAACCCATTGACCATCAGCCTGCTGGCTGAATCGGGCTCGCAGCATCGCATGGCTGGCCACCAGCTGCGTAATAGCCCGAGAGAGATCTGAGTGCGAAATAGAACGTGTCGCACGCATTAACACACTTTGGTTGTAGTGGTGATTCTGCTCTCCCTCACCTCGCGCCACCTCTTCGAAGTACAGCTGTTGGATTGGAGACAGTTCAAAGGACACATCATACTGCTCCTCGCGACGCACAGCACAGTGCGTGGCGGTGATGGCGCGGGCGGCAACGGCGGAGAGAGACTTCGCTTGTAAAATATCCTGAACGCTAAGCTCGATATCGTTTGCGCGGCAGCGTGAGACGACCTGCATGGCCGTGATCGAGTCTCCGCCCAGACTAAGGAAGGAACGATTCATACCTATGGATTCGACGGGCAAGTTGAGAACATGGCTCCAAACCTTCGCCATCTGCTTCTCCAGCTCCGTAGTTGGTAGATGCACAGTTGGCGCTGTAATGTTCACTACAGTGCGGTAGGTCCCATCGGACATGTTGGCCACCCAGCGCGAGATTGGCATCCGGTTGACCTTGCGAGATGCTGTCAATGGAATAGAGTCCAGGACAAGCCAGATAGTTGGGACCATGTAGGGTGGCAGCGCTGCGCCTAGCTCTTCCTGCACCTGTTCGATCTGCGGCTGTGCTTGGGACTGGAGAGCGTCAGGAATAAGCGCAACGCGATCTCCCTCAACCGCAACCGGTTGCAAATCTGTCAGCGCGATCACAGCCACTAGCCTGCCCTGACAGGGACCAGTTTTGGGCAACATGACCATGCCGGCTTCAACCTGAGAACGGGAGCGCAGGTGGAACTCAATCTCGCCCAGTTCAATGCGCTGGCCATGGTGTTTGACCTGACTGTCTTTCCGTCCAGCGATGTTGAGTGTGCCATCCGCGTTGTATCGCACCAAGTCGCCGGTGCAGTAGAACTTGTATTGTGGTTCTTCCTTACCGTGGAGCCAGGCCGGATTCTCAATGAACGCGGCCGTTGTCTTATCTGGCTCATTGAGATAGCCACGCGAGACATTGGGACCTTCAATGAGCAGCTCTCCCACACAACCAATGGGAGCCAATCGGTTATGGTCCTGGGTATCCACCACCCAGTACCGACAACCAACTCCACGGCCGATGTTTGCTGGCGACACGGTGGCGCTCGGGTTGGCATGCGAGGCCCAGATAGTGCATTCTGCTGGCCCATACGAGTCGATCAAATTAACCTGGCTCACCCATTGATCTACCAAGCTCTGCGAGACTGCTTCTCCTCCTAGAACGAGCGTTTGCAGGTCGGGCACGTCGTGGGGATCGAGCAAGGCCGCCACCGTGGGCGCCATGAATGTCCAGGTGATTCGCATGCGGTTGATGGTGGCCGCCAGATCGTTAATGCGGTCGTGCTCTGTTGGAATGCAGAGTGTGCTGCCTTTCATGAGCGTGATAAAGACCTCTCCCATGCTGACATCAAAACTGAACGAGGCAAACTGCAGCACACGTTGATCGGAGCCAGTGAAACCAAGGCCCTCACCATGCTGGATAGCCACAGTACATACACTATTGTGTTGCACTATGATGCCCTTGGGCTTTCCACTACTACCAGAGGTGAAAATGACGAAAATCGGATTTGTAGGCTGAATGGACGGTAGTGGCAGAAACGTTTCTGTGAGCTCTGACAGGCCAGTGATCAGGGCTTCACTGATACCGACCACTGTGGTGTCCACTGAAGCAAAAAGTCCAGCGAGCTCCGGCGAGGCCAACACCACCGATGAGGCTGTGTCCGCAATCACTCCGTCCAAACGTGAGATGGGATGATCCGGATTCAACATCACGCAGCCTCCGCCGCATTTCACCACCGCCAGCATGGTGACAATTGTCCACCGGGACTTTTCGAAGCACAGTGGTACAAGTGACTCTGGCTGAATTGAGTAGTTGGCCGAAAGCCAGTGGGCCAGTTGCGATGATTTTTGTTCGAGCTCGCCGTAGGTGAGCGATCCATCCCATGCTTCGATGGCAGTATGATCCGGCCGAAGCTGGGCCTGCTTCGCGATCTCATCATGCACACACTTGTTTTCAGATTTGGCGGGGATCGCATTCCATTCCCATATTTGTTGTTCATCTTCGCGACTGAATACGTCAATATCCCGGAGAAGACGACCGGGTTCCAGCTGTGTGAGTTGGCCGAGGACGTGTTCGAAATGACCAAGCAGGCGCTGTGTCTGATCTGTACACAGGACAGCATCATCGAAGCGAGCTTCGAGATGCACCTGTTTGTCTGCCAGATTGCACTCAACCACCAATGCATACGGATCAAAGCGGGTCATGTCAGTGGGAACTTTGACCAACTCGGTGAGCCCCTTCACCTCGTCCGTCTGAGGCTGCACGACAAACAAATTGGTAAATTCGGTGGCCGTGGCCGCGGCCGGACTGATTCGACGTATCATTTGCAGTCCTGCATGCTGGTGACGCATCATTTCGACATTCTGGTCCTTCTGCTGCTGCAAGAATGTCTGGACCGGCATCTCGCCATCCAGATGGACATTGATGGGCAATGTCGTAATAGTTGGACCCACCACGTGCTCAATGCCTGGAACTGGCACATCTCTACCAGACAGAGTCAAACCATACAATACATCTTCCGCGTCCAAATAACGCGCGAGCACAATAGACCACGCCGCCCGCAGCAGGATGGCGAGGGTTAAATTTGATCCTTGCGGAACAGCAGCCGAGATTGTGCGGTAGCAGGTTACCTTGGCAGCCGGCTGATAAGCTGCTGAGGGCAAGCGAGGGAAAGTAGCCGGAGGCTCTTGAGGCACAAGTGATGCCCAGAAATTGCGGGAAGCATTCTGGTCGGAGTTCTGGATGAATTGGACGAATTGGGCATAAGATGGAGTTGTGGTGGGTGACAAATCTTGTGTGTAAAGCTGTGCCAGCTGATCTAACAGCAGTTCAACGGTCCAGCCGTCAAACAAGGCATGATGTGAAGTCCAGATAAAAACAGTCGACTCCCCCTCCGAAATTAGAGCGTAATGACTCAGTGGCGCACCTGCAACCACCGACAGCGCCTGAATACGCGTCAGATAATCGCTGCTGGATGGCGCTTGCTCCCACTGTAGGCAGGAGGCGGACGGGCTCAAGACCACCTGATGCGAGGTCGCATCGATGGTGACCAACCGTGTGCGCAGAATGGGATGGGTATTGACGAGCACCTGCCAGGCCTTCTGGAAGCGTGCCACATCGAAACCGGCGGGCAAGCGGAAGGCTGTGGGGGCAACATATGCACCATTGTGGGTTGTCGACATGAGAAACACACCTTCCTGAAGAGGAGTAGCAGGATAGACGTCTTCGATTGCGTCGCTCGAAACCGAGCACTGTCTGGCTGCATCGGCCAGCAAGCCTTCCCGCTGGATAGGATCAATCGGCAGCAAAGAGAAGGGAGCGTAAATGGCTGGCTCCGCAGCTTTAGGAAGTCCGACACATTCAGCCATGTCTAATAGTTCGGGATGCCCGAAAATGTCGGCCACGCTGAGCACGAATCCGGCGTGCCTTGCGGCTGCCACCAGCTTCATAGCGCCAATGGAGTCTCCGCCCAAGCGGAAGAAACTATCGTGGCGACCCACGGACTCGGGGGCTTTGCGCAAAACCTTGGCCCAAAGGTCTCGCAAGCACTGCTCTTGCGGAGTCTGCGGTGCAGCTTTAGCACCTTGCGCTAGCGCATACATCTCCAACTGCTCGGCGGAGAGACATTGGACGGCGCGGCGCAAGGCAATGCGGTCGACCTTTCCTGAGATGGTCATGGGGATGTGGGAGATGGGAATGAACAGGCTGGGCACCATGTAGCTTGGAAGTGTCTCAGCCAGGTTCTTTTCTAAGGTACGCAGCTGTTCGGTGACGTCGGAAGCCAAAGGCACGAAGAGCGGTCCTTTGTCCATGGACGGGGCATCGAGATAGAGGAATGCCACAAGCGTCTGTGGTGGCAGCACGACGGAGTCAACAGTGATGTGTAGTGCTCCCGGCATGCTCGCGAGGATGGCGTGTTCAATCTCGCCTAGCTCAACCCGCTGCCCGCGGATTTTGATTTGAGTGTCCTTGCGACCGATAAATCGCAGCTGTCCGTCAGGGTAGTATCGTACCAGATCACTGGTTTTGTAGAAACGCCGTGGCTCCCCTGTTGCTTTCTTGGGCAGCCACATAGGGTCTTCCAAGTAGGCCGCTTCCGTCTTGGCGGGCTCGTTGAGGTAGCCCCGTGTCACTAGGGGCCCTTCTATAATGAGCTCTCCAGTGCAACCCACAGGCATGAGTTTATTGGAGTTTTCTGAGTGCGTCACCCACAGCCGCGTACCGACGGCGTGGCCCAGATTTGCGGGATCACTGGCCGCGGTGAGCGGGTCGGTTCCCATACTGTAGATGGTGCACTCCGTTGGACCATAGACAATGCGAATGTCGATAGTCTCTGTCCAGCGGGAAATGTCCTCTCGTGAGATGGCCTCCCCTCCCAGGATGACCTTTCGCAGGGTAGGCACCGTCTCGGGAGACAGCAGACTCAGCACGCGGGGAGTCAGGAATGCCCAGTTGACGCGTAGTCGATTGATGGCACCAGCGAGATCATCGACTCTGTCCTTCTCGTGGGGAATGCAGACCGTTCCACCACCTACGAGCGTGGTGAATGTGTCTGATACGCTGGCGTCGAAAGCGTAGGCCGAAAATTGAAGAACGCGGGCAGACGGGTCGCATCCCCATTCAGTCCCGTGGGCGAGAATACTAGTGATCAGAGAGCGGTGCTCGAGTACAATGCCCTTAGGCTTGCCAGTACTGCCGGATGTGAAAGACACGAATGCCGGGTGGCAGGGCTGTGCCTGGGGCAACTGCGCATTCGGTTGCGGATCCGGCAGCTGCGCTAAGAAGGCTTCATCGATGATCACGATGTGATCAATGAGGCCCTCTACGACAGGTACGTGTTGCGCTGCCACGACCGCGATGTGTGATGCGCAATTCTCAACGATATCCTGGATTCGGGTTCGGGGATGGGCTGCACTCAATCCCACGCCAGCACTGCCGGACTTCATGATGGCCAACATGGTGACTGTAGCCAATTTAGACTTCGCGAAGCAGTGAGGAATGAGTACCTCAGGACCCGCCCCGAGGTGAGCCAGGTGGTACGCCAGCTTCTCCGACAGATGGTTTAGCTCGGTGTAGGTGTATTCTCCGTCCCAAGCACAGACCGCCTGTGCGTCTGGCCGCTGCAATACCTGGGCGTAGAAGTACTCATGCACAACGCCGAGTGCAGCGACGGGTTCCTTGTGGTTCCAACCGAAAATCTGGTAGCGGTCTTGCTCGGTAAAAAGGTCGATTGTGGTGGGAGAAGACTGAGCGTGCATGAGGATGCTCGAAATGGCACCCGCGAAAGTGTTGGCCAGATTGGTCGCATCGCCATCCGATAGCAGCGAAGACCAGTAACCAATATCTATCTTGACGGTTTCTTTGCCAACATGAATGGCGACGGCGAGATCAAACTAGTATCTGTTAGCAGAGAAGTCGTGAACCACCATACAACCAACGCGAATGAACACTGACATCTGTTGGATCATCTTCTTCAAGGGGCCGGAACGAGAGTGACTCTCCATACGGCTGGTCAGATACATCTCTTTGTACTGATACAATGCTGTTGAATAGAGGCATGCCCGAAAGGTCCAAATTGTGCTGGATCTGGGCCAGTGACGTGTGTTGATGAGGCAGAGCATCGAAATACTCATTCTGCATCGAAGCAACAGTGTCGAGGACAGTGTCTTGCTGAGCTAGCCGTACGCGACACACCAGCATGTTGATAAAAGCTCCCACCGCGCGCTCAATGCCCACAACTGGAACATCTCTGCCTGCGGCAATGTAACCAAAGCAGACATCTTCGGCTCCCGTGTAGGTATGCAAAACCAATGCCCAGGCTGTCTGCAGCACGTTTGCTAAAGTGAGTCCGTGGTTCTCGGAGAATCGAGACAGTGCAGAAGCATCTGTGAATGGCACCGGCACGGAACGGATCTGCTTGGGGCTGCCCTCTGCTGGATACAAGGGCACAATGGTCGGCTGCACACCGTCCAAATAGTTTGTCCAGTATTTGAGTGATTTGCTGGCGGTCTCCGGCGTATGAATAAAATTGATGTAGTCGCTGAATAGTGCGGGCGGCGCCGAGAAGGAGTGGTCATCGAAGGCCTGCGAAAGTTCGTGGAGGATAACCTCAGTAGAGCCTCCGTCAACCAAGGCGTGGTTGATCTCGACTTTAACAAAGACATTATCACCAGCCGCACGGCAAATGGTGAAACGATGCTGAGGCTGCGCAGGCTGGTATGTTGGTAAAGGCAGGGCTTGAAGAAACTTGATAACGACGTGCTCATCGTGCTCATCCAAAAGTTCGTGAATCTGGATGCAGGCCGGAGCTTGCTTAAGCACAATCTGTTGGAAACGACCAGCTGTGTCGACGAAGATCGTTCGAAGCATCTGGTGCCGATCTACCACTGCCTGCCAGGCCTTTTGCAGACGATCGACAGTGGTGAATGCATCCCGGGTGGACTCTACTCGCAGCACCCGACGGACTTCGTAGGTGCCAGGGAACTTGACTTGACTAAGTAGAATGCCGTCCTGCATGGGCGAGCAACCGTAAATATCCTCTACCTGGTTGCGACTGGCCAAGCCTGCCGCTTCTAGAAGAGTATTGTCCACGGTCGCGGCCCGCTGGGCCGGGTCAGAATTCGTCTTGCTCTCGGAATTCTCTTTTCCCTCTTGAGATGAGTCTGCAGGCGCCTGAGTTGCCCGTGCGGCCAATTCAATGATGTTAGCAGCGCGCAAGACATCTGGGACCGAAACGACCAGCTGCTGCTTACGGCAACGGGCCACGATCTTCAAGGCAGTCAGGGAGTCACCGCCAAGGGCGATGAAAGATCGGTTAGTCTTGAGCTCTGCGGCAGGGATGCCCATTTCTTCCGCCCATATCTGCTGCATTTGCAATTCCACATCGGTCGAAAGACAAGTCTCAGGCGCATCATCACTCACACCGGCAATCTCGCGGTAGATCTCGTCGGACATCTCATGCAGCCATTGGGTCATTGAAACGACGTGGACTTTGCCTGATGTTGTGAAGGGCAGTGCGGCCAACACCACCCAGAAGGTTGGTACCATGTATGCTGGGAGATGTGCGGCCAGTTGCGCGGTTATTTCTGGCAATAAGAGACGAGCAAGCTGCGACTCCTCCATGGGTAAGCTATGGACACTGGTGTCACGCGGACCATCATAGGGGAAATCATGCAGCGATAGGACGCCAACCAGTCGACCTTGACAGGGACCCTCTTTAGGCAGCAAAACCAGGGAATGTCGGACGTGCGGGTTTTCCGACAGTCGCTGTTCGATCTCGCCGAGCTCCAGGCGTTGTCCGTTGAGCTTTACTTGGCGATCTTTGCGGCCGATGAAGTTGATAGTACCATCACTGTTCTGGCGAACCAGGTCTCCTGTCTTATACAGCCGGAAAGCCGGCGGCGACCGGGGCAGGAGGGCAGAAAAGGCAGGAACCTCGTCTAAAAAGACTGCAGCTGTTTTGACAGGCTCATGAAGATAGCCCCGCGCGACAATGGGGCCCTGAATTACGAGTTCACCAACGGCACCGATGGGAACAAGTCGGTCATGATCGTCGGGATGCACCACCCAGCACAAAGCGCCGTATCCAACGCCAATGTTAGCTGGATCAGACGTGAGTGACAATGGCTCGTTGATGGTCGCTGCGACGGAGCATTCACTGGGACCATAACCTAAGGAAGTTGTTAGTGAAGAGTTCAATTGAGCCCAAAGGAAGAAAAATCACCGTTGATCAGATGCAACTTGTCGGCCCATGTTGTCACATCTATGCGCCCCAGACCTTCTCCACCAAGGGCGAGCGTCTTCAGGGTAGGCACCGAGGCCGGGTCAATCATACGCACCAAAGAGGGCGTCATGAATGTCCAGGAGATCTGGAGGCAATTGACAATGTGGGCGATCCCAAGTGCCGCCTGTTCATCGTCGCAGAAACAAATACAGGCGCCGGTAGTCAGCGTGGTAAAGATTTCCAGCATGCTGACGTCGAATGTGTAGGGCGTCATTTGCAGCACCCGGCTGGAGGGGAGGATTTGGCCGGCCTGTACGTGTTGTGCGGCGGCTGTTAGGAAGGACTCGTGCTCGACTACACATCCCTTGGGAGTACCGGTACTGCCTGAGGTAAAGATGATATAAAGGGCATTCTGCGGGGTAACGGTGACAATGGGGGCCTCCGTCGCCGTCGGTAGCTGTTCGAGGGCATCTTCGGAGACGGTCACAACAGGGAATTCGCTGTCCCAGAGACCAGCATGCTGGACTGAGGTCAGCACTAACGGGGCTTGCAGCTGAGCGAGCAGTCCTCGTAAGCGCGTTTGTGGCTGTTTGGCATCCAGGTTGACGATGACGCCACCGGCCTTGACTACGGCAATCATGGTAACAATCGCCCACTTCGACTTCTCGAAGAATAATGGCACTGATATTTCTGGGCCGACTCCAAGTTGAACCAAGTGCTGCGCCAGGCGATTGGAATACGTTTGCAACTCGCCGTAGGTCATACGACCATCGGCTCCTTCGATAGCCATGGCGTCAGGTCGCGCCTGGGCTGTCTCATCCACGAGGTTGTGAAGACAGCGTGAGACCACAGCGGGTGCCGTTTGATTCCACTGGGAGATCTGCTGCAGCCCTTGTGGACTCATCATACTGACCTTGGCGATTGAGAGATCAGGTTGCCGAATAATTTCTCCGAGCACATGGCTCAGGGTCGTCGCGCAGTGATGGGCCTGTGCCGCGGGAAGCAAGTGGGTGGGAAATTGTAAAAAAATCCCTAAGTGATCGGGGGTTACCGTCGCCTGGACGGCAATGTAATCTCCAGTCTGTTTGAATAATTTAAAATCTTGTTTCACTGCAATTCTATCCGCTGACGCCGACTGGATTACCAAATTCCGACTTCAGATTGCACGCACCTCTTCCCACTCTGGGGCATTGCTGTCCGATAACAGCACTACGCTGTTGAATGCCGGATGGCCTTCCACAGCCGTCCGCTTCTGCAATTCGGACAAGCTTGTCGCCGACGGCACTGCCATGCTCGTGTGCACCTGCTGTTCAGCCTCCGCCAAGGTCTGCTGTACTGTTCGTCCGCCGTCAATCACGGTCTCAGACAAGCCGACGTAGGGCACCCCGGCCACGTATCGAACAAACAGGACATTGACCGCCTCGGTGTCGGCGTACGCCGCGAGCACCAAAGACCAAGCAACGTTCAACACACTCATGAGCGTCAATCCGCGGGGCGTGCAGAAGCCTGCCAGGGCTGCGGACGAGATGTCCGACCGCAACTCCAGGGCAATTCGTGTCTGGCCAACTCTGCCACCCACTGGTGGCACGGCCAGTTGTTCATCATCTAGAATAATTCCGTCAGTCAAAAGGGGAAACAGGGATGTACCAGCTTTGAGCTCGAATGGCAGCTCAACATGGTCAAGTTCCATGGAAGGTTGTTCGCCGTAGTCGCCCATGGTGGATTAGAAGTGCTTTTGTGTATGTGATAGTGATTAATACGACTCGTATAGGAGCCGTGGAGTGTGCGATGAATGAATGTTAAAGGTGTTGGATGGGATAGGTAGTCCAACAACGAAGCTTCACTGAGAGCGCGAGAGTGTAGGGCAGAATGACGGACGAGACTTGCGCAGTCAGAAAGTCTGGGAGATGCTAGCTCTTGAACAGATTACTACTTCGCGATATGCCCACGACTTTTGGCATTCGCGATCGCATACTTTCTTGTGTGGGGGCTATCAACCCGGCGATCACTAGAGGAGGCTTGCCTGAATCGGACAATGCCTTTCGCTCATCCGGAGTCTCGCTTGGCATCAGTAATACACTAGTCATACAATCTGTAGCCGCTTAGGGCTAGACCAAGGGGCCACATGGCCACCACGTTTCTGGCTCTCGGCGCTGCAAGGGGCGGAAAAGCTGTATGGTGAGGTACAAGGTCACAGATACGGTTAGGTCGACGCTAATTTTCGACTAAATTCTGACGTCTCACCTAGCGGCTGATCGTGCAGTAGTTGGGTGGAGCACGACCGTGCTTAGCTCACCGTGCAGCATGCACGGGCATGGGTAGATCTGCCATTCCCTGCTTACCCTCTTTGTGGGTTTGCTGTCACGGTCAGGCCGGGGGTCAAGGGAAAGCAAGATGCGCCACATTTCGTGATGACAATCGTGCAGAGTGCGCAAAACCCGAGGCGAGCACAACTGCCATTACCAGCACCCGACTAGTATAAGCCCAGCTCGACGAATCCTCTGGCCACCCAGCCCCTAGCTTATCTGCAATCGGCCAGCTTACCTTGGCCATTGGTGTCGAGGTAATTGTTCCACTATGCTGGCCCCATTGCTGGGTCGTTGCGGGCTCCCCACTCGCGCTAGCTGGGGCTATCTCTCTGTCCAGTCTTCGAGAGGGCAGCGGTTCTGCATGCATACCAATCGTGGGATAATAACCCAACTGCTACGTCTCATTGACTCCACACAGCACATACAGCAGTATCTCGGCCAGTTTCACCCTTCGCAGGGCGAATCTCTGGCCGTAATCGCTCTCGGGCCGAACTCACTCTCTCCGCCGCGAACCGCCGTGCGCGAGCAGCTCGAACAGCTTGCCGACTCACTAGCATTCCTACGCAGAGTCGGTCTGTTTCCTGTTGTCGTACATGGTGAGTTAGACCTGGATCTTCCGTCCATATCGAGAGTGGAGGGGCCCAACGATCAGCCGAATCGACTATGTCGCATCCGCGCGACGAACTACCAGCTCAGCGCGCTCCTGGAGCAGCAGGATGTCGAGACACGGCCCATCTCCTCTGGTATATTTACGGCCACCTCTGAATCTGACGGCACGATGTCCTACCATCAGGGCCATGTAACAGATATTGCCACCCAGGGAATCAAGTCCGCTATCCATAATGGCTATATACCGGTCGTGGCAGCATTGGGCACTTCATCTGCAGAGTCTCGCACGTATGCGCTGGACACCCATGATGCCGTTGCGCAATTGGCGCGAGTACTGCAACCGTTGCGTAGTATTTTCCTCGTTCGCGACGCCTCTCCCTCCTCCTTGTCGGCACTCATCGCTACTTCTCCCGCGATGCAGGATCTAGCGCGCGAACTCAGGCCTCATGCCAGTATCATGCTGGGGGAGGCCACGGCCTTGCGCAGCACCATCTTTCCTGATCCCGCACTCTGGACGGTACTGCGTAATCCACGGATCGTCCAGTCTGCCACCTCTCTCCAGGATTTTCCTTCACGAGAGGCCCTTCGCACCGCCCTTCAGCGTCACGTCATCTCCAATGGGGCCATTGACGTCGATGCACTCCTAACGCAGCTTGAGACCAGAGACTTCATCGCTTACTTTGACCACGACCCGATCTCGCCAGCACCAGAACAGACAGTCAATAACCTCGCGCTCACTTTCACGCAAGCATCGTTCCCATGGCAATTTGCTCCATCGCTGCCATCGGGTGATGCGGAGGCATATGCTCCACGCTCCATGGCCACATCCGTCGAACAGGACAGTATCATCGGAAACATATCAGAGCTCGCCTTGTTTTCCATCTCCCACTTGGATTGGCATAATGGCGTGGCTGAGCGATTCTGGGACCGCATTCGGGAGGACCACATTTCGCTCTGGGGCTCCCTGGCGGAGACCGATCCCAGTCTATCGTGGTGGCTCACTCGATCCTCCGGGCGTATTAAGCGACAGCTGGAGGAAAAGATTTACATGTGGTACGGGCCCGTCACTTGACCGTGTAGAAGGCGGCTGGGCTGTTCAACCTGGACTTTTTTATTTCATGATGGCTTAGAGGATCGAGGTTGATATAGAGATATGTGCAAGCTCAGCTTACTGATAATACTTGATAATGGTTTTGGTGAACGAGACACGTAGATAAGTAGCATCTAAGCAAGAACGCGTGTGTGATAAACTGGTGTTGGGAAACAAACTGTCGCGTTGCCATACTTTTCTGCTATAGTGCACCGCCTTTTAGGCATGCTCAGCTCAACACCTCAACCTTTTTTTTTTTTTCAACTGCGCACGAGTTACTTTTGCTTAGGAGAAGGTGCAGAACAAGCGTCATTTATCAATCAATGCGTAAATCTGAATTATCAAGTGCTTTAATACTTGTAGATGGTGCAGTTACAGATGCACCTGGACAACTCACGGCGCCGATAATATATATCCAGAGACCCCCCAATCGCTGTTGTAGCCACTGGCAACAACGCAATAGCCACGAGATGGTAGGATATCTAAGCGAGTACCTTATGGATAAGATGCAAATCCGGGAAACTACCTACATATCTAATTATATCAATTTTCAAGGTCAATGGCAATTTGAGTAAGATAAATGCGTTGAAATGGCCCGTTTTCAAGGTTCCAAGCTTCCCGTTTCGGGCCGACCCCGAGGTCCCGAGCCCCGTTGTCTACTTCAAGTTCCAAGGTTAGGATAAGACTGTTCTGACTACCTACATGAGGTCGTCCACCGAGGTAAGCTCTAGCATTATCTAATTTCATATTGATGTTTTTCAAACAACAGCACATTTATGACATCGAAATTGATTGGATGGAAAGGTGGTGGAAGTTCAGGTTGGGGAGAAACTTTGAATCTTTGTTTTACCTCTCTGCGACGGCCCGGACTCCTCTCAACCCGTGGACTTGGAAGCCTGGGGTTTTATTTTCATCTGGGCACTAATAGCTAAACATGAAGGCTGTATCTATATTTCTTAGCTATACCTACTAAGTACATTTTTTGTTCCCTAGCATCCATCATTTCAAACCAAACAGGCAATCCCGACGATCAACAAGATGGTCCAGGGCGTTGCCCAACCAAAGGGCCTGATAAGAATATCCACTCATCACACGCTTGTTGCCCTTACATCCAATCGGGCATTATGTGCCACTAACAAGCTCACTACCGCAACATGCCCGTTCTCACTCGCCAGATGCAATGCAGTGGCTCCGCATCGGTCCTGAACGTTCACGTCGATCATATTCGAGGCGAGTAAGAGCCGTACAGTGCCAAGGCTGCCTTGTTGAGCAGCGATATGCAGCGGGGTCTGGCCGCTGGCGTTCTGAATATTGATACTGGCGCCGCGTGAGAGCTGTTGATGAAGCATGCGCTCATGAGCAGAACAGCAGGGTGAACTACGATCTGGCTTTTTGGACATGGGACTGAGACGGTGTGGTTGTGGCTGTGAAACTGCTGTGGGAGGATTGACTTGACTGGATGGTGGGGTGGGAGGGAGAGATGAAAGGAGTGCCGGGTCAGATTGAGCGGGCATGGGGCATTCGTCCTGTAAAGAGTTAATCGATAAAGTCACTTCGTCGGCGTCACGGAGCAAAGTACAAGTCAAAAGAGGGAAGGATAGGCCACTTCTTGAAGAGCAAAAGAGCAAGAGCAAGGGCCAAAAAAAAGCCAAAAAGCAGGTGACATACAATGGAGAAAGTTTCGGAGTAGAAGGGAATATCGTCTTGCGGAGCACCGGACAGGGCTATGTATAACTCCGACTCGGACATAGGATCATCAGTGATAGCTGCCCAGCCTGCTGAGCCGGCCAGGTTGTCACGGTGCCACTTTGTATGAGGATAGGGCCAAATAGACTCGATTTCGGCTTGCATCAGGCTGCCGCGAAACTCGTGCATAGCCTCGGTTTTAGAAGGTTTCGGCCACCAAGTTCTATCTGTTTCAGTCATGAGCAAATAAGCAGGGGGTCGAATCTGATCACAGGCAGAATCAGACTGTGTGCATTGGACGAGCCGTGGTCTGCGTGCATGACTGAAGCTGATATCTTGTGTATTGTGAAGAGGGAATGAGAAAGTGAAGGATAGGGAGAGAATGTCTGATTCCGATGATGCCGCTCTCGTCCACGGACGACTACTATTGCCGCCAGGGACACTGGACTTACTATTTAACCTGTGTGTAGAGTATTGAATTGAACGGCAAAAAAAAGTATTTCTACGCAACTACCATGTATAACTTTCACCATTTGAGTCACCCAAAGCGAGTCCAGCTGAGCAGTGGGAAGTTACCGCCCCCAAAGGTTGGGGGCGAGGGCGAGATTGAAGGCGCAGTGGGAAGATGTAGCGACGGTTGGCTTGCCAACAAACCTATTCCAATCCTCATCTCAGACTCGGAGAATTTTACCCGAGCCTATTGTGCTGATGCTGCATAGTGCTGCATCTACTGAACATCAGAAGAGTGACCTTGCAGTAGCGGCTGTTCATATGCAATGTCAGGCAAGGACCGTGTGGCTGCGTTGCTGACAAGAACGAGTGGAAGTAAGCCCTAACTTAATAATGGAATTATTGGCAGAATACCTCCTAAAATTGGCTGAAGAGTCTGATACCTAACGGCTGGGACCCTTGAAATAATTCACTCCATCTGTACCCGTCTCTTCACCAATCTTTCAAATTGGACGATATTGGCTTCTAATTGCTAGGATGACTTTCCCGACAGCCCCTGCGCCCGACGTTGGTCAGTAACAGTGGTTAAATATGCACATCGAGTAATTTCAGTAAAGGCATTAACACAATGTAGAATGGACCAAATTAGGTCTGGCTGTGACCGATATGGGTGAGTGCCTCTCCAAAGATTATTCACCTTGCTATAATTTCTTCAAAATGAAGCTAATCGATTATTACCTTCCTAGTCAATGGCCACATCGAATCAACCTATTCGGTCGAAGAGAGCAAGTGGACAGCGCCCAAATTCATCGAGGATCCCTATCTACGAGTGCATGGGCTCTCAACCGCCCTGAACTATGGCCAACAGGTGTACGAGGGTCTAAAAGGTACTTATGGGACATCAAGTTCACAACAATCAGTCCAAACATCCTAACAAACCCAATTAGCCTACCGCACCCAGAGCGGCAAGATCCAAATCTTCCGCCCAGCCTTCCATGCCGCGCGTATGCAGCACTCGGCAGATGTGGTATCCATTCCACCCGTGCCTATTGACCATTTTATTGCTGCCGTCAATGCAGCCGTCGTGTACAATGCCGAGTGGGTTCCCCCCTATGAGAGTGGTGCAGCCCTGTACATCAGGCCTGTGCTGTTCGGGTCCAGCGGGCACTTGGCCCTCACGCCACCGGCTGAGTACACGTTGTGTGTTTATGTCCAGCCATTCAGCAGTTACCATGGAACGGCACCGCTGCCGGCGGTGACGTTGGAAGAGTTTGATCGGGCAGCTCCAAAGGGGACCGGACATGCTAAGATCGGAGGTAATTACGCGCCCGTGATGAAGTGGTCGAAACACGCGATGAAAGCGGGATTCCCGATGACGTTGCATCTGGATAGCAAAACCGGGGAGGACATTGATGAGTTCTCAACCTCGGGGTTCATGGGCGTCAAGATCATGCAACAGGAAGGGGAGCGGAGCAAGTGGTCTTGGTCGTGCCGAAGAGTGATAATATCATCAACAGCGTGACCTCGGATAGTTTGATGGCGATTGGAAAAGGGTTGGATTATCAAGTCGAGCATCGCACGGTGAGTTTTGGTTTTCCATCTTACCGGATGGCTGGCTAATGATGACCAGGTCAAATACGAGGAATTGTCGACCTTCAGTGAGGTGATGGCCGTGGGAACTGCCGCTTGCTTGGTTCCTATTCGCTCGATCACGCACCAGTCGCGCGGGGACTACTTTGTTTACACAACTGAGAGCGCTGCTGGCCCAGTCTGTCAAAAGCTATATGCAGAGTTGACGAGTCTTCAGCGCGGTGATAGAGAGGATAGCCTGGAATGGTGTCATGAGGTGAAGCAAGTGCTTGATGGAGTTGTGCAAGAGTGAATAAGAGAACGTCAATTACATGTCATGAGAAACTCAGGACCACTGAGTTGAAACTGTCCGCGTTCTCAAGCGAAAGAGCTCAAGTGTCAAGATGTGGGAATTTTCCGGAATGTTCTTTCCAAATGTCCCAGTAAAGAAAGTCTTCACAATAGAAACAACATTTGGGATATTTCTTAGTGCTTTATTCCTAGACGGTGTAACGTATTTTGGACTTACAACCTTGGAAATCAGGTTAGGTGACAACGAGGTAAGGGCCTGGGAGACTACGCATAAATTCAATAACAGTTGTCTAATACAAAGACATCAGACCGCATAACAAGTTTCACCTGTAAGACTGGGAGAATGGCAAAGTAAACGTACAAAGGCTCTGTGCAAACACGATATCATTCAATTCATTCGATAGCGCCATATTATCTTTAAAATCCTCATTCTTCTGTCTAACAACCCTTCTTGCTTACTGGCGTAAGCGGAGCTGCACAATTGGCCCATTCTTTGCCGCCGTGACATGATCATGAAGTTGATACTCCCCCTCACGGCTTCGTCCGGGCCCCTGAGAAGCCGAACCGCCGCCCACATGTTCGGTGCCCGGTGCAGGACGGAAATCATACTTGGACAACAGATAAGCCATGGTCAAAGACAACTCAGTCAGGGCCAATCCTTTGCCCAAGCAACTTCGGGGCCCAATTGAGAAGGGTGTAAATGCGGAACGAGCAAGCTGGACCTTATCGGGCTCGTCGAGCCAACGATCAGGACGATACTCGAACGGCTGCGGATAGTACTCGGCATTATGATGGACAGCATAAATGCAAGTACCAACATCATAGCCGCGAGGAATTACATGCCCGTCAATCATGACACCGTCCTGGATCACCTCGCGCCACAATGAGCTGCTGGCCGGAGGAGACATACGTAGAGTCTCATCAATACATGCACGAAGAAATACACATTCGGTGAGGCCAGCTCCGAGGCTGACGTCATTGGGATCAGGGAACACAGCGCGAACCTCGGTCTTGACTCTCTCGTAGATATCAGGGTAGCGGCAGAGGTAGAAGAAGATTGATGCAATAGCCGTGGAAGTGGTATCGGATCCTGTGTGTGCGCAATATTAGTGTATGACCAGAGTAGCATAGGAACGTTCAGGGGAGCTACATACCCGCCACAATCATAGTAGTGCTCTCCGCTCCAATCTCAGCTGGGGTAAAGCCCTGTTTTGTCTCCGGATCCACTGCATCGAGCAAGAACGAGAAAACGTCATTACGCTTCAGGGGGTTTGACTGACATTCGCTTCTTTAGCAGCTGGTTAACGAAGCGAATGAAAATGTTACGGCCAGCGATGGCCTCGGGGAAGAGTTTGCGGTCAAGGCGGCGAGTGGACAACTCGCCTGCTTGAAGGAGAACTCCTGTCCGCACATTGGAGTCTTCAATGGATTGGACAATATGTCGATTTTCAGGACTGCCGATGAGATTGAAGCTCTCACCAAAAATCACGCTAGACATGATATCGAAAGTCAGGTAGTTTGCTAATGGTAATTAGTCCGCTGTATCCGACCATGAAATTTGACGAACAAAGACGACATACACCACTTGGCCATGTTCTGCGGAGAAGACCATTCGCCTGCCGAAGTGTTTTGGACCAGCGAGTCACAAAATGTGCGCACTAGGCCCATGATAGTATCCTCAAACCCACGGAGAGCATTGTCTCCAAATCCCTGGGCGATGGTACGGCGTTTGCGACCGTGTTGCTTCTTGTCAATCAGGGTAAGAGTATTGGGAGCCCGATGAACCATGGCCCCGTAGGCGGCCGACTTCTGAACTTGCTTGGTGAATGCATAGATCTCTGCAACATAGCGGACGCTCAGCAAAAGGTTCATGAAGTGATGTATCGATGGATCATTTACCTTTCAAGCCGGTGTTGCTATTGAACAGGACGCGATTGGGTGCGTATCGAACAATATCGCCTACCACGCAGCAGGTCAGCATGAAAGCACCACAGCATAAGAGGATTGCTTCGAACCGTATTTCTCGTGACAACGCATCATATCAAGATGCAGATCTCCTCTCCATGCATAGTATCCGCCATAGAGGTTTGTGACTTTGGCCAAGACAGGCCCGGGGAATTTGGCAAGAGGATGGAACCATATGCGGTAGACGATGATAGCAAGTCCCTTCAGAAAGTAAGAATAGTCAGAACACACATGTCTGCTAAAGACGATAATGGAAGGAGCTCACATAAGCTACAAGGGCAAGAGGAACAGCCTTGACCAAAACCACGAGAGGCGCTTCCCTCAGTCGTTCGACTGCGATCATCGCAAACAATGAATGATTACCAGGCTCTGGAAATATGTCTACAATCTGCGAGTATAGAACACGTCTGAGATCCCGCTGGACCAGGGCGCTGACTATAACAAAATTACTACGATAGAGAGTGGCTGAATGCTCTGGAGTGATTAAGCCACACCATACGACTTTGGATACTATGCCAGAAACTTTTAGGACCTTTTCAGCCTCGACTTAGCCCTTAATTCTCCGATGCCCTTTGAACTAGTCCGTTGTGTTTGCTGACGGTACCTGATCGAGAACCAGGATAAGCACAGATTCAGCCCTGTCTCCACCCATGTAAGCCCTAATTATTTGGCGCTAAGTGATGTAGCATCATCATGCACTGTGAGCAGCTAGTGTCATATCCGTTACTAGTATGGGGCCAAAAGATGCGAACGGCTTTGCATGATGATGTTGGATGGTGTTCTGAGCACATGGCTTGAGGGTCCGGGTGGCTGACCACATGGTAGGCCCTGAGCTGTTGCCGGTAATAGCTAAACCCGACGGGGCATTGCAAAGAAGGGCCCAAAACTCATAGCAAGAGCTTGTAGCCGGGAAATATGTAGATAGACCTAAATAGTGGATTCTCTGCGCATCTGTTTCACAAGAAATGAACGTAGACGACAGTGCGATTCCTGAGCAATGTCGCAGATAACAATGCAGCCCCAGGTTGGGCAACAACTAGCATATCTGCTCTTGGTTGAGTTGCTGGCGTGAGTGATAGTCCTCGAGGTATCTCATCATAGTATAATGTCGCTGACAGCAGGACTGCATACGATAGACATCAATTTGCGTCCCCGGTCCAATGGTAAGCCGCAGTTATCGAGAAAGCAACGAAGAATGACCCTGGGGTTTGTTAACATTGAATAGGATCACCACGCAAGATGTCCTCCTCAAAGAGCATAATGTTGAGCGCTTCGTCGAAATCGGACCCGCCGATGTCCTCACCAGCATGCTCAAGAACACTGTCGCTCGACACCTCAAATCCCAAGATGCTGCTCGCAACATCACTCGACGGTTTCTTTCTTATGCGCAGAATGCACAAGAGATTCAGTATTTGTTAGAGGCAGGTACAGTGGCAACCCCAGAAAAAACGAAGAAGATCGAAACACCCACCAAGTCAACTGTGACCGAAGCGGCCACAACTGCCCAAGTTACTGTGAAAGGTCTCCAAACGGCGGAGTCTTCTGAAGCTCAACTGAACGTCACCGCCTCAACGCAGATCGCCAATGCTGCCCCGATCCCGGACGCTCAAATTGATGCAAAAGAGATCCTAGTTGCTATCGTTGCCGGAAAGCTACGAAAGAGTCACGGTGAACTGGAAACAATGAAAACAATCAAGGCTCTAGCCAATGGTATGTGACTTGCTCGGTTAGAAAGACCCAATTGATGATACTAATCGTAATGCAGGTCGATCAACAATGGAGAATGAGATTGTCGGGGACCTCGATGCCGAGTTCGGCTCGCTCCCCGAAAAGCCAGAGGATATGGCTCTCGATGAGTTGGCAAACCTGCTACAATCCGCGCCCTCTTTCTCGGGGCAGTTGCGCAAAGTTTCAACTGGTCTCTTGTCCAAGGTCTTCGCGCAGAAGCTTCCCGCGGGCGTTTCCAGTGGGGATGTTCGTGATTATTTGAAGTCCCGATGGGGTCTGGGCCCAGGTCGTCAAGATGCAATCTTTCTGCGAGCAAGCACAGCGCAAATCTCATCGAGGTTGACGGACCAAAAACAGACACACTCGTTCTTTGATACAATTGTGCAGCAATATGGCACTGATCACGGGCTGAACCTCTTGGGGTTCACCCCAAACTGCGGCGACTGCGGTAACAGTCACAACCCCAGTGGACAGTGCAGCCCTCGACTCCGTGGTGAAGGACCAGACCAAGCTCAAGAAGTCCTTAATGGAACTGTATGCACGGCTCCTAGGAAAGGACCTGAGGCAAGATGCCCACGAGGCGTTCAAAGCACAACTAGCAACGGCCGAGCTGCAGCACCAATTGGACGGCATCACGGCGGAGGTGGGGGATTTCTTCCTTTCCGGTATCCGTCCTCTCTGGGCAGCCTCCAAGCTTCGACGCTTCCATTCGAGCTGGAACTGGGTCTTACAAGACGCCCTCGACCTCTTTCATCGAATCCTGCGTGGTGACTTCTCAGATGCGGACTATGCCAAATATAGCAACGCCATTGCGAATCGATCTAGTCCCCGCTTAGTGCGCATGCTGAATTATCTCGCCGGCAACGAATCTTTGGCCTGGGGACCTCGGTTTCCTGAAGCCAAAGCGGCCGTGCACCGCCTGTTGGATCGATGTGAGAAAACTCGCATCCCTCGGTTTGAGCCTCTGGCTGCCAGTTACGATGCTCTCATCAAAGGCCCCAGCACCGATATTGACGAGAAGGGCAATATCAAGTATTCCGAAGTCGCTCGTGGCGAATCTCCGGTTGTTGCATCGATCACAATCAAGACTCGTGGTCAGTCATCCTGGCATATCAACCAGCCGATGACTACATTGTACCGCGAGGAGGTGCAAACCTCTTGGAGTGAAGGAGTGACTTTTGTCAACAAAAATGTGCTGATGACAGGAGTCAGCGCAGGGTCGATAAATGCCGAGGTCCTGAAAGGTCTTTTGAGTGGTGGTGCCAAAGTGATCATCACTACCAGCAGCTATTCATCGTCTACCACCCGCTACTACCAGAACCTCTACGTCGAGCATGGCGCCCGGGGCTCCGAGCTCATCGTCGCTCCCTTCAACCAAGGCAGTCAACAAGATCTTGACGGCATTGTAGAGCACATTTTCGCAGATACCGGGCTAGGTTGGGACCTGGACCATGTGATCCCCTTCGCGGCAATTACAGAGTCTGGACGAGAGATTGACCAAATTGATTCGCGCTCGGAGCTTGCCCACCGCATCATGCTTACCAACACATTACGTTTGCTGGGCGCCATCAAGAAACAAAAGCAGGCCCGCGGGTATCGCACGCGACCCACCCAAGTCATTCTGCCACTTTCTCCGAACCACGGTGCCTTTGGTAACGATGGCTTGTACGGCGAGTCCAAGCTTGCGCTTGAATCACTGTTTGAAAAGTGGCACTCGGAGAGCTGGTCTGCGTATTTATCCATCTGCGGTGCGGTTATTGGATGGACTCGTGGTACGGGGCTCATGGCGGATAATAATATCGTTGCCGCTGGCATCGAACTTCATGGCGTGCAAACCTTCTCGACAGCGGAGATGGCAGCATATATTCTGGTGCTGCTGACTCGCAAGTTGGCCAGCGAATGCAACGTCCAGCCATTGTATGCCGATCTCACGGGAGGGCTGAACGCCATCCCAAATCTTCGAGCCACGCTGGATAAGGTCCGCCGCGATATCTTCGATCAAAGTACTCTTCGTGCCAACCTGGCTCGGGAAAAGGAAGCTGAAGAGAAGCTCACGATTTTGGGTCTCCAGGCAAAAGACAAAGAGGTTGCTCGGCCTCGCCTGGCAAATATCCCGTTCACATTCCCGCCATTACCTGATGAGGATGTTGAAGTCCAACCCTTGCGGGAAAGACTACTTGGAATGGCGAACCTGGATCGCGTCGTGGTGGTGACTGGATTCTCCGAGATAGGACCATTCGGTAACTCCCGTACTCGGTGGCAGATGGAGGCTACTGGGCGCCTGTCACTCGAAGGGTGCATTGAGATGGCTTGGATGATGGGCTTGGTCACGCATTACAATGGACTCCTAGACGGCCAACAGTATACCGGATGGGTGGACGCGAAGACCAAGAAGGCTGTCCAAGACCTCGACATCAAGGTTCGCTATGAAGAGTATATTCTTGCCCATACGGGGATCCGTCTGGTGGAGGCCACACTAGATGCACAGGAGACAGCTGGAAAAAGGCAATTGCTTCAAGAAATCCTTCTTGAGGAAGACCTACCGGAATTCGAGGTTTCCCCTGAAGTGGCGCAGCAACTTGTCAACGAGCATGGCGAGAAACATGTTGATGTCCTGTCGCTCGGAGAGCGTTGCGTGGTCAACTTGAAGAAGGGGGCTGTCCTGATGATCCCCAAAGCCTTGAATTATGACCATGCTGTGGCAGGACAGGTCCCTACCGGTTGGGATGCACGCACCTACGGCATTCCTGACGACATTGTTGCCCAGGTGGACCGTGGAACCCTCTTCACCTTGGTGAGCACGATAGAAGCGTTGATCGCGTCCGGAATCACCGACCCCTATGAGCTGTACCAGTATATTCATGTTTCGGAATTCGGTAACTGTATTGGTTCAGGTTTGGGGGGTGTTCATTCCCTGAAGAAGTTGTTCAAGGATCGATACATGGATAAAGACGTGCAGAAGGATATCCTCCAGGAGACCTTTATTAACACTACTGCCGCGTGGGTGAACATGCTACTCATATCCTCCTCTGGGCCCATCCGGACGGCGGTCGGTGCTTGTGCCACATCGGTCGAATCGTTAGAAACCGGGTATGAGACGATCGCGACCGGACGGGCCAAGATCTGCCTGGTCGGAGGATATGACGATATGAACCAGGCTGTGGCAGAAGAATTTGCCAATATGAAAGCGACCACAGATGCGGCTGCTGAAGCAACAAAGGGCCGACTTCCCCAAGAGATGTCGCGACCCTCGGCGGAGAGCCGCAGCGGGTTCGTCGAATCACAAGGAAGTGGAATTGAGGTCATCACTTCTGCACGGTTGGCGTTAGACCTTGGCCTGCCCATCCAAGGTATTATTGCTTGGGTCGGCACCGCCAGTGACAAGACTGGGCGCTCAGTGCCCGCGCCCGGGCAGGGTATTCTGACCAATGCACGCGAACAGCCAACAAACCGCTTCCCTCGCCCCTGTTAGATGTGCGATACCGCAAGCGTCGTCTGGCGGCGCGTTTCGTCCAGATTCAGGAGTCAGTCAACTTAGAGGTAGAGACCATGGGAGATCTTGAAGACAGCGAAGCGCGTGAGCACCACCTCCGCTTTGTCGAGCAAGAGGCCGATCGCCAGCGCAAGGAAGCCCTGGACACATTTGGCAATGACTTTTGGAAAAGTCAGACTTCGATCTCGCCCATTCGTGGGGCTCTGGCAGTCTTTGGTCTCGGCATTGGTGCGTCTTGTTCCCTCCCCCCCTTTCGCTTCATTCAATCTGACTAGCATGCTGAATTAGATGACCTGGACTTTGTCACTCTACACGGTACCAGTACAGTGATGAACGATAAAAATGAGCCTGCTGTTCTCGAAGCCCAGATGAAACATCTCGGTCGCACACCAGGCAATCCACTCTTCGCCATCTCACAGAAATATCTCACAGGTCACCCCAAGGGTGCCGCCGGAGCATGGATGCTGAACGGTGGCCTGCAAGCGCTCAACAGCGGCATTATCCCAGGTAACCGCAATCTCGACAGCGTGGACGGCCACCTCGAGAAGAACGACTATATCGTCTACCCCAACCGTAGCATCACAACGTCCGGGCTGAAGGCTTTCTCCCTCACCTCCTTTGGCTTCGGACAGAAAGGGGCGCAGGCCATCGTGGTCCATCCACGCTATTTGTATGCTATGCTGGAGCAGGCCGAGTTCAAACAGTATCGTGGGAGACGCCAGACACGTCACCGCAAGGCATTCCGTTTCTTCCACCGTGGAATGGTGGCGAATACCATGTTTGTGCCTAAGACCGAAGCGCCATATACGCCAGAACAGCAAAACTCGGTGCTGTTGGATCCCACGGCCAGAGCGATTGCAAGTTCCGGGGCGACTCTCCAGTATTCCTTTTGAATTTTGACGCGTTTCTCAAACTTCACCTTGCCTGACACTGTGACGGTACTTGCAAATACTTCTTGTAGTCAATATAGCAATTCAATTTGACCACCGTTGATGAATATGTTTGAAGGTCTTTCCATGGTTAGAACCTGAAATGAATGCATAGCTAGCTCATCGTGTCTGTTGTGGCGTTGATGCTCTCAGGCGTAAACTTGTGCCTTGAATAGTGGATCAAGAATGCGGATTTAAACTCGCTCAAGTCGCGCGCTGCTAGCGTCTCCGGGCGGGTGCCTTCCCCTGCTGGTTTTCACCCCTGAGCGTACGAGAAAGGAATATAAAGGATAGGATTAGTAGTATTCCGTTCCCATGACGGCAAGCATTAACACGTTACATATTGTCCCAATGGGGAAGGTTTGAACCTTTGATAAGCTCCGACAGGGTACCTAGGTACCGAGAGCCTGATTTGGTTTGTGAAATAGACCTCAAGTATACCCTTTGTAAAGAACAGAGAGAAGGAAAAAAAAAAACGAAAGGTATGTAAAAAGAACAAGATAGGTACAAGATGTTCAAAAGGCCATGGGCGTCCGATTGGAACTCCGCCCCGTGTCCCAGTAAAGCTCGGCGAAAGCACCTTTCTCCTCCAACAGCACTCCCGGCGGGCCATGCTCCTTGATACGTCCGGACTCCATGACAATGACTTCATCAAAGTCAACGATCGTCTCCAAGCGATGCGCGATGGCAATGATGGTGTTCGAAGCGAATTCTGATCGGATGAGTGATTGCATAATCTCATCGGTTTTAGAATCGATACTGTGTTTAGTGTGGTCAGCCTCTGGAGAAGGCACTGTCAAAGAGAAATTTAAATGACATACCTGCTAGTCGCTTCGTCGAGAATCAGAATCTTGCCCTCCGGCCGAACCATGGCGGATGCGAAACACAGGAGTTGTTTCTGACCGGGCGAGAAGGTTTGTGCTGTGATAATGGCGTCCAGGCCACCGAGCCCCTCAATCACATCCCAGAGTTTGACCTTTTGGAGCGCATTAATCAGGACCTCGTCATCGAGGCCACTTCCTGGGTCAATATTGAGTCGGACAGAGCAGGTGGGCAGTAAGAACGGCTCCTGAGAAATGCAGTTTAGCTGGGCGCGGAGCGAGTTGCGACGAATAGTAGAGATGTCCAGCCCATCAATGACAATGTTGCCGCTCGTGAGTTCAATGAGGCGGAACAGTGAGGAGATGAGTGATGACTTGCCACTAGAGAGAAAATAATTGATTAGATTGGATCTGGAGAATACCAGCAAGAGCTCCAATGCGGGCAAACATACCTCCCAGAGCGACCGCAGATGCCCACTTTGGTGCCGGGTCTGATTGAGAGCGAAATATCATCAAGAGCTCGGCTTGAGGAGCTTCTACACGCACAAATCAGCAACTTGGGATCAGTAGAAGGGGAGGAAGAGAAATCTCACTGATATGAAGCAATCACGTTGTTGAATTCAATAACACCTCGATCAGGCCATTCAGCCGGGGGGTCTATCGTTTCTTCCTCCTGGTGCTCGGATGTGCTCGTACGGTGGAAGTGGCGAATACGTGACACAGCACCGATCGAGGTCTCGAGAACGGTCCATTGCATGACCAACCCCTGCAGATTCTCCGTGAAGACGACGATGTTCAGTAGGGCCACACCGACATAACCAGCGCTGAGACTGCCCCGCGTGGCGACGGCAATGCCTACCAAAGTAACAGCGAATCCGGCAACGCATAGCGCAATCACCAGTTCCAGCCAACGCTGAATGGAGAAAAGCAGGTAGAAGGGCTTTTGGCTGTCATTGATCAACTTGGCGTTCTGCTTACGATACTGTGCTTCCCACTTGAAAGTGCGAATGGTGACCAAGCCGTTGAGGGTATCAAGGAAGTGCGAGATCAGAGGTGCTTTGGCCTCAATATCGAGATAACGGATCTGACGCGAGGTGCGGAGATAGAACCGTTGAATGAAATAGAAAGCCAATAGACAGGCGGGCACCGTAGCTGCGATATAGCTGGTTGAAACGCATATGACCACCATCTGAGCGACACAGGTGAAGAAGGTGAGAATAGTGTTTAGAACGGCGAGAGGAAGTTCCATATCGATGAGTTGAAGATCCTGACTGAACCTATGAAGTGTGAGCAGGAGACTACATCGACACGGGGCTCAGTGCTCAGTGTCGCACAGATATAAAAGCTTAGCTTACCGATTGGTTGTTTGACCGACATCAGTACTGTGAAAGAAGGATAATGGGGAGCTGTTCGGCAAAGTCAGTGACACCATTATAGACAGACAGGAGGGGAACAATCACATACTCTAGAACGCTTTTCAACAGTTGAGCATGCATGGACTTGGCTGCGCGGGCGACCAGGTTGGACATCAGATGCCTAAAGAAATGTCAGCCTCAAAATCCAGTACCCATTATTAGGGGCGAGTCCAGACGGACCAGCAAGCCAGGACAAGTGTGGACACTGCCATGACGGCAATCCAGCCATAAACACCTAGCCAGTAACCAAGCATCCCATTCGGATGCCTCATATTCGCGGCCGTCCACCACTCAACCCAAATTGCTACATCGGTTAGCGTGGAGCTTGTGGTACCCCATATTTGAGAAACACATACAAGGGAAAGTAATTCCCACCACGTAGCAGCAAATGAGGAAGATGAAGATGAGCGACCGCCATATCCCAAGGATCTTCATGTAGTACCAATAGATAGATATGTCACCTGTCCGCCGTCCGTCCTGAGGCGGTGGTGGCTCGAGGTCCAGGGCGGCTAGGCTCAGTGGCTGGTGTAGTTTAGGGCCCGCAACTTCCGTGATCTCCATATCGTCGCCCACAGCTGCCTGCCGGCTGCCTTCTGGCGCCGACAGGCTGTGAATATAACTATCTGAGCGCTCGTTCAGTTGTTTGTACGAGCCTTGTTCAACGATTGTGCCTGTTTTGGAGAGAGCAATGACGTGATCAGCAAACGAGAGGCGAGAGACTGCAAGAGTTGGTGCAGCGTTAGTCCGCAATATCTAGAAGAATAGACGTAGATCTCCAACGTACCGCTGTTGCTGGTCATGATGATGGTGGCGCCCATGCGACGCAAGAGGCCACCGGGGGCCAGCAGGGCATTGAAGATGGCATCTTCAGTCGTACGATCGAGGCCACTGAACGGATCGTCAAGGATCACTGTATCTGCACGCGAGTAAACGGCACGCGCCAGAGCCTATCCAAGCAATGTCGGTTATCATCCGTGATTCGCGGCTGATCCAATTCCCCTTTCAACAAAACACTTACCACTCGTTGCTTTTGGCCTCCACTGAGAGTAGCGGCTCCTGATCCCAGCAAGCCTTGGTCTTGGTTTGGCTGGTCCCGGATGTCCTCTTCTAGCGCACATGCCTCCACCACAGTATTGTACCAACCTAGATCAAACATGGACTCACCCAAAATATTCTCCTGCATACTGCGGTTAGTCAACCAAGGAACTTGGGTACAATAGGCGATGGCTCCAGCCTCAACATGAAGCGTTCCGGTAGCAATTGGAGTTTCGTGCAGCAGCATGCGAACAAACGTTGACTTGCCACAACCGACCGGGCCAACGATTGTGTTGAGTGTTCCACGGCGGATCTCAAATGAGGCCTGATCTATGACATTGGGTTTGGCCTCCTCCCAGCCAGTGCTTCTGTTATGAGCGACTACAGCCAGCCCTGGAAGAGGGTCATAGCGAGGCAAGCCTTCACGGCTGGAGACGCTAGGGTACTCCACCCCCTTCTTTTCATCCACTATTATTGTGGACTGGCTTGCAGAGCTCACAATCTCGAACTCATTTACTTGGCCTTTGTAGCTCCGTGGAGAAGACTGCAAGAACAGGTTGATGCGTTTGATAGACCCGACAGCCGTTGCAATTCCAGTCACGGCTTCGACCAGGTTGGAGATGGGGGTGGCCAACAGTGTAAATAGCGTCAACGAGGTGAATGCACGGGCAGGGGTCAGTGTTTCATTGTCATGGCCCCGGGCATTCAGGGAGTATATCAGGAAGGAGGCCAATGGAGTAACGGTGTAGTTGCTATATGCTGCGCCATTGTTAGTCCTCAGATGTGGGGATGGGATCTTGTGCAAATTAGACTCACCCACAGCGACAACGAGAATCAGCAATCGGCGAAACCGAATTGACATGCGCACCTCGTGAGTGCGCATAGATTGGACGGTGTTGTAGATTTTATCGGTCAAACCGGCCATGCGGACCCCTTTCATCGATCCTAACACCTGAGCGGTCATATCAACGCGCTTCTCGATAGCCTCCAGCCATACCTTTTGACGCGGACCAGCCAGGGAAGATATGAGCACGCACATCAACATACAAACTAAGAAAAGTCAGTATTGGCCACAATGGTAAAAGAAGAGCAAGATACTTACCAATGACGACGACAATGGGAGCGACACTAGCGATGCCCAGCTGCCGCCAAAGCAGATAAAGAGCAATGGGGATTTCGACAATACACGCCCAGACGTCATGTACATAGCGGAATCCACTGGAAATCCGCTCAATATCCGCGTTCATTAGGGTGACCGGGGCGCTGGATTCTATATCGCTGTCGCGCATGATGGTGACGTGTCGGAACATCATGTCAATCATACTGGCCCGCATCATAGACACCATTCTGTAGGCTTGATGCTGAGCGAGCGCACTGGTGATCTGACTGAATCAGTCTCGAATTCCGGTCGGAAACAAGTCAGGACTTACCGCAAGGCCGATATATGTGAGCGCGAAGGCGCCGATCAAGCCATATCCTTGTCTCATAGTGTTAGGTCCATCCTCAGAGTCCACCCAGCTAGTAGTAGTCTCTACCAGGAATGGTTGAGCAAATGTAAAGCCAATCTGCAACGCGCGAGGAAGAATCCCAAGCAGGAACGGCCCGGCGTAGTACCGCATGGACGCCCAGAGTAGACTATGCGGCTGGTCCCAGTTGGCACCTATTCGCATGTGGTGGTTAGTTTACACCTATTAGTGCTTTACCAGAGGTATATTTACCTTTTCTCCAGAGCGTCTCCAATCCATTGGGTCCAACACCCGTCGCACACAAAGCATCTTCCAGTGCAGGCAGCTGTGCCACTGTCAAGTCTGTTCGACTCCCAAGCAGCAATAGGGGATTGATCCACGTAAAGAGGCTCAAGCCCAGCACCCCCGTAGCAGTCTCTGGGGGTGGATTTTGATAAGCACGTTTCAGAACAGAGTCTTTAGGAATCGACTCGACGACTAGCAGGACCGCTCGGAGGCATAGATTGACTGTGTAAAGAATGGGAATGACGCGATTCGACTCCACAAAGTATAGAGTGCGAGATTCCGGAATCGAAAGCAATGAAGAGAGAAAAAGATAGCCGGTGTTTATCGTGGACGGTTTGATGGTGCGGGCGTGTTCATATTGAGAAAGAATTCCGAGTACTAGGTAGGCCACCAGCGTAACAGTAGCAGTGCCGATCGTGGCACGTGTTGTTTTTCCGAAGGACGATGCCCATAGACCGAGGAGAGTTGCCTGAATGATCACCAAGAGGGCATATGCAATCTGCGAGCGCGATCAATAAGGTGTTTCCACCGAGCGGGAGGCGACGTACCAGCTTGACGATGCCCCAATAACCCCCCTGTGATTTTGACATTTTCCTTTCGGAGGTAATTAATCCTTGGCAATGCCCAGACGAGAAAGAATACTGTCACTGGCAAGGCCAAGATGACAGATTCGAAATACCAGGTGAAGTCGAAGCCAGAGGCACAGAGTTCACTGACTATAGGTCCGAATTGATCCTCGACGTCGAGAGCACAAATAGTCGTCCTGGGACGAAGCCATTGTGACACCATTGCGAATCTGGCACAAACGACTTGGACTGCAAAAGGCTCGATCTTCCCGATCACCGTTTCTTTTTTTTTTCGCCGGGTGGGGGGAAACAGCGGTTCAAGTCAAGCAGCTACAGCAGTGGAGTGCAACATCAAGGCCGAAATTAGACAGTTATGGGGCGCTTACACTCTCCGGCAGCCCCCAATACGATGGGCGAGATGGGGAAAATGGGCCCGATCCCGATGGCGTTCAGGGAATCAGCCTTAGCGTGCGGCGACGAGCTGCACGCGAGCTGCACGGTGAGAATTAGCGCTTACGGCCTGTCAAGACCCGGTGAAATGCGTGAGACACATCTTCTCGTTCGTGCACGCTCATCTGATTTTATCACTATAGCTGTCTGACATCTACTTGCTTTCTGGATTGCCCATCCATTGCCACATCATCCGCGATCGCATCAGCCTCTAGTATCCACAGTTCTTTCTCATCGTAAGCTCGCCCCCAATTCCTGTAGCCCATCGAAGCCGCCCATGTAGCTTGCTATAGCCAGGCCACGTTGTCGCTCCATCTCGACATGGGCCCAGGTCCACGGGTCCTGCTCGCCCCCAAAAGGAGCTGCGCCATCGACTAGATCCTGACACGGCAAAGGCAGGCGGTCTGGTGCAACCGTAGCAGCCACATTCTCGGCTGTGGTGTCCTCGTCTGCCAAAAGCCGAAGATTACGAAATACCTCCGCTGGCTGCATTGTCTGTCGTCCCTGCTTGAAGACATAGCGAGAAACTGCTGAGGCAAGAATCCGATCTTGCATCTTCTCTGTCTCATGCCGACCACGAGGCTTTAAGAAATAACTAACGATATACATCCATTTATCATCCCAGGCCAGTACGCGTGTCACAAGGTCGTATCGCTGATATGGCTTGATCTCACGACGGAAAAGACACACCACGCCCCCTAGAGCGGCGTTGAGCTGTCTCCGCCGGTTGCGCCGGCTGTACACACTCTCGGGTGCCAGGGTAGTGCGCGGAGAGAGCGGGGTGATGGCGTCTTTGAACAAGGTGACCAGGAGCTCGATGCGGCTCACGTCGAGATCGGCATAGAAGGTGCTGTTAGATTTGTGCAAGTTGAAGTCGAGCTCCGCAATGGAGCAGTAGGAGCGTGTGTATCGAGGGCGGAAGATGGTCGAGGGAGCTGAGGAGACTGTTGATGAGCTCGCGACGAGAGCGCTATTGCGTTGCCAGACCAGATGTTTAACGAGAATGTTGAGAACTCGGGCCTACATAAGGTAACGAGGTTAACAAGCGTTTGAACCAGTTAGTAAAAGATGACAGTGAGACAAACATGCCACAGACCCGGCAAGGCCTTCGGGTCCAAGAGAAAGAATCCAACTACTGCGCCGAAAAGCGCAGTCAGCGCAGGGAGAGAAATCATGGTGAGTGCACGGGAGGACCAGGGGCTAGTCTAGATAGCGCAGGAATAGCGCAGGAAGAAAAATCAAGAAGCAGTGATGAAGAAAGTGAGAAAAGAGGGCGTAATGGGTTTAAATAGTAATTCGGTCTTATTTAAAGGGTGGGTCATGTATGTGATCCTAGAGTGCCCGGCCACGTCGACGGAATCTAAGCTTTCCAGGGCTACGAATGGCGATCGGGGAGGAAATGATATAATACGGTCTGGTGTGTACATAAAATTTCAGGATTAGGGAACGAAAAGTTTGAAAAATGGAGACAAACTACGAAGACCTCATCAGAACACCTTCATCGCCTGAATAGCGCCCTCAATCTTTTGCAGTCCATCTGCGCTCGTTGGGTCAAGATATGTATCCCACTAAGTCATGATTAGCAACCATTCCTTCAGCAATACACAGAAGAACGAATATAATTACCTCGCGCAAAACGCCTTCAAGCGCTACGGAGCCCGTTGTCCGGTGGACGAGCTCGAAATACTCTTTGCTCAGCTCGAACGGCTGGGCTGTCAAATTCGGGATATACCGACCTACAAGGCATTTAGGATCCAATGAATGGCCGTCGATGAGGTTCAGCAGACAGCGTCTGAAACCTGCCACGCCAGGCAGCAGCGAGGAAGAATGGAAGGGTACGTCGATGCCGCGCAAAGGGAATTGTCGCACAGCCACGAGTCAGTGTCGTTGGGGGATTTGCCAGCGCGACTTGCTCGATTTGTGCTTGCGCCAGGCTGACGATCTGCTCTGGCGATTCTGGCAAGGGGACATGGGCATGGAGATAGTTGAGCACTGTAGTGAGGCAGTGGAGCGCATGAATCTATGATGTTCAGGTCCAGTCAGTAGGTGGTAATCTACCCAAGAGCTGGAGATTCACTTACCTGTCCGGCGCAGACATACTGCAAGCTCAAGACATTGAAATTAACGATCTCCAGTAACTGACCAGTCTGCGTGGCAATAGTCTTCACAAGTAGCTGCAGAGCCTCCTGTCCGAAACCTTAAGAGTGGAGACGACAAATCAGCCTTTAGTTCATCAAAAATGATGCTAGGTATATACGTACCAGGTGCAACGCGACTGGGGTCAACTGCACACATGCGATAGTCTGAGTTTCCCTTTCCGTCTCGGGGGACAGTGTACTGCATCAACAGACCGCGATAGAAGACCACCTGAACGAGGGACTCGACATTGAAGATCTTGCCCACCGCTCCAAGAGCAGCATACTCACCCAATGAATGGCCGGCATACGAGCTGCGTTCCGAAATCAGACCGCGCGATTGCAAATCGGCAAAAATCGCCAGTTCCATGAGCGTCAGAGCCGGCTGTGTGAACTGCGTGGCCGAGAGTAAGCCCTGGGGCGAATAATAGGTGTGGAACTCAGTCTCCTCGTCAATTTGGGGGAACAATGGCAGCAGCTGGACATTCCCATCGGGCCCAATGGACTCTCGCGTCATACTACGATATTGGTCACGGATGTGTCGGCCTTGAGGCCCTCCGAAGTAGACGGTCAACTCCTTGGGATCATTCCGCACGATGTCGGTAATGCGGAAGCCATAGTTATCGGAGAAGTAGGCATCAGCATAATCCCAGACCTGCTGTGCCGCTTTGCTTTGAGCATAGAGCTGCATACCCATACCCTTTTGTTGACTACCCTGACCAGTGAAAAGGAATGCCGTCTCCTCAGGTTCGATCTCAGCTTCTCCACGCAGAACGGTCTCGCCGCGCCCGACGTGCTTTGCTTCCACTGAGACGATCTTGCGTCCCGCCAACATGCCGATGTGCTGGAAGACGACTTCAATCTTATCTCCCGGTAGCACCATACTCGTGAATGAGCAGTGGAAGCTACGGAAGGCGCCGATGGCTGAGGCACAGGTGTAGTGTTCGACAAGTCCACGTACCCGTGCCGAGGTGTACATGCCGTGCGTGATCAGACCTGGTAGATCTGCATATCGCGACAGCGACGCGGACACGTGGATGGGATTGAAGTCCCAGGAGACGTGAGCATAAGCCTCGTTAGAGTGTGGCATAGTGAGAATCAAAGATGCGCCATCGTTAGTCAAGGGACTAGGCTGATCAAACATAGCGCGCTTCTGCACTGGACTACCATGACGCTTGAGGTAATCCATGACAGGGCTACCTCGGCAGGTGACTGCGTGATAGTCCACGGTCGCAATCGGCCGCGAACCGCCCGGGAGCGATGAATTGACGCGAACTTCACCAACAGTAGTAACGGTCTTGAAGGTGTCCTTGCTGGCGTATTGGTAGGTCGAACGAAGTACGAAGACCAAAGTCTGGTTTTCCAGGTCGAGCGACCGATCCAGGGGCTGGAACCAGGACTTCGAGTTCAAGATCGCAACCTCCATCGGGCTACGGGGGCAGAGCTCCATCTCTTCCTCGTCCACTTTGCGGAACATATTCTCCCAGTCTGTGTGGTGGCCTCGGTAGAGGAATTGACTGCTTAACTCCAGCACGACCTTGTTCTCATGGTACACATCCGCACGTACCTCGACCAATTTACCTGTCTCCTCGATCGTAATGGCTTGTATACGAGACTTGGTCTCAAGTGCATAACCTGCCTGAATGGGGTCCGCATCTGCGGGAATGCGGAAGCCATTGGTGAGATGCACCAGCGTCAACAGATCGACGTCAAGCTCCCGCGAGAAAAGCGGCTTCATCAAAGCTTCCCAGCCAATGACGACACCAAAGTCCAACGGTGCCGCCATCCGTTTGCCACGCCGCTTGCTCGCGGCATCGCTGGCATTCTGTACACAATGGGCGAACTCGGCAATTGAGTCGGCCGTCACCTCAAACTGCGATTCGCGGAAGGTGTCGTGGACCGAGGGCCATGTCTCTGGTGGTTCACCCGCGAACCAGACTCTATAGTAGAAGTCTTTGACACGCTGGTTGCGGCCTTCCATAATTTCATGGATGGGAGCGTAAACAGCCTCACGCCTGAATTGGAACTTCAACTGCAGACCAATAGCGGCACCTCCAGCATTACGGTAGTTGATGATCTCAAGCGTGATAACGCCAGGCTCATCCACTCGCACCTCCACGACCTTGACCGGCTCAGAGTGTGGCCGATGTTCGAACAGCGTGATTATCGGATCTGCCGAAAGGCCTCCGTGGCCCTGCTGCACCATCACGTACGATTCACGCGTGGGCTGGAAAAGCCGCCGCAGCGGATTCTCGCAGATGGCTCGGCCCTGCACGATCGTCGCTGCGTGGAAGAATGCTTGGCGCCAGCCTCCATTGGAACCGCCCAAGGCCACAAGCCATTCTGCTAACGAGGGCGTCGACGGCGCACCGGGCGCACCGTCCAGTGGTTTCGCTTCGTACAACATCGCGCCTGTGTTTCCGACGGGTGAGCAATGAATGCCCAGCTCCGCAAGTCGCCAGTCCTGTGGGACAGAGTGTGGGCTGAAGCAGTCGACAATAGGGATACCATCCTGCTGGTATTCGGGATCTTGCTGCTGCAGGCACTCAATGTGTCCATGGTAGATGTTGCCTAAAATGTCGCCTGCCGGCTCGTCCACCTTAGTTGAATATCGCGCCGCCACTGGGCCGTGCAGAATACAAACCCGGCCGACATCAGCGTCAGCAACAGCTGCAAGGTCCTCTGACTGCCACAGCGAGTCTTTTTTGAAGTAAGTCTCGAAGTTTTCGTCAAGGACAGGGACAAACGGTACTGGCTTTGTGCCGCGTCTCTGGCATAGAAGCAAAAAGTATTCCGCATCTTGCGTGCCAATAAGCTGGGCCTCAGCGGTCGGCAACCGCTTCAAGATGGCGTTCAATGCTGTTGTCGGATCAGCAAGAGCCTCGTCGCCGTTGACTTCGCTGGGTCCGAGGCCGGCGGCTACGTCGCCAATGCGGGCCTCCACGCGCTTTAGGAAATCTTGCAGGAACAAGCGGTAGGAATCATCGATCCAGCGGCCCTCAGCCGACACATAGGTAAGCGCAACAAAACGGCGCAGAACCTCGGCATAAGTCATCTCCTCCAAGTCGACAACAGATCCCTGGACATCGCACCCGAACCAGACCTTCACCGAATCGGTATTCAGTCGCTGAATCAGGTAGTCACGGTGTTTCTGCAGATATGCGACGCGCTTACTACGATCAAGGCTGAAGACATTGCGATCTAACTCAGCCCATAGTTGCACACCCCGCGTAGCCAGCTTATGAATAGGTTCCCCCATCTCTGAGGTTACAGTCATAATGCCGCCAGCTGGTTGTGTGTATGTCTGCTCCCAATCACCTTCATCCTCGACTCCTGGGGCATTTACAATTGCCTGTTTTACAGCTGGGCTGGTATGCGCTTCTTTGGCGGTCATTAAACGACTGCCGAGAAGGATACCATCGAAGGGCATGGGCGGGCGGTTATACCGATAGGCCCAATCACCTGTTAGGTAGGGGAATGTGTCCTGTGCACCGCCAAAGCCACTGCCCGCTATAAGAATAACGTTCTCGCAGCGGCGGATGGAGTCGTAGGCTTGCAAGATCGGTTGGTGGAAGTCCTCGAATGAGTGGTGGCCACCACCTCGCCCACCTGTCCATTGGAGTAGAATAGGGAAGGTGGGATGAGCCGATGCGATGTCGAGGACTTGGTATATTGCGGGTAAAGTGCCAGGCTTGAATCCTATGTGGCGTAGACCGAGCTCGTTGATATAACGAGTGGCCACCTCGAGTGAAGGCACGCCTGCGCCGATAGTGAGTCCCTCCAGGGGAACGCCGGCCGCGCGTAATTTGGCCAGCAGCGGAATCTGCCACTTCACCGCGTGAGGGGCGGCGTAGATCATGTTACAGGTGATGCCCCGGCCAGCAGGTACCGTCTCCACCAGCTTGTAAATGTCTGTCTCCAACTGGGCGGCATGATGGAATCCGCCCAGTGCCAATTCGACATGATAGCCGGCGCGCATAACTGCCGCACAGAAATCCCAGGCTGCAGTTGTGGGCGTCATTCCGGCCACCATGACCGGTGGCAAGCCCAAGAGGCGACTGAGCTTAGTATCGACAAGCACGCCGCCGCCGGCAATCTGTACCAACTGCGGTCGGTAGCGATTCCGCCATATAGGTCCGTAGACGAGACCCTTGGGCGCAGGATTCCAGTTAAAGAACTCACTGCGATCTCCCAGCTCGGTGCGGGAGCTGGAGGTGCCCGTGGCCAGGATGGTACGGACGCCAGTACCCTCCTTAAGTCGATTAGTGAGAGTTCCAATGCCAGAAGCACCATCAGGCCCAAAAACGAGAATATGCGTGGATCCGGGAAAATGAACGGCCCGTGGCCAGACGACTTGCTGGGTCGTTATCATCGCAATGAGCTTGGGAATCAAGTTGACGGCTCCACACTTGCGTAGATCTGTCCCTGTATGGGTGCAAAAGACAGGGATTCGGAGTTGGTCACCGGTTATGGTGAAATCGGCGACACGCTCCAGCACGCCCGGAGCGACATCTGTTAGATAGCTGCTGTGGAAGGCCGTGGTTATTGGAAGGAATCTGGTATGGATCTCAGGCTTTCGCTGGCTGAAAGGAATCCGATGTTGCAAGCCCTTTGCCGGAGCTTTCACCTCTCGTAGCCAAACATTGAACCCATGAAGTGACAGTGGCGGTCCAGCCAAAACGGCATTGGTAGGCCCGTTGATTAGAGCTATCTCAATGCGGGCATCAACTGGCAAATACCCATTGACGGAAGCTACATAGGTGCGGAGCTGGGAGGTTGGACAGTCTGCCACACTCAGCATGGGTCCTGGAAAGCCCTCGCCGTTGGCTTCGGCGTCTGCGACAACAGCGCGGCGGCAGCTGGCCCACGGCAAATTGGTCCTGGCTGGAAGTTCCGATGGCGAGCAGCAACCGAAGCGCATCGAGCGCGAGCGCATCGAATTGCGTCCATGATTGTGCCACTGCAATCACAGTGGCTGGGATGATGCCTTGAGAATGTCCCGTGGCTCCAGCAAGCGCTGTCTGAAGCTGGGCAGGTGTGGTACCCACTATGCGTCCGACGACTCGATACCAGGCCAGCTGCAACAAACCGATGAGCGGCATACTGATAGACGCACCGATCAGGTAGTCGGATGGTGGCGTACGATCCGGGTTCTCGAGCCAGGTGACTATGTCCATGCCGTTGTGATAGAATCGACTAATGCTCTCCTCACGGGTCTCGCGCTGCAGCATACTCGAGACTGACAGAATGAGGTCTTCCACCAGCGGGCGATAGGTCTGCCAGAGCATCCGTAGCTCTTCAAAGTAATCTTCATCATTGCCCTGCCCGCCGAACACAGCATATAGTCGTGCTTTGCGTTGCTGCGCGGCAGCCAGGAGCGCAGAAGGTGCCGCTGGTCGACTGACTTTGCGCAGAACATGGCGCGCACGTACGTAAGCGGCTAAAATGGCCGACTCGGCATCTGCGGAGATGTCCAAGGCATAGACTACACCATGGATCTCGCGCTGCAGTAGAATATCACGATCGAAGGTATCGAGGGCGATGGTCAAAAGATGTCGGAGATCGTCAGCCAATCCACGAGGAGATTGCTCCAAACGACGCACGGTAAAACCAATAAAGCGGGCCCAAAGCTCCACCAGAGAGGATATCGGCTCGGCCCCACCAGCGGTTTGAAGATCATGGAGAAAGTCATCGCGCAGCTGAAGCGCAGCGGGGAATGAGGCAGTAGAAATGGAGAGGGTGTGTGTGAAACGGCCATCTGTGATAGTGAGTATTTGGCTGCCCCAAATGTTGCTGGGCGACGACGAGGTGCATAGTTCATCAGGCGTTGACCAGTTCGAGGAAGTCGAAGCCGACAAGACGGCCGACGGCCCTAGCAATTCGGTCGAGATCAACATGACAAAGAAACAATTGAGCGGCCTAGGCTAGGCGTCAACATATTTTTTCCCCATCGCGAACGCCAGACCCTGCCATATATTCTTCATTTCTTTGTCTCTATTTCTCTTGTCTCAGCATCGTCGTTGACGGTGGGGGCAATCGCGACGGGTGGGTCTTGGTGAGATGTTGAGCCCTAAGCGTCTCACCGTGCAGTGACGCTAGCTCACCGTGCAGCATTCCCAAGGTTGCCGCCAATCTGACACACCAAAATAGCCCAGCCTCTATATGAGACGAGAGGCGCCTTGGGGGCCAGAAATACGTCGGACCAACGCCGATCAGGCAGCCGTTCTAAAGGCCAAAACCCGACGGCTGATCGACCGTGAGATTTAATTTAATTTAAGAATGTCGCCCGTCAGCACCTTGCGACTTTTCTCCGCTCGTCTGTTCTGTTGTTCTTCTATCACTGTCTTTGATCTCTGAGTGCTGTTACACTCTTGTTGACCGTTATTATGGGTTGGCCAACTCATTGTGGTATGTTCTTCTTCTATTAATCTTCTGGGCCTTGACTGATCTTGATAGATTTGTCCAGCGAGGACGCTCAATATGCCTACTGCGCCAATGGGCCCGCCGCTGTCTTCTTCACTGTTCTATTCGGACTCACCTGGATCGCCCATTTCGCTCAAGCGATCATGTACCGGAAGAGGTTCTGTTGGGTGATTGTAGTGGGCACAGTGTGGCAATGCATCGGAATGATTATGCGCACCTACTCGACCATCGACCAAACCAAGTCGACGACCACAGCCGCCGGACAGCTGTTGGTTCTTCTGACGCCCTTATGGGTGAACGCCTTTGTATACATGATCTTCGGCCGCATGGTCTACTACTTCTTACCAGAGAAGAAGGTGGCAGGCATTCGGGCCGAAAGGCTGGCCCAAATCTTCATCTGGCTGGATGTGGGGTGAGTTTCGCCCCGAAAGGCCGCCCTGGGTCAACTGTGCAGGACACTCTTCTTGTGTAATGAAACTAGCTGACTCTGATCTGACAGCTCTTTCATTGTTCAAGCGACTGGTGGTATCATGGACTCGGACTTTAGCGCCGAGATGAACAAAATCGGACTGCACATCTACACAGCCGGCATTGCAGCGCAACAGTTCTTCATCCTATGCTTCTGTGGACTCCTATTCGCCTTTCACCGTCGGATGCAAGAGCATGGTAGCATTTCTCGTGGCGGTGGCTGGCGCCCGTTGGTGATGGCCATGTGGGCCACTTTGACATTCATCACGGTAGGTCACCTTTCCAAGACCATTAGTTACAGACGACTAATGCATATTAGATTCGAATCATCTACCGTCTGATTGAATTTGCCGATACCGACAAGGCCGGGACAAGCCCCTTGACCCTTCACGAGGCACCCTTCTACTGCCTGGAATTACTGCCCATGTTCTCCGCCATGGTCATCTGGAACATCTGGCACCCTGGCCGTTATCTCCAAGGAGATGACTGTGACTTTCCCAAGAAAGTAAAGCTGTCCCGCAAGGAAAAGAAGACGATAAAGCAAGAAGCCAAAGATAGCAAGCGCCGAGGTCGTCGTCGCTCGTCTAGTCGTAAGGGTGCACGTGTTTCTGAGTATCAGCCGACGAATTCGTTCGATGAAGGGGCTCTGGAGTCGCAGGGTTATCCATTACGAGGACATAGGTAATCAGCTATATATCAAGTAGGGAGTGCATACAGAGAGAGTCTTTCAGACATGACCAGCAAAGTGCCTATTGTAATTCCAAGCATTCAGATTTACTTTCAACAGTTACTTGTGTCTCAGACACTCGAACATGTACCAATGCCGGATTCCAAATACCATCTGCATTATCTTACAAGTTGTTCGATCTGAGTCTGTCGAGAGCGGACATTCACACTGGCAAGGGAGAGGTATAAGTACTAACAGTTAGAGGGACATTCTGTAGGGTAGTCCTGGAAGATCAGTAGCAAAACCTATCCTCCGTGGCCGCACGAATCATAAGCTTAATCAGGCGAATGGAAAATCTAATATGATGTGACCGGGGTTTTGTTGGAACTCTTGTGTGCAAATAGAAACAGAGAGTATCCCGCTCACCTGAGCAGGCTTAACCTACCACTAGACCCAGGAAAGAATGCAAGAACAAAGAGATACCTGGGTACGCTAGCGCCATCCCAGAGGCAAATGAACCGAAAATGCAGAGAAACCAGAAAATTGAACATGATAATCGATCCTAAACCCATTCTTATTTATAGAACAGCACCTATGCAAGCATCATAAACCCTCGTCTGCCCCTCAAAATCTGGAATATCCAACTGCGCCCCAGCATGAACCAACATCTCAACTAGTTCTTGCTGGTTCGACTCACAGGCCATATGCAGCGCGGTACGACCCCACCAATCCTGATCATTCACAGCACGGGCTGAATGCTCAATTAGGACGCGCACAACCCCCGGCTGCTGAGCCTGTACGGCGATATGGAGTGCTGTCTCACCCTTTCGGGTAACCCAGCTGATTAGATCTCGAGGTGGGGAGCTAGATAGTAGCAGTCGCACTACACCTGCGTGACCTTGTTGCGCGGCTAAATGTAGGGGTGTGAAGCCCGTGCTGTCGAGTAGGGCGGGATTGGCACCGGCCTGTAGTAGTACTGCTAATACGGACTCGTGGCCGTATAGTGCTGCGCGATGTAATGCTGTGTGTCCATGGGCTCCATCAGGTCCTCTTGTAGTGGAGCTGCCGGTGCTCTCTGGGGTTCCGCGCGGGGTGTGTAGAAGTGGCGGTGCGGGTGTTGAGCAAAGAAGGTCTGTGTCGATTGAGGTTTGGAAGGGATGGGCTTGATTCTTGGGCGAGGTCGAGAGCGAATCGGAGCCAGGGCCCATGGTCTTCAGATTGAACATTTGATGTGTATCCTCATCCAGCGATTGTGCCCAGGGGCTTCCGGTGAGGCCAACTTGATCCAGTTGCGAGGCGTATGAATGTAGATCGGACGGCAGTTGTGGGGGGGTCCTGCTGTTGTATATGATGGTGAGCATGCGCATATGGTTGCGATGGCCATTGGCCTGGTGATTGTGGTCCCATGGCAGGTTGCTGCTGTGCCCCTGGTTGAGAAGATTTTGAGTCTGAGAGGAGAAGACAGCCCACCGGCGGCCGATTTGGCAGTGGCTTTAGTCTGCGTGCTGTTCTGGGATGTGGGATTCTCGTCCCCATTGCGTAACCCTAAAACTCATCATCAGCTCTGTGATCTACCAAGATCGTCCCGCTCTCTCCACCGAGTCTCAGTCTCCATTTCGCACACCGAAGACAATTTTCCTACTCACTTTTTCGATATCCACGTTGAGCAATTCGATTTTGCGCCCGACGACGCTCCACTGGGTCACTGATATTCGCCCAGTTCTCGCCCAGCACTGGGGTTCTAACCACGAAGACCATCGATTTAGCTTAGGCAACTCCAATCCAATTTGGAGTCAGGGGAGGGGGAGACGAACGTGATCATGATGCATAGAGGCTCACCTAGCATGGTCATGCAGGCAACAAGTAAAACAACCACAGGCGGGGACCACTCATTCAGATCCACGGTGCCAGAAAGCGGTCTCAGTCATGATACGCATTTATTATCCGCATGGCTCTGGTCTTCATCTCCTTTTAAATCTTGCTGACGAGGTGGCAGCCAAGGACCAACCAACTTAGGTGCTGTTCGAGCCAACGGCGGCAGTCACCATCGACCGTACCCACTGATAATGCCCGCGGGCGCACTTATTGCTTACGCATTTGGATACGGAGCTTTCTTGATCGTACGGTCTGGGTATACTCCATTGTAAAATATTCAGCAGAACCCGTGGAAAAATCCTTTGTTCCTGGTTGCACTCGCTAATGCAGACTAATGGTCTGACAGTGTTTTCGTTCGACCAATAAGCAGAAATGTCTCAGCGATCGGGCTAGCGGCGGCCCTTGAGTCATTGCAAATTGGGCGGCGGCACGTTGCTTGGGGGCAAATTCCCCGAATTCTATCGACCAATCGAGTGCGGCTTCTTCCGCCCATACTATGCCTCCATGGCTACCCCAACACCGGGAGAGTCCCTAAGCACCCTCCCGAGAAACTTACCCGGCGATCATGATCACTCTAATCACTCTGCAAGTAATCTAGGTTATTTTATCGATCATTGATCCTCGCATGTCTACCCGGTTGATCTCTCGATCAGTTAATTCGCGTGTTGATTGCCCGATATTAATGTTACCTAGAGGACCTTAGTGTCCTTGTGGGGTGTTTATTATTTACAGGTATCTGTGGGATGCCGAAGCTGACGAAGAGCCTTAGCCTTAAAGTATGGACAATGCTCAGATGCCCCCTAGGGGCTACCTAGGTATGATCATCTATTATGTAAAACCAAAGGCGTAATTCGTGATCTAACGAAATGGCAAAATGCAACACAACATCCACATTACGAGCGTTGGCTTAAACGTAAAAATTGGATGTCACAGACAAGCCATCAGAACCTTGGAATATCTTCACAATCACGTCAGCCCGGGGATTGGTAAATATACGGGGAGCTGAAATATTCATCGGTTGTTATATCCAGTCTGGGCCGAGATAGGGCCGATACCAGAAATGACCGTGAGACCTTGATAGAAAAGGAAAATGGCCCCCAAAAGGATATATAGCAAAGTATGTCATTGATGTGCGGGGTTTCCTGCCCAGGTGCCAATGCTAGCCTTCATCTAAATAAAACTCAGGTCAGCTTCCGAACGTGTAGAGTGGAGAAGTCGACTAATATTCTAGGCCTGCTGCACAGTGAGCATCCTTTGTTCCTGAACCCTAGCCTACTATACCCCATTAGGAAAGATCACAAAAACCTTGGAACCTTAAGAAGAGGGTCAGCCTGGAAGCTTGGTACCTCAGAACCAAGTACTTCCAAGGTTGTCTCGATGGATGCTAGTCTAATATGATGATCCAATCATATAGATGAACTCGGTCGCGTGATTGTACGGAAGTTGTAGGGCGTTGAAGTCGGTCTAAACACGGATTACTCCGTACTCGTACCTTTTGACCAAGCCACTCCCCAGTGGAGAGCCCTCGGGAACCCAGAGGGACCCAGTGCGGGTTCTGGAGTCGAACCTTGGAACTCAAACCCCGCTCTGAAAATAGCCCTGGAGGAGGGCGAGCTCGGCTTTTGGCTTTGGCTTTACCGTTTTGCGGGTAGACAATTTACCTAGGTAGCGCTTTAGTTGAACACTTTAATTCAATTTCGGTTTAATGCCGATCCACATCAATTTACATAGAAGTATACAGTTCTTTACACCGAAGATAATCGTGATACTACCGGCAATGCGACTTTGGATCTGAGGTCAGGCGTCCGAAGTACAGCAAATAAATGGAGTTCCAGCACTTCTGCAGCTGCAGCTGCATGCCCTTATAGGGACCTGGCTGCAGGTTAGTGCTGAGTATTCTATAATACTAGGGTATTAGACTATAAGAGACCGTGGCGCCGAGGGTTTAAACCTGCAACAAGTTACTGCATATTCCATTTTAGGTAAAAGTGATTATGTTTAAGAAAGACATAATCTTTGACGAATATGGCATGTGTGATAAGATCCATTGATGCCTTCCACATCCCTCCGTTGGGTTCATTGCAAATCAAAGAGGACTATAATCAAAGGGTCGATCCATGTATCGTGAGACAAGTGATGCTCATTTTTCTCAAACAGAAGTCAGTCAAGTCATCGAAATATTGTAACTTCATGCAGCCTCTGCTGCTAGTAGAGAAGAAGACAGACTGTCAATTACACTTCGAACCCAGTTGAAATGTGGAATTGATCAATTTTTAGAAATGTGCCTATAGATGAAAAGGTGATGTTTTGTATTATTCGTAGCTCTCGGTGTTATAAGTAGTAGAGATTGTGAATGGGAGTGTTTGTCCGCACACAGGGTCCCTTCGATCGATACGGAGTTGTGGGTGTCCACTCTCAACACACGCGAGGAATCGATTGTCCATGCATTATGTCGGAGCCTATGGTGGATTATAACTAGCCATTCCAGAGCGACCTTGCACATCAGGCAGCAAAAATGGACCAAACAGGGGCTTAACGAATACAACAAAAATAGACGAGCGGCCTTAGCGCCAATCGATACTGATCTGCCTGCTGCTTCTGCTTAGAAACTTTCCAAGTCAATGAAAGCCAGAACGAGGTAGCCTGAAGCTCTTCATTTATCTAAAAGCGCGGTTAGTTCGACTTGTAAGGTTACATTGATTAAACAATCTTACCGCGCCACCGAGTAATTCCGAAATGAAGCTCCCCTCTCTCGTCACAGCGAGTCAATTGACTTTTCCCCTAACATTTCAAACCACGTCCCACACAACCAGCAATACAGCCTCGCTGCTTTCAGCACAATATGGCACAACACTCAACGTCGACGTGACGTTCGCCAATCAGACATTCAAGCTTCTCGTCGACACAGGCAGCAGCGACACCTACGTCGTCAGAAATGACTTCATTTGCATCAATCAAACAACCAACCTTGAGATCCCTCAAGCGGACTGCCAGCACGTCTCCCCAGGGTACAACGAATCAGACACCTATCGTTTGATCCCCAATAAAACATTCGGCATACAATACGGCAATGGCATAGCGAGCGGGGTCATGGCCTACGAAGACATCACATTAGCCGGTATTACTGTCCCGGACAAGCCGTCGGAATCGTCGACCACAGCAATCCCATGGGCGACGGCATAAACAGCGGCGTGCTAGGCCTCGCCTATCCCTCCCTCACCTCCGCACATCCAGGAGGCCATACCGACAATACAACATTTTGGTTCAATCGTGAATGCTACAGTCCCTTGTTCAACACCATGTACGAACAGGGCCTTGTTTCAGAACCCTACTTCAGCATTGCGCTCGCACACACGCCGCGAAACCTTTCTACGCCAACCTTCGGCGGGTACATCACTTTGGGCGATCTACCGCCGGTGGCGTATGATCCGAAATTTGCCAGTGTTCCCGTAGAAATTTTGGAAAACATTCCGCCCGGTTTCACCTCTGGCAAGCGCACTCGATCATATTGGGCTTTTACCGTGTCTGCTGTGACATTTGGATCCATAACAAAAGTGGATCTCACCACGAGCACGACCTCCATAACTACCAACAGCATGGAGTTCCAGGTATTTACAGATACCGGGAACGACTACAGCTATCTGCCTGCTGTGGTTGCGGATCCCATCAATGCCTTGTTCGATCCGCCAGCTATCTACAATGAGACGCTGGGAGTTGCTGTCGTCAACTGTAATGCACAACCACCGATGTTTGGAGTACAAATTGGAGACCAGACATTCTATCACGATGGACAGGATCTCATTTATCAGACCGGTGATGGGTACTGTGTCTCAAGTTTAGTGGCGTCGGAGCGTGTGGCGTTTGAGGGCATCATGTTAAACATTCTGGGTGTGCCGTTTTTGAAGAATGTGGTGTCCGTTTACGATTTCGGTAGAAATGAGTTGCGATTTGCGCAGAGGTCGGATTAAAATCTGGGGTTGGGGTAGTGCTTTATACATTTAGATGAACCAGTATCGAATCACGATTCATGACCTTGTATTTAGACCATTTCTCAACTGGATAGGGACATTCGCATCCAGTTCAATTCTAGAATTCATCTCTTATTCAAACCTTTCCTTGGGTTGGGCGGATACCTTGGTATGGGCAATCTCTTATTCGTGTCTCCTGACCCGCTGCTCCTGCATGGGATTAAACAGTAAAGCTGCCGGTTACGGGGATATTATCGTGCTCATCAACAAGCTGCAGAGCAAGAAACTAACTCCAGCAGCAAACATAGGCGCGTACAAAAGCTGGGTCGTTCTGGAGATTTCATCAATGGCCGCAATTTATTCCTCGGTGCTGGCACAGCAGAGGAGCTGGATAACCGCATCGGTGATTGCGTTGGGGACTTAGCCCTCACTAGCCGTTAAGAACACCGACTGATCAGTCTATCAACGCTCTTGCTTTCACACTAATATCAAGATCAAAGTCGACGTGAGTCTCATCCAGCTGAAGACAATAACGGCCCTCTATCCACTGACTCTCTCCGCACTGGGAAATTTCTTTACGACCAGTATTCAACGGCAATTGAGCACTTGTTCCATGACAACGACCCAGAGATGGTATAGCTGGGAACTCCAGCTGATTGTCAAACGCTGGGATCGGCCAAATTGCCCTGATGCACGATCAGCCTGGTCTTACCGCGACAGTCTGCATTCGATATTAATCAAATTCAAGCTGGACGATTCAGACATTCAGCATTGCAGGAGCGAGCCCTTGCCACAGGAACCTAGATCTCGATACCATGACGAACACTCCGGTGACGAACCACTACGGGGATCGGTCCAGTTGAAAATTTGAACTCAAGACTTTTGAACCTGAACTTGGTGAAAAGGAACTACTCACGACGCTTCCATCGAGAATGAGGCCTCTTCCGTGTTGAGTGTCTCCCTTGAGGCCTACGTAAAAGTGCACCGCGTCTTCTCGTATATCCCAATTCAGCATGTGTCGGCCTTGTGCATCATTGAGGAGGCAGAGTGTGCCGAAGACCTGGGGGCACGATGGAAGGCTGGAGCTGGGAGGTCTGGACAGAACCATGACCATCGCATCGAGCTGACGGAAGTTGAACAGGCGATTCGAAAGACTGCCTGAGATCTCCAATGCGGCTGGTCTGTCGATCCAGAAATTTTGGCCTCAACAGGGGATGTTGAGGTGGATTCTAGGTCACTTTATTTTAGAGAGTGTGAAGGTATAATAAGCTAACTGCTCTAGTCTATCGATTTTGTGATTCCCGATGGGTTTATGAATCTGGTTATCGCCGCGCTCACTTCGGCGGGATACTCTCTGTGTGTAAAGCAGGATTGCTTTTGCTATACTCTTCTACTTAGACAGGCACCGGCAATAGTCCATTTCGATGAGGTGAAGGACTCTCGGCTCTGAGGACCCCTCCGGCTATACGCTAAGTCTGGTGTCTTTTAGTGGCTACCAGATCCTACTGGATCTCTTTGTCTGTGCCTTCTTTCCGGTTTGTTTTATTTGGTTAGCAAGTTTAGTTTTATCTAGTTTGATTTTATTGAAACTTAGTCTACATTATTTGCTCTCTTTGCCCTTCAAAATTCATGTCTTAGCATGCTATTAATATTCCAACTATTGCAGGCATTATTGAACATAGGCTACGATACATCTGTGGTCTAGATAGAAACTTATAATAGAGGACTCAAAATTTTTCTTCTCTTTACATACTACAAGATGGTTGTGAAAAGTAACTGATATATTTAGGAGTAAGTAGGCTTGCATCACAAAAAGCGAACCAAGTCTTACCTCAGTTATTTCCTTCGATTATCTCTCGAAGATAGTTGTGTTGACTCACTCCGACTTCGCCTCATATTCAACAGCGTCGGAGATACTATATAAGAGGACAAAATTATAGGATCTACAGTGGGTAAGAACAGTCTTTCTACATCCTCTATCATGTATCTCACCCGGTCACCCGGACAGATACCTTCCCTTTTAGTCAACGGAACAAAACTCGTCACTGACCTCGTTCCTTCCTCACATTCAGTCACTCCCAGGGTATAAATACCCCCTCCCTTCCCCCTTCCCTCCTTTTTTTCTTCCCTCTTCAACTCCCCAGGTCCACATTGCACATCGTGGTCCTGGCCATTCAGTCTCCTGCTGGATCTCTGCTGCGGTCCAGGTTAGTCTGAAACTAGATGGGACTCCGGTCCTGTCTAATGGCACGAAGCATGTCGCAGCCTGGTAGGACCATATTCCACCCTGAGACCTCTGTGGATACAGACTGTACTTTCCTGGAGTCTCCATTGAACCCTGAGGGAGCTGAACACCGTGCTCTTTGAGCCAATTTTTGGAACTTGTCTTACAGAGATAGCTCTCTGTTGTCCGAAGATTCATCCGAGGACACTTTGTTTCTTCAAGGTTCCGCTTCCATTTAGGTCGTGGGCCCTTGTGGAAATTACGTTGAAATTATGTTTCTGTTGTCTACCTAGGTATTGTCGGCAGTTACATTTGGTATTGTAGGTCTCGGCATCTTCATGCTGCCCGATCACACACTCACAACACGATAGCTGACTCCGGAAGAGCATCGACTTGCCCACGACCGGATTCAAAGGGACACCGTTAACAGCGCGGAGTCTAACAGCGCTCTCGCCGGCTTAAAGTAAGCTATAGCCGACCCCCGCGTGTACCTGTTAGCTTTTATATAGAATATATATCTAAGTGCCTATAGTTTTAATAACTTCTTTCCCACTATCGTTAGACGTCTCGGCTTTAGTAGCATAAACCTTTGTTTTGATATGCCCTCTATATATTTTCACCGGTATCTACTATATTATTATTAGTATCATCTCTAGTCGGTATAATAAGCGGATATAGTATATTATATTAGCTATAGGTGTCGCCGTTATAGGATTTATCATATCCTACAAAGGGCGTAAGGTATATAGCTTGTTTCCTCTTTACTAGTGGTACATACGCTATCAATTCGGTCATTTTGGGTGAGGTCCCTACTATACTAGGCTAAACTCTAGAGAAGAAAGCCGCTTCTATTAGCTTTATTAACGTTGTGGCTAACGTATATTTATACAGCCTACCTCTACCCAAAAAGTGATAGGCCTCGTTACTTGACTAGAATGTCGGCGAACACGGCTTTTGGAATTGCAACTATTGGGAGTGCTTGGGCTTTGAGGTGGTGGCTGCAAGATACAAATAAGAAGATCAGTAAGGGTACTCTGCCTAGTGCGGGTGATGTTCTTTATGCCTATTGTGCCTATTGAGAGATAATCGGGAATGATCGAGTCCCGCGATTTCATGTCAGTGTGGAATGAGAAACATGCCTTTGTTCCATGATTGATGTTACCTTACGGCGATATTCAGTTTTGGGCTGATCTAGGAATCCTGTGAGAAGACTGCCTGTCTTGAAAGCAATAATTGCACCATAATTGCACCATAATTGCACCATATAGTTATCCATAAGTCAAAGAATCCTAATCTAATCCCATCAGTCACTGCCATACAGAGCATTAACATAGCTCTTCCATAATCTCAAATAATATCCAAAAAGCATTTTCGTGCGCATCATGCTTCTCCTTAACGGCTTAAAACCGCTAACCCTAACAGGTTCATAAATCCTCCATTTCCAAGTCTCGTGCAATTGCTTTAGACATCCCCCAATTCTTACCCACAAGCAAAGCGGGATGTAGACCGGTCAAGCAAATGCACGCAATTGCAACCATAGCGCCTTCGAGGATCATCAAGGCTATTTCGTCGTTGGCCAATTTACTGTCGAATCCACCCTGGAGCTCGGCCACTCGGAATGAAGATCGAATCAATATAGTTAAAACGGCAGTGGTTAGACCTGATATTGAAACTCGAGTCAGTGGAACGTCTATAGAAAAGGTCGAGGTGATTTACATACCAAGCAAAAACGATCTCCTCATCCAGCTTGCCGGCCGTTTCTGAGTAGGGGAATGCAGGCGTCTTCCTCGTAAAACCCGGACTCCGTACTCAATCGCTAGAACAGAGAACACTACTAGTGATGCAACTTGAAAGACCAGTCCAGCGATCATGATGTTGACACCAGTATCGTGAAGTGACTGTTCATCGGCGATTGAGGTGATGGCTCCACCTGCCGCTTGCAAGATCAGGGAAATCAAATCGCAAGTCACGAACAAGTAGGTATAGGTTCTTGGTTTTAAGCGTGAGAACTCTTCGCCGTACACTGTAATGATACGACCGAGGCATAGATAGATTCCAGCTGTGAAGAAGGCTGGGGCAATGGTGAGACATATCAGATACCTAATGGATAACGCCTCGGTCAGCGTACAATCAATTATGTGGTAGGCTCGGTAACCCACATCAAGAAAGCATCGAAGCTAAATGGGTTGTTATATAAGAGAATTCGGCCCATATATCCTATGATCTCCAGTATAAGGCCCGCGACCATTGGCACCATGAAACTCCAAGGTCGAAACACGATACCCGTACCGATCTGTCCAATGAGTATGATGGCGAAAAGAGCGAGATAAAAGATGTTTCCAGCCATGTCAGGCCGATACTGGATGTAAGCAGCACTTAATGGACATGTCTGCAAGGTGCAATCATCCGGATTGGACATGATCACGTTCAGTAAAGGATTTGGAAAGTTTAGTAGGCCGAATGAACTTTGAAGAGAATGAGTGCTGTTGTTGAATTGATATCAACGCAAATCCATGATAGATTCGTCACTATTTATGTGCAGACCCAAAGGTGTTTGACGCTGCCTACCCATAATCAATGATCATATCGTGGCTATGTGGGTATTTTTAAAACTTCAACTTGAGGTAATCTCACTCCGAGATCCTTCGAAATTATAGTCAAACCAATAAATCAACGCCATAAAGATTGATACGATATAGTTGATCCCTAGTTAGTACGAGTTAAGCCGTTGCCTGGCGGGTCACTGATGCCAAGACTTTTGCACTTCGACCGTGTCCTTGTCCGTGTCCGTGTCCTTGTCCTTGTCCTTATCCTTGTCCTTATCCTCTTCAACTCGCCCACTTTCTTGTCCTGATGTACCTTTCACCAGAACAGATTGACTATACTCAATTTGGACAATGACATCTACGTCAGGACACATCAAAACGTGTCAAAATTGTGCTCATGGCAAAATCCGATGTATCCGAACTTCGGATTCTTCTATCTGTGATCGGTAAGTAGTGGAACTCGATCATCATTTTTTATACTCAGCTATAACCATATGCTAATATAAGGGCTTAGATGTCGCCGCCTTGACAAAGAGTGCTATTTTCGGCCCGCTCGACCTCGTTACAACCCCGCTAAGAAGGGGACGTAAGGCTCCCAAATTCCATTTGGTTCGTGACAGTGAATATAAGCTGACGGAAGCTTAAAAAATCAGACGAGTCGAGGCTCTCGAAGCCAAAGTGGATCAGCTTTTAGCGCGAGTCGTTAATGATCAGCACACTAAACACCACGCTGATGTTCCTTTGGCCCTGTCTGACCCGGAACCTCATTCCATCCCAGATAAACCCCGAGATGTTATTGATCGCGGGATTGTGAAATTTGATGATGCCGTCACACTTCTTGAATCTTTTCGGGAAACCTTGATGCCATATTTTCCATTTGTCTTTATCGCACCGGAAGTGACGCTTGCGCAGCTGCGAGTGGAGAAACCGCTTCTCTTGCTGGCTATCCTCAAGGTCTCATCATATAAAAATGCAGCCGCTCAGCAGATATTGGAAGAGACATACCAAACAGCAGTTGCTGATCAGATGATCTTCGCCCATAATCCATCTATGGACGTATTGCTGGGACTTCTTGTGGCTTTGGCATGGTGAGTCTAATCCAAAGTGGTTTATTGAAGATGGCACTACTGACTCAAAGCCTCAATATCCCAGGTCGCAGCATCAGCCCCAGCATGAAAGATTCTCCAGCTACCTGCATCTTGCTTGGAGTGTCGTCGGTGATTTGCGGCTTGATCGGTTGTCGGAAACTCATTCATACTATTCACGAACCGCTATGAGCAAGGTTTCCTCAGATGAAAACAGTAGTAGACATTCGGTGAACGAGAGAAGACGAGCTTTGATTGGATGTTACGTGCTAACCTCATGGTCAGTAAAAATGCCCATATCCCCCTCATATTACTGACTAAGTATGGGTGTGTGCAGTCGCTCGACAATATTGCAAAAGGATCGCATGATGGCTCGGCTGTCATATGTTGAAAAGCATGCACTTGAATTGCTATCCAATGCTGAGATTGCCAGTGATCACTGCTTGGTACAATTAGTAAAATTACAACAAATCTTTGAACGGATCGATGATGCTGTGGTCACTACGGCGAATTTAGTGCGAGAGGTTGATATGCATGCATTCCAAACCGAAATCAACGAATACAGAACGACCTTGCTGGCAAAGCCTTCGGACAATTGTAAGTGACACCGCTTGTCGGTTTGATTGATTAGGCTGAAATTATTGCTAACTCACCGTCCACAATTTAGCCCTCCTACAATTTCAACTACACACTCTACAATTGTTTCTATGCCAGGCTTGCTTATTTCATAAACATGAAACAGCCAACTATTCGGCTTCGTTTGCGCCTCGCTCCCACACAGATCCAGGGCTCCCACCACATCTCGAAAGTGGCCACCAACCGTTAGACCTATCACCATTCCAGGTTGAATTTCTCAACCGCGGCATGACCGAAGCAAAGAAATTCTTTGATTACTTTTTCACATTTGCTCCGAATACTGATCGGCTGATCAGTCATACCCAATGGCTGCAAACTGGCTTTAACTTGGTTCTAGGCTGCAAACTGGCCGTCACGGGGGCAAAATACGCCCACGCAGTCCACATGTTCGTGCCCTATGCTCGGCTTTGAATATGCCACACATTTTGCGGACTGTTTTACAACGAATCCAATTGCTCAGCAAGGACAGAGTGACTGTAGATGGGAAACAACACTCTAAATACTTCTACGAGGCATGGCTGTGGCATATCCTTGAATGGTTCGAGCAAAAGTATCACCTGGTGCCTTCTGAAGATACGACCCAAATACCTACAGGATTATCCGATGGCGGCCTCGGGCCGTCTACTTTGGCCAATAGCGCAACCTCGCAAGATGTTCCCCCGATGGGTGAAAATTATAACGCCACACAAGTGGCACAGGTAGATGGTACTGCCTTATGGCCGGACTTCCTTTGGAACATAAGCACGGATGACATACTCAATGGGCATATGGGGTTTCCGGATATGCTGTATCCCACATTGCAGCCTGGATATGACATGCCACTGCCATGAGAACAAAACATATCGGTACTTTGCGAAAGCACAACACCAAAAAAAGGGACCAAGAGCTTGGTCCCGCGGTGGCATCATTTTGGGCCAATTTTGTTGCTGCTTACAGAAATAATCCAAGCTCAACAGGAGCTTTGCGTGCCATTTTGCCGGATGAAATGGTGGGCAGCTAATTTGGCGGTATACAAAGTGCCTTTAATGTTAGTATATGTCAAGCATATGATGAGGATTTGTTGATGTTGAATACCGTTGGAATGTTGTACAAGATAGCGTTAGCCTCAGCTTGAAGTTGTGCTTCTGCTAAGGAGTCGATAGGATCGACAGAAGAATTAATAGCTACTGGATTCTGAATCGATGAATCGCCCGTCAAGGTACGATCAAGGATGTCAGCCATGTCGCGCGGCCTAAAATCCGGTGTATATGTAGTTATGTACCTAGGTATATGCCAAAGGTTGTATGGTTCTATATTTGTTCCAAGGTTAGCGCCGATTACTCCGAACCCTGGAACGCCTATTGGCAAAAGGGCCCGTTTTTGGCTGCACAGTGGGACCTCCGAAATATTGGGCTAAACCTTTGTACCTTACAGATTACCGCCCCTATATACCGCCTGCCCGTTATATAGTGTCGTGAATACCGCCTCCCTTTTAAACATACTGCCATAGGAATATATAGTCAGCCGCTTATCCAGCCCGGGGCCGTAGTCTTCTTAATGGTTTCTCGGGTAGTCTTTTCAGGTAGTCTTCTCCGGTAGTCTTTTAAATGTTTTTTTAGTGGTCTTTTTTAGTAGTCTCCTTAGGTACATACCTTTGACTGCTAACCGTTAGTGCTGAATCACGTGCCTACACGCTAGCTATATCAGGAGTCTTAGACTGGCAGAACGGCAGAAATTGGAGGGCGGTATATCAAGGTACAAAGCTTTGGCCTAATATTTTGGAGGTGCCACTGGTAAAGTAGACGTCATTCATCTTCTCTAGGTAGCTAACCCCAGGATTTCAAAATAGAGCTTCTCCATCCATCTCCGCGGATAATTATATCCTATAAGAGGTTGTAACCATAAATGAGTGAATCATCACAGGAGGTTCTTTTGGTCGTATTTCACGTCTTTGTAATAATGACGGATTACATTAGGTAGTCTAGGGCGTTCTCGCGCACGTATAGAACCTAAGAACTAATGAATATCCATTTTTTGATTGAGAAACCTAGATCGTGTGCCCCTTACTATCTTTTTTTCTTATACCTAACTGAAGTAAAAATTCGTCCTCTGCGGCAGTGAATCATGCAAAAATGAATTATTCACGTACAATATCGAGCCCCTCAATTCTGGTGGCAGGAGCCAGACAATATCTCGCTCCAAAAATTAGAAGAGCTTTCCCCCGGCCTTTGCGTGCACCTCCATCGCCACTACTTTCGCAAGCCGCGGTCACGCAGGCTAGGCTTATTTCGACCGACCCCAAAACTCACGCAGAGTTCCGTGCTGATCGCATCCCGTGGAGATACTCTCTTGCTCTATCTGCATCAATTGCATTCAGTGCGATAATATACTTTCAACACCAGGGTTCACTCCGGATGGACACAACCACGGGTGAAGAAACAAGCGGGCCAGATGCAACCGTGGTGCCTCGGGGGAATGAAACAGCGCAGTCACATTCGCAGGCTTGCATTGCCCCCGGGGAAGAATTAATGGACGGTTCTAAGCTCCCAATAGAGGAAGCTGTCCTCACGTCAGCACCAAGTGTACCTCCACCGATAACTCGGAATCACCCCGTTCTCCTCCAAGTGCCGTTGACAACTAGCACCAAGACAAAACAACTCACCAGCCAACACAAGTACGAACAGTGGAATTTTAACGGCATTGTCCCTGGCCCATTTATCCGAGCTCGGGTCGGGGATGTTGTGGAGTTATCGTTGACGAACCGCGACAAAGCCGGCAATCCGCACAATATCGACTGCCACGCGTTTATAGGGCCAGGAGGGGGTTCTGCGCTGACAACAGCAGAAGAAGGCCAGACCAAGACAGCAAGATTTTGGCTCCATTACCCAGGTCTTTATTTGTACCATTGTGCCGCAGCACCTGTGCCAGTGCATATTGCCAACGGGATGTATGGTCTCATGTATGTGGAACCAGCCACGGGAGACCTCCCTCCAGTGGATCGCGAGTACTATGTGATGCAGAGCGAGTTCTATCATGAACCTCCGGAAATTGAGGATAACGGGAAACCATCATCAACAGTGGAGTTCTCGTATCCAAATGCGCTCCGGGAGGAGCCAAGCGTTGTTGTCTTCAACGGACATGAGGCTGCGCTAACGAGAGATAAGCCCCTTAAAGCTTCTGTGGGCGAGAAAGTTCGAATATTCTTCGGAAACGCAGGGCCAAACCTTACGAGTTCATTTCATGTTATTGGGAGTACCTTTGAGAAGGTGTACCGTGATGGGGATGTTGTTAGCCCTCCTGGACAGTTTGTTCAGACTGTTAGTGTTCCTCCAGGTGGTTCAACGGTCGTTGATATGAAGATGCTGGTTCCCGGGACATATACACTCGTAGACCATGCCATATTTCGCCTTGAAAAAGGTGGTGTGGGATATTTGAATGTGACAGGGGAGCCGAGACCTGATATATACCATAGTGAGGAGCCGCCCGCTCCTTGCGTCGGCTGCAAGTTACATCCTTAGTGGCGAAACTAGGGTGCAATGTGTTGTATATATTCGAGCCGTAACAAGACATTTGTATTATGTGATATTATCAAAATGGTTCAAGTTCAACATCACCAATTTTCTCAATAATAGCTAGGGTTGTATCATAGATATCCCCTTCAACATGGGCCATAATTGCTGTTCCCTGCAAACCCAAGGTGGATGTGAATGTCCCTTCCTCCCCCGAATAAACGAATGGCTCACTATCAAGGAGCGAGGTAGACTTCTCTCCAATAATCCTGTCTCCATAGGAATCCTCGAAAATGGAATATTTAGCTGAAATCGTAGTTGACATAGGGTCAAGTTCGCCCTTAATCTATGAAGAAATCAGTATATATGTACCATCAGTTAAGGAAAGAATGAGGATACTTTAAGAGGACCATAAGCGAAACTATAACCTAGTTGTTGTTTAGTAGAGCTATAGTAAGACAGTTATTGTGAGTACTTACTCTGTTTTGACATGGTGAAGCATAATATGTAGGATACGATGATTTCGGACGGAGACAACGTTGGTTTCTGCCTTTGATGACTATATGCGATCGATCTACCTAGGTAGGTATCTAACAATGCTTTACATTATAATGACGCGTTCAGACTAACATGTCAAACAAGTTCGAACATTTCTGCCGTTAGCACTATCATGTGATATTCTTCCACATGTTTCCATGGTACAGATCCAACTATTTAAGCCTAACCTTAGAAAGATTTAATGATGTAATACTCAAGTTTGCTCAGTTTGCAACTAAAACGGAAAGGGAAAGTCAATGTCGTGCCTAAATTCCGGTGTATAACCACCGCCGGTTTACTATTACCTACGAATTGGGGTCTAGTAATTCCTACAATATCAACTTCTATAAGGTCTACAATATCCCAATTCGTATAATAAAAACAATTGGCCGCTTCTACGGCTATAGTCTTCTTAGTGGTCTTCTTAGGTAGTCTTTTTATATATCTTCTTAGTGGTCTTTTTAGTAGTCTCCTTAGGTAGTCTCTCTAGATATCTAGTTGTTATAACTAAGTATCTTATCTCCCTCCTTATTTCATGTTAAACGGTGATACCGAGGGTGGATGATACGAATTGATATGAACTAACACTACAACTCTAGCTAGTGGTAGATTTAAATAATGAAATGAGTGTGTATGATAGAGAGTAGCTAGGTGCTCGACTATTTAATATGTTAGGGGCTTATAAAGCAGTGCTAAGCTCAACAAGTGACTTCCTAAGGCTAACAAGTGATGCCTAAGGTGGCCACTGTCTGCACAGCGTAAATACATGAATGAAGGGACGGGGAAAGTGTAATTCCGGCTGACAGTTCATTTAGTAGATGGTAGAAAAGGGCTAAGAAGGCTTAATTTATAAAAGGGAACTTTCCTGTATATAACCTTTGATATGTCAACCTCTACAATACCTCAATTTCTATGTCAATTTCTATCAATTTCTATGGTTGATAAAATACACGTATACTAGTTTAATGAAATGTTCTGCTAGCAAAATACGATATGGCGCAGTGGCGGCTATACACTGCCGTAATATGTACCCCTAGAGGCCCGGGCGTGATGCGATATATCGACCAACATAATTAGACACTTAAAGCTCCCTTGAAATCGTTGTTTTTTGGCCATTTCACACGCTTTCCATTTCAGTTGTCTCTCGCTACTTCGAAATATGGAACTCTGCGAGGTAATCATCAACCGATTTCTTCCAAATCGGATGAGCTGACGTAGTACTAGATGCTCTATCTAAACGATCGGCCTCCTATCAATGTGACAATAGCCGAGCGGTTAGTTCTTGGGCGCACGGTGTTTCGGTTGACACTCTCCCCTCCGTTACGCTACAATCTTCCATCAGAACCGACAGTTACAGCATCAACATCGACAGTTATAGTCAAGCAGCAAAAGAAAGGCTGGGAGGGCGAATTTCAACAAGAGATACAAGCCTACGAGAAGTTGGTCAGCCTCCAAGGAACGATTATTCCAATCTTCTTCGGCCAAGGCTCTTTCAATGGCCATGATGCGCTTGTGATTTCGGAGGTTAATGGGATCACCCTACATGATCTCGCTAAAGAAAACGTCGGCGTCCAGCCCGAAGCCCTGGAGAAGCACCTTGAGAGTGCACTAACCGCCTTCGACGACCACGAAGCAGTATACTGGGACGCAAAGCTCGATAATTTCCTGTTTTGCGCTGGTATCAATCCCGAACAAAGCAAGATTATGATTGTGGATCTTGAGCAAGTCGAGTTTCCTCGCCCTCTGGAGCCTTGGCTTGTTAATATCAACTCGCGTAGCGCGCCGGATCTGATCAGCAGATTCAAAGATAGGCAAAACCCAAACCGTCCACTATCGCCCGCAGGTGCTTGTTATCAGCCTGGTGCCGAGGACGGAGAGGGCGGATAGGAATCGATTGGGCTACAGAGAACGAGTACTGTGAATAAAAAGGAAGCGTCGCAAGTTGACATAGGGAGCGGTATTGAATAGTTTTCAGTGTTTGATGGAAAACACTGCATACAAGCTCAAAGCTGTATCCTAGGTCATCCATATCTCGGGTGTTTTTCGTCCAAACCTCCTACGCCAATAAGTCTACCACGTAATGAAAGCATGCAAACTATCCTCAAAGGCTACACTTCCGTCGAATCCATTACTACTACTACTCACTTCACCGTTGTAGGAAGGGCCTTTAAGTTACTGTCCCAAGGCCACCCCCAACTAGCGCAGGAGGGAGTGCGCCATGACTATTGAACGTGCTAGTCCATTGAGTTTCTAAGTAGTGAGGCGGGACCAATCAGAGCTGTCGTCTTCGTCTTCGCCTTGTGCGAAATTTAGCATCCATACCATCCTCAGTCAATCAACCAATCAGAATCTTTAGGCCGGATGAAGCTTCCTATGCAGGGATTTGCTATCCTACTTTGCGGGACTTGATGATCCCTTCAAGCGTGGCAATCCATCCTGCATGCAGTTCTTCCCGAGCTTCCCAGTCAGTCTTCCGGCTCTTCGTTCAGTTGTATCTGTATTTGTCCCAGGTGGCCCTCATAGGCTGTTTGTGCTTAATCTAAGAGCCCTTCGGGTGCTCTGCTCGTGTCCGGACTAGAAATTTGCTGAAGTCCACGACAGATCTTGTCGAAACTTAATTCGCTGGATATGTGACCCGCCAATATTGTTTTCTCAACTCCCTGATCAAATAGAAGTGGGACCAACGCACATACTCCTTGTCCTCGTAGTACGGCAGCGTTATGGGGCCCTCCGAATCCGGAGCATCTTCAGGCCGTGGGATTACCCTCGGGCGAGAAAGCGTGCCCTCAATACTCGGCATAAGGCGAAGGAAATCATCACTTGGATAACCCCTAGCAGCCATAGTCTCTAGAGAAGCCCGCAGCATATCGAGATAGCTCAGATTGTGCTCCTTCTCCAGGAATATCTGGATTAGTTCTTCCAATGCGCTGAGCGTATCGCGTGATTCGAGTGCGATCAGGGGATCTGCGCCTCTGCTGAGCAGCATACGAGCAAGCTTGGAGTTCTCATGCTCTAATGCGATGGATAAAGCCGTTTGCCCTTGCGAATTCGTTGCGTCTATCTGAGCCCCGCGGTCAAGCAAAAACACCATCACTGCTGTAACAGCCTCAAGAATGCTTTCGCCGAAATGACCATCGACCTTACCCCACGCTGTGGCAACCTGGATCGTCAAAGCCTCCCGCACATTATCTTCTTTTGAGGTGGGCGATGCGTACAAGGCATTGATTTCGAACCCTTTCTTCAGAAAGTACCCGACGACATCGATATTCGTCCCCACAGCTGCGCTTACCAGTGCAGCGCAGTGTGTGGGATTATTTGGGTCCAGAGTCAGATTTCGGGTACCGAGGAATTGTTGGAAGGTTTCTAAGGGACTGAGAAACGCTGCGATTTGCAACACAGTTTGCTGGTGGTATCCGAGATCCGGGCAATTGAGTGTGTCGAAGAGACCCAGTTCGCCGTGTTCTATTAGACTCCAAACAAATGCAAGATTGCCAACTTTGAATGCGCTGCAAAGCATGTCCTTGAGTATGCATATATCTTTGGTTTTGTCGAGATAGCCGCGATGCAGAAGGACCTCCATGTGCTTAGGATAGTCCCTGGCTTTGGCAAGCATGTCCTTCCAGCCTTTTCTGCATTTGACTCGATCAAGCGACGCGCGCTCCAGCAACATTTCAAAGGCGGGGACACTGGCGTAGGATAATGTGTAAGAGAGGACTGTTGACCATTCGCGCCAACCTATCTCTTCCGACTTGACCATTTCGTCGATTATGTATCGCGCAAGAGTCAAATCCTCGTGACGTATAGCGACTTCAAAATCGCTTGTTAAATGCTCCCAATCGGATGAATCCCGCATTTCCCAACATTCTTGGTAGAAAGGCAAATCATTCCAAGCTGCAATCAGCCTGTAGAAACAACTTCTAGCGTAGCCCCCGCAGGTTTGGTATTCGGGGCCAGACATGATTGCCCGTATGTCTACCACCTTTACCACATTCGAGATCGTGTAGCCTGGCAGGACGAAAAGTTTTTCCAAACCCAGGATATCAGAGAGCTTCACACGAGGGAAACACATGCCCATTTCAATCAAATACTGTACTATTGCTCCATGATTTCTGAACGCAGCGATGCAAAGAGGGGACTGTTCCATGCGCTGGAAGCTGGGGCACTTAAGGTCAGCACCGGCGTTCACGAGGAGTTTCACCATTTCCAAACTTTCCTGGTTTGCGGATTCTGCGAGGTACGATTCAAAGAAACTTGGCGGAGGAACTTGTTGGTTGACATTGACCTCCGCCTCCTCGATCAAGTACTTAGCCATGGCTAAATGGCTTTGTTTGACCGCGTACCGCAGAGCAATGGCCTTGTACCACCCGGTCACTACCGGAGATGATGCAAGTACTTTCAGGACACCGAGGCTGCCTTTGTACGCGGCGCGGCAGAGAGCCTTTTCGAAGTCACGGCCCCGGCCATATACCCTGTGGGCCGGATCGAAGATTGATGGGGCATATTGCAAACGCACCCCGCTGTAGGTAACAAGCAGCTTGGCAATTCTTGCAAGATCCTTATCGACAGTGAAGATGATGGGGGTTGAGCGATCAGTAATGCGAAAGTATTGATGGAAATTGAGTCCGTTGTCCAAGAGCTTGTAGAGTGCGTCCATGTTGTCGTCCATCACGATGCGATCAAGTACATGCGGAGGACATTCTTTCGCATAATACTTGTATAGACATGTATCGGCGATGATATAGAGTCGTTGGCATGTTTGCGAGAGGGATTTGACCTCATAAGCGTACTCTAAATGTAGCGTAATCATCTCCAGGATTTCAGTGGGCAACCATAACAAATTTTTGGGTGTCATATTGTAGATGAAGAGGTTGCCGGTTTAATTCTCGAGGGCACCTCCGAAGCTCTGACCAGGGGGAAAGGCAAGGACTTTTTGTCAGCGAACGAAAACAAGAAGCGCAGTCAAGACGATCTACGTGGACAAGCTAACGAAGTCTGGGGAGGAGAGAGGGAAAGAAGCAGAGAAAGAAGCAGAGAGAGAGGAAGGAGACATAGACAGCAATCCATGTCACATGGCCCTGGGGGAAGTGGCCTGAAAAGGCATCACTGAAGGGCGAAATATCTATTCTGTTTATACCCTCACCCTCAGGCAGAAAGTGCCCGCCTATATGTTTGGTGTGCATCAGGCACGTGGATCGGCACGTGGATAGCTTTGTATACAACGGGCATTCAGTCGTCCGGTGTGCTATATGCTGAGCTTCCTGAGAGTGATGGTTCCCGCGCAGGCAAGCCTGTCGTGGCGATAGAGAAGTAACCCCGCAGGAAGTTTCGGAAGGCGTTGTCGCTGGCATTGATGTCTGTGGTCAGCTAGTTGACCGCGGTTGTGAGGCCCACATGACCACCGGATCTCCCATTGGCCATCTGTTTGGCTTGATGTCTCCGTCTGAAGTGAAATCAACTGGCCAACGGACGCGACGTTGGCGAACTGGGACACCTGTGGCGATGACGAGGAACACAAGAGCATCGGACAGGCGGGCGTCGGACGGCGGTGTGAGAAAGTGGCCGGCATTATCGCGTTCAATGTGATCGTGGTATGGTAGGAGAGTCCTTCGCGTGTTTCCGGGTGTCCCAATGTCCATTGGGCGTGCCTGTTCATGGTGTCTCAGGTGACTGGCATAGGCATCCATTTTATCGGGCAAAGGCCCTGACGGTCGCTGGGCGCAGACGGCCTGCGCTGGATCGCTGGTTTCGGGACCATGACGACGAAAGTGCAATATTAATTGCTGGGGGAATTCAATTACGATGACAGAGATTTGCGAGTGTCACCTTCAAAGGCAAAGAGAAAGACTGATGGTGCCCAGCCAATGCTTCACTGATTCGAAACACAATTAGAAACTTGGTCAGAACATAATACTTTTACTGATATATAACAGTAGCCTCATAGGTGAGGTATATAAGTAACAAGATCTAGTTATACGTGAGAATCGATTTAATTCAAAAGGAAAGTGAGAGATGATGATATCTACGTATATAGTTGATTGACCCTCACTTCATGTCAAAATAGAAGGTTACATAAAGTTTAAGCTATACTAATAGAAGATAAATATAAATCGATCCAAGCATTCATGGTCGCTAGTCGATCTGATCCTACATTACTTGGTCTTCTTTATCACTACGATGAGACTGTCGTAGGTAGAGACCGTGCCACCATCCTCTCAAACATGCGAGCAGATCGTCAGCATTTAGCATGGTTGCTACTGCCGCTTAGATTCGGCAAGGGTTCTAGCCGCAAAGTCCTCAACCCGAGTGCATGCCGCCTGTCGCTAGAATGCATGGAATCGTAGCTGTGGAGGCTCTTCAAGTTTCTCATTCATAAGAACTGGAACTGGCTGAGGGTTGGTAAATTAGTTAAGAGGTTCAGGTTATTGCGTAGCTCGCACATCGCAGTGATATACGGCCATTTCCTCATGGAAATCAAGAGTAGGAGGTAGAAAGCTAATGTATTTGAGTTTAGATGGATCCTCATTGACAGACACCTGATGAAGGGGAAATTTGATTGAAAATCTATCTAATGACGAACCTACTTGAAGGAGATGCAATTCACATAATGTCATAGAGACCCAAGTATCATATCCAACCAGGAACCACAATCATATCGCCTTACCTTGGAAGTAGTCAAAGGATTCAGATATGGACACGAAGGTCACACCAAAGGAAATAGGAAACGCAGGCAGAATCCAAGCTATAAATCGGGCAAGGACGCAGGTCACAGAACCACAAACGGAGAGGAGAAAGTCGAGTTCGAGATTGCAGTTATAATGGAAATTGAAAGGTGAAAAGAAAACCCCATGTAAATCATCCCAGTCTTTTTTTGTTTCTCTGAAGGTATCTCTTGGCTAAATTAGATCAACATGCAAGGCGCGATAGAAAGCACGATCGGATTCAACACGCCGAACCAACAAGACGAGAAAAAGGCAGAAAGCAGAAAAGAGGTATCAACGGTGATGCACGTCCATGCCGCGCTGCAGCGAGGATTCCAAGTCATTAGGGTTGTAACCACCGCCAGCGGTAGCCTCCTGAGGTCTAGGATCCTCGGTCTTCCAAGGACCCTGGTGGTTATCCGGGATGGGGATGTTAGTCTGCTGAGCGATCTGCTGCTGCTGGGCGGCGTGGGCCTGCGATTGCTGGCGGACGGTAGCCCGGAAGCGGATGACCTCGTCAAGGATCATCTTGCGCATCTCGGGCACTTCGTCGACGACCTCGAAGTGGAAGTCGAAGGTCGTGGGGCAGTTTGGCTCGTCCGAGGCGTCGTGCCAGATGTGCAGGTAGGGGTGCTCGAGGGCCTCCTCGACGGAGATACGAGACGACGGATCGAACGCCAGCATACGGTCCAACAGGTCCAACGCATCGGGGTTGGCTTGAGGGAACAGCTGCTTGAAGGCCACCTTCGGCATGAAGGGAAGATTGCGCACATATTCCTGGGCGCGGGGCGATCCAATGCGCGCCAGGGTCTCTTCGTTTGGTGTACCCAGATAGTGCAGGATCTGATTCAGCTGGTCGACATAGTCGCGGCCCTTGAAGAAGGGTCGGCCACCGAGGAGCTCGGCGAGGATACAGCCCACGGACCAGACGTCAACTACATGTGGGGTTAACGGGGATTCAATGGTAGGTTATGACGGTGTTACGTACTCGCTTTGGTATAGCTCTGGAAGCTCAACATGATCTCCGGTGCACGGTACCATCTCGTCGCGACGTATTCGGTCATATATCCCGCGTTCTCCTCCGGGTCGATTGAGAAACCACGAGCCAGGCCGAAATCGCAGATCTTGAGCTCGCAGTCCGCATTGACGAGCAGGTTACCGGGTTTGAGATCACGGTGCAGGACGTTGGCCGAGTGGATGTACTTGAGACCACAGAGGATCTGGTAGATGAAGGATTGGAAGTGGGCATCGGTCAAAGGCTGGCCGGAGCGGATGATAGCAGCCAGATCACATTCCATCAATTCTGCATGATTATCAGTCCAGCCCTATCCGACGCAAAGCAGTAGGCCACCTACCCTCATAGAGATATGTTTCGTTAAAGTTGTCCGGTCGGGGAATGTCCATATCGTACAGGCATGTGATCTGGAGGGCTGAGTTAGCGGGTACAGGTATTGATAAGGATGAGCTGCGGCCTACATTGCGATGGCCACGGAAATGCTGGAGCAGCTTGATCTCTCGCAAAGCCCGCTTGGCCAGGATCTTCTTACTGAAGACATTGGTGACCTTCTTGACGGCGACGCCCTCGCCGGTCTGGATGTTGGTTGCGGCACTTGGTACTATCAGCACGTGTATCTCCAGTGTCCAGGATTCAGTGTCCAGTGCCTTCCACGCTCGACGTCTGGAATACCTACCACACGATACCGTAGGCTCCCTGGCCCAGCTCCTTTGTCACATTGTATTGCTCGCTCACGATAAAGTCCTGGTTGAAAACCTTGAAGACCTTGCGACCTTGTAAATCAGCCATGGTCGCGAGTTCGACTTGGAACTTTTGGAACTGCAGGAAAGGCAAAAGTGGAGGGAAAACGAGAGTCCTTTAGAGAAGAGAGAGAGAAGGGGATAAAATAGAAAAAAGAGAGAACAGAGAACAGAGACAGAGACCGAGAAGGGAAAGGGGAAAGTCGAGGAGTGTGATGGGATTCAAGAGCCCCGCAGTCCCCGCGGGTGATCCGCCACGCTTGTAACGAAAAGTGTTAGGACAAGGAAAAATCGTAAATGAAGGAAATGAAGGACATCGAGTCATTCTAGTGAAAGAAAATGTTCTAATTTAAGCAAACTGTTCAATTTTGTGAGGGTTTTACTTAGTTTTAAAGGAATATAGAATATACAAAGAGCATATAGAGTTTAACAGCAAAAGAATCAAAGAAAATACCAAGATACGACATATACATCTTAAGAAACTCGAAACCTGAGGAAAAAAAGAGACACAAAGAGTTAAAACCACAGGGGTTGAAACCTGTTGGCTGTTTTAATGGGCTGATGTCCATGGGATTTCTATCAGCGCCAACTACCTAGGTACTTACTATGTAACTAATGTATATGGTGATGTCTGTCACTAGTATACTCCACCTAGGCAACTATTACTTCAATAGTCTACGGAGTACTCCGTACGTATATGTTGTAGGGATTATAGGGAATACTCCATAGAAAGCATGGGAATGTCTTAGATGGATGATATTCGTATGTAACTCGTTAATCCTCCCATGTAACTATGTATGGTAATATGTCTCATTGGCCACGTGACCACGGGCCTCAGCATGTTCTCCAACCGCGGTGACTTCAACTTGGCCGCTCATCCAGGGCCACCATGAGACCATTTAAGCGACCAATCGCCAGGATGTCTTGGAATCAGATTCTCACTACAACTTCCAAACTATCATTCTAAAGCTTCCAGGGCCAGGATTCAAAAAGAACGGGTGTAATTGCTGGACAGATTTATGCGAAAAAAAAAAAGAAAGAAAGAAAAAAGGGAAATGACAATCTCACGACCCCCTTGGCATTTTATTGATCCGCATCCCCATCCTCATCATAGCGATGCCTGGCCTTTTTGGCTAGGCTCATCAGACCCAATGACTCTTCTATCGGCAATTGTCTCTTCAGCGAGCCCAGCCTCATAAATTCGGAGTTCTGCCAGGGAGTCCGCTCGTCAGGGTGTTTACGAAGGTGGAGGAACAACCTCATCATTAGGGATAATTGCTGAGCGTCATAGAGTGCGTGGTGGTTTCTTCCCAATAGCCCGTGTGTACTAGGTCCACAGAACAGCGGAAACACCACAGGCAGGGAAGAGGAAACGACCTGCCTTGGAAGCATTCCCTCCCAAGCACCCCGTTGATATTGGCGCGGAATTCAGGGATGAGCAAACAGACGTTCTCATCACCGGGGAGAACATCCTCAAAACCCTCTTGTCGCAGCCAGCCTCTCAAATAGGACAGGTCGAAGGGCCACGTTGCCCAAGCCAAGAAAATGGTATCTTTGCTGATGCCATTTTGTCGGAGTTTTGCAACGACGCTCTTTGCATCAAGGGCCCCATGATGCGTACGGTAGCCTTTGACTTTCTTCTCATTCTGCTTTTGCCACCGGATTGCGTTTTTGGAGAGATTCGACGAGGAAGGCGCAATGACTCCTTTGCTATATCTCGTGAGACAATCAAGTACTTTCCCCCCTTTTAGATCAGCGAGGCCGATCTGGAGTACCTCCTGGGAATACATCTTTGTTTCCAGATCGATGCTCACGATCTGGGAAACTGGGACATTTGCCTCACCGTTGGACTCTATGATTCCGAGGATTCTGGTCATCAGTGTAGTCTGCGGGGACCACGGCTCGAAAGTCGTTCTCTTGAATAAAACCCGAAGCTTATCCTTCATTTCTTCGCTGGGAGGCTCTAGCTTCCAGGCCAGAAAATGTTTGTGGCAGAGTTTTGAACCCTCCCACAGTGCGTGGATGCAGCTCTTGTGCGCGCAGACTTTCTGGCCAGCAATTGCTTCCAGACAATGAGTTCTCAGGAACTCGCTGAACTTAAACTGCCCATTGCATGGTGCGCATCGGAATTTCAGCCCGACAATCCCTCTCTGGTGTCTGTAAAGAACACCTGTCTCGTATGAGATTATGGTGCTATGTGGGCACACCTGCGTACCCAACACTTGGCCATCAAGGACCCGGCCCGGCCCTGGGCAGTTAAGCCCAAGGTGCGCCAGGGTTTCGGGCCGGACAGCTAAATTACGGGAATTAGCAATGGGACATAAGGCAGTAATATCTTATATGTCCTACCTTTTATGAGACTGTCTTGGTTCCTCGGGAGACCATCCAGCCACGTAGCTGCCAGCTCAGTGGATGGTCTGTTGTCGTCAGGTTCCGTATCGGGATTGTCAACTTCGTCGTGGTCATCGTGGTCATCGTGGTCGTCATCGTGGTCGTCCTGGGATGAACTCTCCCAATCTCCTCCATCTCCGTCTTCTTCGTCCTCAGAGTTCTGAACTTCGGTGTGGTTGTCCTCGGCTTCGACATTCCCATCGGAAACCGCAATCAAGACCTATTGTTCCCATCAGGTGATGCTCATTTGTTCTTTCATTCTTACGTACCTTTAGAGGTTTGCATTCCCCCCTTTGAAAGTGTCCTCGTCGAACATGCCTTCTGTGATGTTGCGAGTGGCTGCCTCGTGGCATCTTCTTACCCTGCATGTGGGCAAGACATCGGTCCTTCTGACATATCCACCCGTACTGAAAATGCTCATATACGTGTTCGTGGGCGCTGGACAGAGACCTGAACACTCGACTACATCCTAGGGCCTCTGCATGCCTACAGGGCCAGCAAGCATTCATGTGGCTGCCTAGGTAGTGACCCTTTGCCCCACCATTGGTCGCGAACGTTGCGTCACAACCTGGGTCTGGACAAGCCCACCTGCCGTCTAGAAAGGACGGCTTGGGGAGCTTGTCCCACCCAGGTATGATTTGACCATCCACGTCCCTGAGAGCAATACGTGGCGATGTCGTCGGCCAGGCCACAATAAATGTCTCGTTGTTGTCTGGGACTTCATCATGTTGCCTCCTAGCATGTCTTCTCGCAGTGGCTGAGGAATTGAACATTATAGAACATTTCTTCTCCTGTGCGTATGGGCAAGGAAAGACTTTGCGGGTTCGCTTATTGGTATGAGTCTTCGCGTGTGCTGTGGCATTGCCTTTGGTTGAGAACACCAAGGTACAGTTCTTCTCTTCCGCTAGGACAGGGCCATCCTAGTTGCTCGTGTACGCTCTCAGCATGCTTTTTTGCGTGTGATTTTGAGCCAAAAAACCTCTTGCAACGTAGTTCCTCTGCGTACGGACATGGAAATCCTTCTGACGCTCCCTGGGGGCTGCTGGGGTCGTCATTTCCATGAACGTTCACTGAGTGCGCACTGGCTGCCTGTTGGCTAGGAAATTCCGAATTACACCCCTTTTCTTCAGCCAGAGGGCAGGGCAATTTGGCCGGGGTTTTGTGCACTTTCTCAGCATGACTAGTTGCGTGATGTTTTTGGGAAAATGTCTGCTCGCAATGGAACTCTTGTGCGAGTGGGCAGGGCCACTCGACTGGGTTGTCATTGTGCGCCTTCCTACCATGTCTCCTCGCAAGTCGTGCCGAGGGAAACGACCCGTCGCAATTGAACTTTTCTGCGTGTGGACACGGCCATGTGGTTTTGTCGTGGACGCTCTCAGCATGCTCTTTTGCATCGGCTTTCCTTGAGAAGGTCTTGGTGCATCCAAACTCCTCTGCGCGTGGGCAGGGAACCTTTTCCCGCTTATCAGCATGGGTCTTTGCGTGTGTTTTGGCACTGCCTTTAGTAGTAAATACCGAAGTGCAGCCCGTCTCTTCTGCCAAAGGACAGGGCCACTGCACTCGGTTGTGTACGGTGTCGGCATGGATTTGTGCATTCTTTGCGGATGCAAATTTGCTTTTACAACCTAGCTCTTCTGCACGAGGGCATGGGAACTGTTTTTTCTTCATATCGATATGTTGATGAAAATGGTTAGAGGGTATCAATGTGTCGAGACCTTGAAGGACGAGCAGCAGGATGACGCCTATGAGGCGTAGAACGAATGGATTTGCTGGGCCATCCCATCCTCCATGAATTCCTGTGTTTGCCAGCAGACTGAGTGCTTTCTTACTTGCTTATTTGCCTTTCGGGGCTTCTATAAAAGACCTTTCCTCTACTATATTTGATGCAGCACATTCTTCTTCCTCTTTCTCCAGTAGCTCAGCTTCCGTAGCCTCAACAAGTTATGAGGCCTATTTTCACCCTTAAACCATCAAGGATTCATCAATATCTATCAATATCTGATCATTTTCATCAGGGATAACGCTTCTAAGTGTTTTATCCATTACCTTTCTCCTAAGAATAGCATCTCACTGAGAACTGAGTGATATCTGAACAGAAGATCTCACTAAGAACCGAGTGCAATCTCAATAGACGATATAATGACCTAGGCTATATCCATCACCGTCCTCTTAAGAATAGCATCTCACTGAGAACTGAGTGATATCTGAACAGAAGATACAATGAGCTAGGTTGTATCTATCGCCTTTCTCTTAACTTAAGAATAGCATATCACTAAGAACTGAGTGCAATCTCAATAGACGATATGATGACCTAGGTTATATCCATCACCTTCCTCTTAAGAATATCATCTCACCAAGAACTGAGTGCTATCTCAACAGGAGATACAATTACCTAGGTTCTATAAAAGTTATCTGGGTGGAATGAAGACAGGACACGCAAAGAGGATCCTTACGGACTACAGCTAGTGGAGCTAGACGTCGCCAGACTCCTAGCGGAAGTACAGACGTGAGGAAGAGAAGTCGGCATATAGCGGACTTAAAAGATGTATCCCAATGAAGCAAAACAGTACATGTAGTCTCCTCGTGTTCATGGAAACCCAGATATACACCCATATAGATCCACACATCATAGTTTATCTTCCACTTATCTTGTCAAATAATACGTTTCATATATATATCTCTGATAAAACAACTACAAGTAGCAAAGATGAGCCCTTTTGACAAGGACTGGTTCGGGCGATAATAGCTCACCTCGAAAACGTGGTAGAATGGTTAAAGAAACCTGAGCGATCAGAGTGCCCACAATGTTATCACTGTATCCACCCCAAAATGATCCTAAAGCTTTGTTTCTTTCTATAGGGTCAAGTGTACAAAGTCTCCACTATATGGAGTTATGATTAAGATAAAAACTCCTTAGCCTCTACAGGGTATACGAAAAATTAGGGCTTATGGGCTTTACCGTGGGCGACAGCGGCCAAAAGTGCGGAAATACGGAAAGGGAAGGTTAGAAATTTGGAGAAGGTTAGAAGCAACGGCAGTAGGCTTAAACAGATCATTATATACGTAATTAGGACAAACCAAGACCCCGATTACTCTACTATATTGCATATGTAAGTATGCTGTGGGATAATGGATATTTAGTGGAATCAGTAGCATATCTGCGTGTACTTCATTTCATTTTCCGTAAATCTGTAAAATAATCCCCTACAGAGCGTTCTCCAACCGACGCTCCTTGCGCAGAGCCTTGAGCTTGATCCGCACCTCCTCAAGGGGCACCATCACGCCCTGCTTCTGAGTGGCAGGATCATCGCGGTTGCGGACGTTGACAGACCTCGTTTCACGCTCCGATGCGCCGACAACGAAGATGAAGTTGTACTGAGCCAGCTGGCCAGTGCGAATCTTCTTCTGCATGGTGTTACCGCTGATATCGATATCGACACTCAGCTTGTCACCCTGCAAGATCTTCTGTAGCTCCTCGGCGTAGTCATTCACGGCAGGCATAACTGGAACAATGAGGATCTGGCGAGGGCTGATCCAGAAGGGCCACTTGCCACCGAAGTGCTCGATCAAGATGCCCAGGAATCGCTCGAAACTGCCAATGATAGCACGGTGGATGACAACAGGACGAGCACGGCCGGGGGCAAGCTCGTCGCCCCTGGTCTCACCCTCCTTGGGCTGCTCCGTCTGGCTCTGCTCTTTGGTCATGTACTCCATTTTGAAGTTGATCGGGGCCTGGTAATCGAGTTGAATGGTGGCGCACTGGAACTCACGCTGGAGGGCATCGGCAATAGTGATGTCGATCTTGGGTCCGTAGAAGGCACCGTCACCCTCATTAATGGTCCAATCATCACCCTTAAACTTGGTCAAGGCCTTCTTGAGCTGGTCCTCGGCGTGGTCCCAGGTCTCCAACGCGCCCATGTACTTCTCGGGGCGGGTGGACAGCTTCAACTTGAAGGTGAAGCCAAACAGCCCATATATGGACTGCAAGAAGTCGAACAGGCCCTCAACTTCAGACATAATAGACAACTTGTCACATATTACATGGGAATCGTCTTGATGGAAACGACGTACGCGTGTTAGACCACTCAGGGCACCCGAAGCCTCATTGCGGTGCAGGGCACCGAAGTCTGCAATACGCATAGGAAGCTCGCGGTAACTACGTTCACGATGGCCGAACATAATGAAGTGCCCAGGGCAGTTCATGGGCTTAAGAGCCCACTCACGTTTCTCGACATCCAGCTTGAACATATCATCCTTGTAGTGCTCCCAGTGTCCGGAGGTCTTCCAGATACCAACATCGTACATGTTGGGGGTCTGGACCTCCTGGTAGCCTCGCTTGCGGTATTCAGTACGCAGAAGAGACTGGATCTGGTTGTAGATCTTGGTTCCGTTGGGGAGGAGGAATGGGCAGCCGGGGGACACCTCATCGAAGAAGAACAGCTCTTGCTCCTTGCCGATTCTCAGGTGGTTCCGCTTCTCGGCTTCTTCCAAGAATTTCAAGTGCTCAGCCATTAGCTTCTTGTCTGGGAAGGCAACACCGCGAATACGCTGCAGAGAGTCGTTGGACTGGTCGCCAAGGAAGTAGGCCGATGAGTTCTGGTAATAAAAATTAGTATGTGTCTTCCTCGGTCAAGAGGTCAACTAGCGACGCTTACCTGCATGATCTTGAAGGCCTTGATCTTGCCAGTGTTCTGAATATGAGGGCCTCGGCAGAGATCGACAAGGGTACCGTTACGATAGACGGTGCTGCTTTCGCCGGTGACGAGCTTGTCAATATAGTGCAGCTTGTATTTGCTGTATGCGAACATCTTTTTGAGGTTCTCCTTGGAAACCTCCAATCGGTCGAAGCTTTGCTTCTCCTTGAAGATACGCGACGCCCTGGTGTCAAGCGCTTTCCAGTCGGCTTCACGGACAACCCGTCTGTTTTCCACATATATTAGCATTGGCGCAATTGTGAATGGTAGGGTGATAAGATAACATACCCGTCCGGCATGGCCATATCGTAGAAGAAACCCTGAGGGGTAGGCGGACCGTGGGAAAGAAGACATCCGTACTCGCATTCTGTGCTTTCGCCCAAGACATGGGCGGACGAATGGAAGAAAACTTCGCGGGCCTCTGGGTTGCTGAAGGGCACAAGAAGCACACTGCAGTCCTTCTCTAGAGGTCGGTTCAAATCCCACAGTTCTCCATCAACCTTGGCAATAACAATATTGGCACTTAGGTCCTTGGGAACATCGCGGAGGAAAGATCCAGGAGTGGTCTCGAAGGCTTTGGCAGGGACCGAGGAGGGGGGGGTTGCCGTCGCCAATGTCAAGGGTAACGTTGATCTCTGGGTGGGGACGGGTCTTGGTCTCCTCCAGATATTGTTGCCAGAGTTCCTCGAAGAGCTTGTTTCGCTCGATCATGAACTCGGGAAGGGTATCGGGGCTCGGGGCCTGCTTGGATTTGGCATTCGCATCTTTTGGAGGGGCAGCGGCAGCTTCAGATGCGTTTTTGGCCTGCGCTTCAGCGGCGGGCCGCACGGGGAGCTCCTGGGGGGGTTTCAGATGCCATAATTAAAACCCTTGAAGCAATGGCGCAAAGGAATAAAACTGTGGGCAGGAACTTTGATCATGTATACTCCGCGTGGAGGGGAAAATTGACTCTTCGTGAGGGCGGTGAAACACAGGTCACGTGCTGGTTCTGCCCTTAGCCGACACTTTACCGCTTCGAGTTTCCACCAAGCGAAAACTTCTCCAGCTTTGTACAAGTCAATCACCCTTATCACCACAAAATGTCTTTCCGTGGTCGTGGTAACGCTTCTGGTGCCAACCGGGGAGGTTTCGGTGGTGGCCGTGGTGGTGAGAATTTTCCAACGTGAATGCGATGCGAGTATGTAAAAGGAGCTAACGAAATTTTTTGGGTTGCAGGTCGCGGAGGCTTCCAGCAGTCATTCGGCCCCCCAGCGCAGGTTCTGGGTAATTATTCTTCTGAAATCGACTATAATTGATTCGTGTCGCTGATATGCCAATAGAGTTGGGTTCCGTGATGCACTCCTGCGAGGGTGAGATGGTCTGCGAATCAGTCAACCCCAAGATTCCTTACTTCAACGCTCCTATCTACCTGGAGAACAAGGTGCGCCAATACCCCACCACATCAATATCATAGACAAGTTCATGACCTAACTTGTTCTCTATAGACCCAAATCGGCAAGGTCGACGAAATTCTCGGTCCCATCAACCAGGTCTACTTCACCGTGAAGCCCCAAGACGGTATTGTCGCTACTTCCTTCAAGGCTGGTGACAAGGTCTACATTGGCGGAGATAAGCTACTCCCTCTCGAGAAGTACGATTCGCTGTTCTACTTATTCGTCCACTTCTGACTAACTCACCTCCTAGGTTCCTCCCCAAGCCCAAGCCTCCCCCAGGAGCTGCTAAGCCCAAGCGCGCCGGTGGTGCTGCTGCCCGTGGTCGTGGTGGATTCGGTGCTCCCCGTGGTCGCGGTGGCCGTGGTGGTGCTCCCCGTGGCCGTGGTGGCTTCGGCGGTGGTCGTGGTGGTGGTTTCTCCCGCGGCGGCGGCGGCGGTGGCTTCTCTCGTGGTCGTGGCGCCCCTCGTGGTGGCGGTGGCTTCCGTGGTCGCGGCTACTGATCGATCCAATGTACTGTCTGTTTATGGCGTTTTGGGGGATCTGGGAGCTTTTTCAGGAATATCTTTCCGTCTTCTTGTGCATCTGCGCAATTGCAACTTCACTGGCTGCAGGCTGTAGAATATCACCAGTCAAAAATGTTTCTGTTATTTTCTTATTTTTCCAGAACTTGCAATTGCATATTAAATACTCCGTATTAAACCTAGCAACTCGTTTAGAAATTCGGGCATAATCGGCTCGGACATTTGGTTGGGACGTGGCTAGTTGGTGTGGCGCAGCTGCACCGCCTCTGCCTGCCTCTGCAGTTGAAATGACGTTGACCGCTCAGCGAATCTGTGCGTTCGTCAACACTCCCCAGCAGGATTGACTGCATTTTTATTCTTCTTACCCAATCTTGCCGTTTTTCATATCTTATTGAGACAGCCTATCCTTTTGCCATAGATCTTCTTCAAATCTGATATCCATTTGAGCATGTCTCGTCGGACATCGACCATGGCATCGAGCGATTCCTCCAGCGGTGTCCCACCTTCGAGTGACGGAGGTGCGTTCGAGTTCCCTCTGGTCGTTCAAGGGCAATGGAGCTTACAATATACAGGCCAGGAGAAGCAGAAAATGCTACTTTCCTCGGATCATGGTCATTTCAGCATGGTGAAGTCAGTCTCGTGCTTCCCGCGCTCCTTTGCTCTCGGTTCAGCCTAACACTCAACAGGGCCTTGCATCTTGCTGATCTGATTACTGAAATGAATGGTAAGAGATCGCAATATCCTGAAGTCTTTTGAATTGGCTCGCTAACTCTATCTTAGGTTTCTGTGGAGGCAAGCTCAATTTCCCAACCTTTTTCCAATCCACGCTAATATGTTGAGCAGTCATGTCGGTCTTTTCGTCCATGCGCTACTGCCTCGGAGACCCAACCAAATATGGTGCCATCTGGGCTGCCCTCGCATTCATGCCTTTCGGCCTGTTCTTCGACTTTATGGATGGGAAAGTCGCAAGATGGCGCAAGAAGTCGTCTCTCATGGGGCAAGAGCTCGACTCGCTAGCTGACCTCGTAATTGCTCCTGCAAAGTAACTACAACGAGTTATTGCTAACGCCCATATTCCCTAGATCTCCTTCGGTCTCGCTCCTGCTGCTGCCGCATTCGCTCTTGGTATCCGGACCTCGCTTGATCACGTCTTCCTCAGTTTCTTCGTTCTCTGCGGTCTGACCCGCCTCGCTCGGTTCAACGTGACTGTAGCCGTACTGCCCAAGGATAAGACCGGAAAATCCAAGTACTTCGAAGGCACACCCATTCCGACCACTCTGTCAATCGCTGCCATTATGGCCTACTGGGTCTCTCAAAGCTGGACGCACGAGAACATCCCTCTTGGCCTCTTCGCAGAAGGTACCATTTTCGAATTCCACCCTGTGGTCCTGATGTTCGTTCTGCATGGATGTATGATGGTCAGCAAGACGATACACATTCCTAAACCATGAGCTCAACCCAAATTTGGCCACGCATTTACTGTTGGAAAAAAAAAATGCCTGAGTCTGTTGTCTCTCTCAACTTGGACGACTGAAAATAAATATCGAGAGGGCCGTTGTTTGTAGGCAAGGCATAGCATGATCTCGATGCACTTAAATAAGGATGTTTAATTGAAATTCAATTGCATAGATTGATTACAGTCATTGTGACTTCCGCATAGGGGTTTGATTGCATGATTGTGGCTAATAAGGTCCACATGCTGGAGATTGTAGCTTTCAACAGCAAGCTGCTGATTGTCGTCGATCTTCAACAAGTACACAAGCAGTGCTGGTCAGTACATGGTACTTTTTTGACATCTTTGTGTTTGCCAGATGACCCCATGATATCTTGTAGGCCTCCATTGCCTTTGCTTTCCTTCGTTAGCCGGGTCTATGGGTGCTTTGTATTCTTCTTTTTATAGCCCCATTAGAATCCCCAGACAGTTCTTCATCTCTGGTTGTGAATTCAAGTGACCTTAAGCATAGGAAATCGGGAGTCCAAAGATCAGAATCAGCGTTGACTTAGGATATCGCCCAGTGACCCAACCTGGAATGAAGGGAATGAAGCAGGTACAAGGCGGCTATTCAGACAGGGAAACATCGGTACGTAAAAGACGACAGTCCCTGCTCGAAGAGTATGGCTCCTAGGATTCGGCGTGGATGGTTGTTGCAGTACGTGTTGAATCGACGGACGTACCACTCATTCTGGAGTGGCCGTAATGTGAACCACGGATATTCTTCTAATCTGATAGTATAGACAAGCAGACGCAATATTGACCTATAGAGATCGTCATGATGACCACTTGGCTAAGTATTCTCAGTCTCTGGATCTGTCAACGAGGACTTCGACACAAACAATCGTTGATTACATGGAATGAAAGCGAACGTAAGTTAGCACAGAAAGTCCTACTACCAAGTCACCAGGCCACATCTAAGCCAGTCACTGTAGGGACCAAGCCCATTCCGACTGCAGCAATGACCATAACTACACTCGAGCCCCCGAGATGCCCAAAGTGCTATGAACACGGTATAAGGCAGATAGCCAACGGCAACAACCCGAATGGCAATGCCGGCCGCCCATATTACATATGCGATCTATGTGATCGATTCATCTGCTTTGATGATCAACGCGGGATAAGTCCGGCCAATCCGCGCTGCCGATGCGGCAGGTACACTCGTAGGCAAATAGCCGGGACCGAGAAGGAGGTGCCACATGGGATTCACTATGTTTGTGCTCGTGGTTGGTGTTGGTTCTACGCGAAGGAGGCGGATCAGGATGGTGTCCAGCGACGGGTTTCGGATAGGTTGGTGGGGACGTGTGCGAGTTACTCTTATATCTGAGGTCTGAGGGTGTGTTCTTGCTTCTTTTAACGTAGTTTGTGTTGAGCTTAATAATATGTCCTTTTCCTGCATATGCAATTTCCAATATTCAAGGTTGAAATGGAATCTGGGCTGAGTCAAGTACCCAGCTATCTTCGGATATGTCCATGTTCAGAGTTATATCCCTAAGCGAAATGATACTCTCTTCCGAGGTAATCACCAAGCCGGCCCTTCCGTATGATCTAGAATATGGATAGAATAAGCGAAAAGGTCACAGGCGAAATCAGAATTTTTAGCATTTAAAATTAGAATGCTGACTCTTGGCCAGACACGTAGGGTCTAGACCGAGACACAAGTTTCACTTTGATATCCAATTCCGAACACTCTTCTTACCCACAGTTTGAACAAGTTGAACTGGTGTTCACTCTCGTTGGATATCCGAGTAAATACGAAAGACCCAAGCAACCTGAATAGACCTTTTCCTTCTTCGATTCTGTTTCTCGCTATTACCCTGGCAAGGCAAGGGGGATGTGTTTTCTACATGATTCCTTTGGCAGGTGGAGAATCCAACCGGTCTAGTGGGCGCCACTGATCCCGGAATATCTTTCTCTCCGTTTGGACAGGTCTAGGCAGGTGTGCTTGTTGACGCATTTTACTGTGTACGAGTACGCTGTACGGACCTGTATTGCCTGCGCATACCGTCTTTTTGGAGGCTCTGGGCGAGCAATACTCGGATGTCGGATCCGACTGGATGATTAGGATGTCTCACTGTCGGAAGATCGGTCACCTTGAGAACTTATTGTTTGCTCTGTGGGTTATATGGCCGCGGGCGTCTTTAGACGGGAATAAGGTTGATGGCCTTAAATTGGCTATAACTATCGAACGTCGTGGTGTCCGTGTCGAAATGTTTACCTGCGCAGGCAGTTGTGTTGACCGTTGAAAGGATTTGAACTCATTGGCCATGAGGCTTATGTGAAATGGTCGTGCATTTGCAATAACAATCGAATCCGTAGTTCAGACTGTGTTGCAAGGGACTAGATCTGCAAGGCACAGCTGATATATTATACACATTGGTTATCCAGAGCGCACTTGGCCGCATATTTACCAGTAACTTTATCTCTCAATTCAGTACTCCGTACGGAGTATATTGTACGGAGTAAAGGACCTGTGGATGTCTCAAAGTCAGGAATTCTCGCATGACGGTAACGTGGTTAGATTAAATAACCTCCGATATTTCCAGGGATGTTATAGGTATGAGAATACGTAGTAGGCAGTGTTAATAATACCACATACTATTATGCAGTCAAGCCACGAACAAGACACTTGAAGCACATAGGACTAAAAAAATTTCAAGGTACAAAATACAAAATATAAGGTTGAACACAGCCCTCGTAGGCCATTTATAGACTTGCACATAATAACTAGGTGAGTTGTACATATGGAGATCTGAGCCACAGTGCGCCGTTTTTTGTGGCTGAAGCAGGGTTTGTTTTGTTACTTTTGTTACAGGAACGGTACGGAGAAAGACCGATCATAATTTCCAAGGTATGGTCCCGGGAGTGGCCGCTCATTACCCATGGACATAATTTAGAAAATGGAAAAGGGGCATGAACAGGGATCAAGAAGACAGTGAGCTTGGAGTATATATTGTTGGGTGCGACGACTCAAAACATAAGGTTAAATCCTATACTAAATCCTTCAGGTTTCATGTTGTACCGAGTACTCTGTAACAAATGTGGAGGTTCTTAGCGCTTGTATGAGGTATTGAAATTGGCTCCGCCTGGGAAATGAGCCCGTTCCATGATGAAATGGTATTTCTTTTTCTTTCAACAAAATTCGGCCGCAATTTATCAAATGGAGATCTGAATTTCCCCTCGACCATCAGCCAAGGATGCACTTGCCAGCCACAAAGGACGTGGCGTATGTTGACCAGTCATGTATACGGAGTAGAGAGCAGATCAATGAAAGTAGACACTAAGGCAGAACAAAGCGTCCTTAGCCGAGGACTAATTGTGCTATGAGTTGTACAATTTTTGAGGGGTCAAACACAAAGTCGTCATCAAGGGTCTTCTTCATGTGGCAAGGACGATCTTTCATCGGTCCCTGTACGGAGTAGTAAAGTATGGAGCACTGGGTAATACCATTGATATTGAATATTGGACGAGGTTCACACAATGAGAGTCTCATCATCACCGCTTGGCGCCCAAAGCAGACTAGCGGCATGCCCAAGGACTCCATCAGCTGCCGTGTCTGACCAAAATGGGAAGCTGATCTGACACAGTACCCTGGTTAACCTGGACGGGTGCCTGATTACCTAAGATATATCGACATATCATTGGATGAGTCTTTGTTTGTATACCTGATACTGTACCATACAAGGAGCAAACAATATTGAAACCACCCGTGAAAGACCTGCGCGGAAAGTACCCGGTACTCGAGTGCACCAGGGCCTTCCCCCCATATTTCAAGTACCTCATACCTCCTCTGGGGAACACAGACCCCTTAACAGTCCCTTTCCCAAGGGATCCATTATCCGTCACACTTCTCTTTCCTCCTGATCTTCCTATTTCCCCTTCCCACACATTCGTTACATACGTACAACCTGATTTCTTCGCTCGTTTACTCCTTTTATTTGGGGGTTATCAACTGAACTGGTGCTTAGTTCACGGTCGCTCACTCTCTCTCCCGAATTGTAGAGGGGTGAACCTTCAACTCGACCACATACTTGGGTATCCGTCAACACAACGATCACTTTCCTTTCACTCCTTTTTCCGACCGCAAAATCTCGCCTTCCTCGTTGGACACGCCCTGAGTATCTGAGCGAATAATTCAGTACCAACGCGGTGCACAGTTTCAGAACAAACGACGTCTACCGACATACATTCAAACAGAAGTTCTTGAGGGTTACGCAGGCCGTCCCCAGTCCTTCGTCAATCATCCCTGCGACTGCGTCCAGCGGTGTTTCCTTTCCGCGCTGATTTCGATACTCGACTTCCCTACCCTCCCAACACATCATGCTTTTCCACACCCAAGGCGCCCTCGTGGTGTCCAGTATGCTAATGGCAGCCACCTCGGCGGTTGCGAAAGACTTCAAGGTGCTTCCTCGTGGCGCACCAGTAGGGACGCTCCAGGGTTGCTATTCTGGCATTCCTGGATACGGGAAGTCCACGAGCTGGACATACCAGAGTTCTGGATGGTGTCTGGACCACTGCGCCAAAGACTCGGACTATGCGGCATTTGCTTTGACGGGAGGATCTGACTGTGTGTGCGGTAACACACTACCACCAGCCAGTTCCAAGGTTTCAAACGACAAATGCAGCAAGTCATGCAGTGGCTGGCCTGATGATATGTGTATGTCTACACGTCCATCCATGACTCTCAGAGAATTGACTTGCTAACAATAATCTCGAATAGGTGGTGGTCCCGGCTTCTACTCTGTCTATACCACAGGTTTAGAAGATGATGTTCCCACATACTCCGACTCCGAGTCCACCACAACCAAGAGCGGTACCGACAGCAAAACTACGACGAAAACCGACGGATCTGCCTCCACTACTTCCAGTACTTCCGGTGAAACGACAGAGACCGTGACACCTGAGGCTAGTGCGAAAGCCTCCGACGAAGATATGAAGGCAGAGGCCGCAAAGAGCAAGAATACTGCCGCAATTGCGGCCGGAGTCGTCGTAGGAGTGGTCGGATTCGCTGCTCTCTGCGGTGCTGCGTTCTTCTGGTGGCGATCCAAGAAGAACAAGGCCGGTGCTGCGGGTGGTGTCACTGGCGGCTATGGCCGTACCTCGGGCCCGCCCTCGATGTCCGATTCTCGGTTCGATGGCGACTACATGGCTCAGCGCCGCCAAAGCAATGGCAGCATAGATGATGACCATGACTTCTCTCGCCGGATCTTGCAGGTAAATGCGCACATCACCTGTTGATATTGTTTCCAAGCTGACTTATGATACAGGTGACGAATCCTGATCGCTAAAACAATACCCATTTTTCGAACATTTATGCTCCTTCTCTTTCTTTCCACTTGGTATTAGCGAAACCCAACCTCATCTCTGCGTCAATCAAACTACTTTATGAGAGCTTCCCTATCCTGTTGTCATTATCTTTCTAGTCGGGTTATTCAGCGGAGTGACGATATCCGAACGGCATACGGCCTGACCCAGTCGGTGTGCCCCAGCTGGTAACCTGCTGTCTCTTCAGCCCTGCCTCTGAGCTGCTTTTTGCCGATGCGCTCCGTGACTCCATATCAAGACGGCGTTGCCCTACTTCATGATCATCACCTTTTAGGATCTACATTGGGAAATCAACCGCGTCACCAGCGTTCTCTGCCGAAGACCCCGATCATTGTATCTTGTTCAATTATAGTGAAGTCTCTGTGGATATAGAGACGTGTCCGAAAAGGCGTTTCTTTTTATTTCGGCTCCATCATTGCTCGACATTTTCCTTTTTACGAGCAGACCATTCCTTTTACGTGATTCCTTTTTACTTTTTCCCCTTTGTGGTCTCTCTTCCTGTTTCCAGCCAGGTCTTCGTCTATCGGTCCTATAATGAGCTTCTCGCATTCTCCACTTCGCTCCGGCTTGGTCTGATTCAGGAAATGGCTGTAAATAGGCGAGATCAATCAGCTGTACTTAATGTGAGAATGGATATGCACATCAGATTGTGATCATTTGCTTGGAAAGTAAACTAATAGTCGCTGAGTTGGTCAAAACTGGGTCTGCCATCGGTCCATATATGTCTCTTATATCTCTGGCATCTCTGGATGCTTTGGTATCTATTCGATCAGATACCTTGCATTGATTATCTGTTCTAACAGTCTGAGATAGTTCATTTTCTATTGGCCTACTGATACTAGCCTGTAAATATAAACAAGCGAAGGTCAACTGTATTTTGGCGTGTTCAGCCAGGTCCGTCGGTTTATTGCAGCCAACCTTGTAACAAGTCACGCATCACTTTTACAATTGGGTATTCACATGAACAAGGAGATAAACAAACGCCCGAAAGTTATTACAAACAAGAAATGGAGGCAAAATTTCAAGTTAATTCAGTATGAGAGCTCAATATCAAACAAGATCCCCAAGATTCATGCGTCACCGAACACAAAATGTAGAAACCTTGCAAAAACAACATGGAAAGCATGAATGGAAGCGACGCATTGCGAAGATCGCCCGAAAAGAACATAAGAAGATAGCGAGACGAGTTACCTGTGCCTATAGCAGAGAGATGGTCAAAGGGAATGTGGCCAGCATAGTGGTATACCAGGCGACGATGTTGGCATCACTGTGATCACATTCATCCCGAATCAACCCCTCGATGGTTTCCTTGAACGAGAGAACGCTCATATACCAAGGCAGACCAAAGTCAGAATGGATATCAAGACGAAGGTGTTGGCGAGCACAATGCTCGAATTGGATGCGCTTGGGGTGTGGAGTACCATCGCTACGGGGACCAAGCGGAGGCGGAACTTGCAAGAAACGACGCCGATAAGAACAGTACTGAGCGTAGGAAGCTTTAGCTTCATCTGCCTAAACCCCTCGGAAAGTCAGCCAGGGTGAAATTGTGCACGAAAGCCCAAAAGATGAGGTAGACTCACGGCACTTCCATCACGCTCGCCGACTAAGTTGTGAGCGCTGCCATGGGACTTGATGAGACGATCAAGACCGGCGCAGAGATCTCGCACAGCCACTGCAGCGGCGTGGACAATCTCTATATCGTGAACCAGGCTAGCATCGTCGGTTTGTCCGAATTCGGATTCCTCGTTGATCCAAAACTCCATTACCCACTCCAGTAATGCGTGCAGTTCGAACCCGTGGCCCCTGATACCTTTATAGAGCTGCAATAGAGAATTTGAATGAGTATAACACACGAGTGAATGACCGAAACACTAAGGAATACTCACGAGTTCACATTTGTCGTGGGCATGGCAACATCGTTGACAACGCTTGGAATCGGCATCGCGAATGCAGTTTATCTTGAGGGGTCGATCCCACTCATTCTCGTCCCAGTCACGCACTGCTACCCTGAAGCATTGGATGCACCAGCCCGTTTCTGCTGGATGGGTGTATTCGAGAAGTTTCGCGTGAACACCGTGACTTGCCGCAGGCGTATTAGGAGTGTTGTCAGTACATTCCGCTGCCTTTGTGGGGGTTTGGGAGCCATTTGCCGCTTCAGCCCCTTTTGGAGGCATGGTGTAAGAAGGAAAGGTCTTCAACCGATGGGGAAGATGAAGCACGATGCGAAAGGTGAGGGAAGAAGAGAAAACAAGAAGACGTAAGAATGAAAAGCCTCAGTCACGACAAGACAAACAAAAGGGTATGTCCATCAAACATCATTGAGCGCATTAGATGAGTCCAAGGTAGTCTCATGGATGTTGTTTTGGAAGGAACAAAGAGCGAAGAACGCTCCTTCCAAGGTTCGTCTTTTCCATGCAAAATGAGGTTATTCACAACTCCTCAAGGGATGAGGGAAAGATCCCATCCGAAGTGATGCGAAGAGTATCCCGAACCTCGAAAGCCCATCACTCTTGGACTGGATATAATTGAGTATCAAGCAAACCAATTTGGTCTCCCTCTTTGGGCTAAACCACTAAACAAAGAACAAGAGGGCAACCTCCAACTACCTGGGTACCCTTCGCTGATGCCTAACATTATATTCCCTCACTTTCCATGATATTAGGAAAGATACTCACACAGACCTCGCAAAGAACTACATGGATCACAACTGCCAGATGGCCAGCCCCAATGGTAGCCAACTAACTAGTCCATGTTGGCACAGCCTCTCACCCCCAAACCCCCTAACCGCCCAATCCCCCAGCATGGCATATGTCGTACTCAGGATCGACGGCCCAAGTACTCCGTAGATCAACGCCAGACCCAACAACGGTTAGGCGGACCTAAACCGGACTTGAGCCGGACTTAACAGCCACATGGCTCCATGCAACGCTAATCCAGCGACGATCTAGACCTGCAGCAGAAGGAAAACAGGAAAAAGAGATTGGAGGAGACCAGCCAAACTAGTCTGGTAGTCTGTTACAGCTGAAAAATCAGGTGTGCTGATCAAAATATTAGCCCTTGCCGGGAGGCCCGAAGGATTGCAGCATGTCCCGTTGGTGCTGGAGATTACCCGCTAAAGATATATTGGATACACTAGTCTAGATCGGATAGGACAGGCTGGTGGAATGGGATAATTTGGATCTACTTGATTCGCATTATGGTCTCATTTCTCTTCTCATGACCCATGTCGTCAAATATAAAGTCCCGGAGATACCGGAGTAAATTGCCGAGATTCCCGGAAATGATATGGAGTCGAACTGGCGTCGATCAATATACAATAACAAAAAGAAGAAAAGGTCTGGCGGGCAACGAGAACACAATTAGCCATGCCTATTTTCAGCCTTCCCAATCGGACAATTGTTACACGATCATCCTCAGGCTGCAGAACAACAAGCCAATAGAAACCACAGCAGAACCAACAGCGTCAACAAGCATGACCAGGCAGATGCACGCTGATGCCCAGAACACCGGGTGTGCATGATGTCATGCGTATGGTGATCTATCATTGAGCCCTTGGCCATGCACCTAAACTCGAATGCATCTAGGCAGAGTAATTCCACGCCAATTGGATTTAGGTGTTGTTGTTGGCTGCAAAAAGACGGCGTAATGTTCCTTAATTAGCTTGGTGAGGTAGCATTCTAGAAGTCAGGCTAATAACCAGTATGCTGGAAAGACTCAAAAGAGTATATAGCTGGATTGAGCTTAGTGTCTCTCTAAACAACCTACCCAAGTTGGCTAGATACATGTAGGAACTTCAAACTGGGGAGCACTTTGCGACACCCGTTGAGCGATCTACAAGAGGCCCACAGTTTTGGCCATGTGGTCTCGAACGGATGAGAGCGAAGGAATTAGCTCCGTCGCATGTCGGAAGATACAACTCTCCGTACAGCAAAGAAAGGCATGATTGGGAAATGAAAAGGAAAAGGGGTAATCGGGAAATTCGGGAAATTCGGCGATGATTCGTGTACAATATTGTAGATCTAGTTTTCCCCATACCGTGACACTGCAATATCTGGAGTAAGTAAGTGTCCAAAGATTAGCTTGTTTACACCCCTTGGTTGTGCACGTCGGCTTCTTGTTCCGTTACATTTCCTCTATAGCGAAATCCCTGCAAACCCCGATTCCCCGACGTCGGGTTTTGGGAATGTAACCACTCAATTATTATTAAGATCCAAAGGTACTTGATAATAATCTGCGTTAATTATTGCCTGCTCTTGGATGACTAGGATATGATTTGCGATGATTTTACCGAGCCGATCGGGAAAATCCCAAGTTAATTGTACTATGCAGACTAATTATATCGAGGATAATGGTTATAAATAAGTATAAAGACAGCAAAGACACCTAAATCATCCTAGATCAACACGAGCACCTTCCTGATCTAACGACTGGCAGGGTTGTCCGCGGAGTGTCCGCGGACACGGACACGGTAACGGACATGGAACGGGAGAGTCACTTATTCCCGTTTGAGTAAATAGTCAACGCTTCATGCACAGTACATTTACCTGAAAATGGCCAGCCCTCTGCATGCAGATGCTGCAGTAGTGTCTGCATGGTTACGTGCCCTAAATTAGCTCTCATTTCTTTTCCGTTTTGGTGTAATGCAGCCACATGGGTTACAAGGATCATGATCCTTGCTGCAAGCCCCCTGCAAGCTGAGAGGAAATGAAGTGGATTTAAAATTAATGGCAATGTCCTTGTTGGATTCGGTAGTGAGCTCGGATACGGAGTACATGGCTGTGATTTGCTATAAGAATTTAAAGAAAGGGTTTTTTCTTCTGAGGGAAAAAAAGCAAAGCCCAAAGCCAAGACAAGTATATTATTGAGAAATAAATTAGTGTTGCAATCCGCTATACATAATTTTCCGAGAGTATGTATGTTGTAGGTACGTTGTATCCATGATAGCAGTGTTATGACTTAAACAACGATCGTTACCAGATGTAGGCAACGGTGCTCACCTCGAAATCTGCCTTGCAAAAGGTGGCCACATGGCATGGCCTGATCGATGGGGCTATCTGAAACATAACCTAAGCATGCAGGGGTTTTACGCCATTAGCGTATCCTTGCAAAGGACGACGCAGGAAAATGCATGGAGAACTCTGCTTACGCCGAAGTTTTCCCTGTAAGAGGGAGAGAGAGAATCAGGACGTATTCTTTTATTCAATAGACCGTTGCTCCACTTTGTAGGGTTCGGACCTCGACTCTCTTGTTTTTCTTTTTAGTGGAAGGTTACGATCTTAGTCAGTGTGGGGAAGTTCCCCAGGAACAGGAAGCATAGGTAGATTACTGATGACGATGTAAACAACATATACTCCATACAGCAATGCTATGATATAGCATTAAGTAGGTATGGTAGATCTCGGGATATGGATAAAGGGATTGTCGAAAGTGACAAGAGTGCAGGTGACTGACTCATGATGAGTCGCCTTCTCGTCATATATTCGGTTAATTCTCTTCAATGATCCCTGCAAGTGTGCTGTATCCAGTATGGTTTGCTTTAGTCAATGCAGGGGAACCCGCTGGGAAGACAAATGCCTCACTAATCACCAGTGATGGACCTCGATAGCGACGATCTGCAGGACTGGGCCTTGAGCGCAGATTGATCACATTCTCGACTCTCGAGACCATACTTGGCGGGGAACTAAGGACTTAACATATTAATATATACATATTGCGGTGCATCGAGCCATACATATGTCCGTTACATCCGCGAGACAAGAATCGAGGTGACGATTGTGGAGCTACTAACCACGTGCTAGATATGAGCTAACCATGGAAAGAAGGAGATGTCGACTGAAACAAGACAGCAGTGAACAACCTTGGAAGATCAAGAAGGTCATACCTGAGTATCGGCGGGGATAACGGTATAACCGGAGTGGACCTGAACTAACCCGATTAGTATAATGTACAACAGCGCTTGCAATCGTCGCTTTCTGACATTTTAGGGCATTTTAGGGCATTTTCCACGTGGGTGCAATTAATTTTCGACATTGATTTCGCCCTAATGGGTTGAGCTTTGCTGACCTTGGAAGGTATCTGGGATATACAAAGTAAGGGGTAAATTTACTAAGAGAAAAGCTAAACTCCTCGGGTATAGCCGATCTCTCCTAATTTTTTTTTTTTCGGTTAATCCCGAGGAATAGCCGCAATTCCGTGGTAAACGGTCACGGCTATTTGTCCCGGACCAGGGGTATGTATTTTCCCTTAATATCAAATATCCTGTTTTCACTAATTTGAGTATGTGTACGGAGTAGCGAAGCGGAGTTTAGTCGCTTCTCACTTTAGTAACGATTGCGCGATATTACTCAAGTTAAGAGCCTTTGCAGTGCCCAGACCGAGAGCGGGTTCTCTCATTCGAGCGAATCAGAAATAATACAACTTCCACCAATCAGAGCAGATGCCACGGGATCTGAGGTGAGATTTCATCTTCCATGGAACAATCCATGAGAGCATATCCCTCCTATTTTACTGCTAAATATGCAGAATCAAGTCACACATATACGCAACGCCATCAGCCTTATCCGTAACTTTGCCACTTCCTCCTTCAATGCTTAACCATCCTGAAAATCCGGAGATCCACCATCACGAGAGGCTAAAAAGGAGGCTCACCAATTAATCTGGGGACGAAATAGACCCGGAAGGGCCACCTGTTGACCAAAGTGAACTGGTTTGGAACCAAAGAGCCTCTAAAGCTTAAGGGGGGCGCGGGTGGGGGACAATGAAAGGGGCGCATATACGCCGTTATCCATGCATATGTTGGATATTCCGAAATCGGCCAATTATTTTATTTTATTTTATTTTTCCTCTTTTCCGTATGTTTTACCTGTATTTTTTTTGTCCACATCAAAGTTATTCAGATGTGTAAACCAGACTTTTTCAAGGGGTGTACTCAAGAAATCATGAGTCAGTTCTGGGGTGTGCCCACCTCCTGGGCATGTCGATCTTGGGCACCTGCCTATGTGGGAATCCCGCACATACTTTAAAGGGTTTAGGAGCATGAGGGTCACGTTGATAGCTCTGATTTTTAATTTAATTTAGTTCGAATGCCATGGACTTGCAACTCCATGCCAATTTGGGAGTAGTTTGGCGATTGTGTCGATCAGGAACGAATTGGGGAGAGAGCGTTTACTACTTCAGGTCTAGCGTGCACGGCCTAGCATGTCCCGTGTTGTACAGAGTAAGCATCTAAAAAAAGAACCAACACCAATCGAGCTCTCTGACTCGTTGTATATTGATCACCACAGTCACTCCTATGCACTTCTTCATGCGCTTCATGCACCCGTTGCTATTGTAGGCGCAAGGCTTATCCGTCTTGCCGTCGACATATGTACTATACCAGAATCGATATAATCATGCAGAGTAATCTTCATCTTAACAAGGAAGGTGTTATAGACTTAATATAGATTTGTGGTAGAGAGTATATTCCCACCGGTAGCTCAGCAGTATACCCAATATCCAAATCAGCCATCATCATCTAACAATCCCGACAGCGCTACGAAATAACAAGCGCTACTTTTTTTATTTAGAAAAAATATTAAAAAGAGATGAATCGGCGATATCGCCCCTTCATCCATAATATTTGAAGCAGTCTCTATGATCCACACAGACACTAACAAGCAGAAACGGAAGGAGGCTTAACAATAATCAACCACAAGCCATGTGGGAAATTGCAAGCACAGGGGGAAAATACCGCGAACCAGATCCCGGGCATTGAACTCCCTCTTAGAAGGACCATGATTGGCCCACAATTATACACTTCCATATTAATATGGTGCCCCCCCTACACCAGAAGTGGTTGAGATCAAGATTATGCACAGCAGGGCTATGATAGCAAATGACGATCAATTTTAGTAGTTGTCCGGGCAAAGGGAAAAAACAAGAGAAAAAGAAAAGCTTTAATTTCATCGGTACTCCGTCCAAACCCCAGGCTAAGCCCGCTCTCTGACCCTAGCCGCACCAGCCGATCAATCATGGACCAGACCCGGTCTTGGCTTGTATAGACAAGGGTAAATGCATCATGCGTGTCTAAACTTGGAAGCTGGGAAAAAGGAGGGCTGTGGTAGTTCCCGCACACTGCATATGCGACTCTTTCTGTTTCCGGGTTTCCATCTCTCGTTTCAAGAACCCTGCAAGAATGCCTTGCAGTCCAGATCAAGATTCATATCGTGGATCCTCAGAATCTGCGGCAACATACTGAGTATTGTAAATGGTGGATCGTGCAAGAGCCCATTCCACGCTCCCCTCCCCCCCCACAGCAACCCACCTAGCGCCCGTGATTTGTCTGATAGATAAACGGTTGCGATAGTGAGGCGTCAGAGCGGGACATTTTTTAGCCTTGAATCATCCTTCGAATGTCCCCTGCATACAACATAATGTGCATTCCCGCTTGTTATTTTAGTCTATTGTTCCTTGGTCCTTTTAGAGATGTGCTAGTAGAACAAAAGATTGTTTCCAGAAATTAGGGGAAGCAGGGATGGTGTACATAGCGTGTTTTAGCGATGCAGTAGTACAATGTAAATTAAGGATCTAAATCTTGCTATAGATAGTGTATTAATGCAGTGAGATGTTTTCTGGCATTTGGCTCCTGATGCTTGCTCTGCCACGAGGGCGACAGGGGCTATTCTCCGGCTATGCAATGTCGCATGGGGCGGGGTGCAGAGCAATTTAGTCACTGGGTGTTGGGGCCCCCGGGAAAAGATGGTATGTGTAGGGGATTTCATATACTTTATAGTATGTAAATCAATAGTTGTATGCACCATATAGTAGGATATAGTAGATAATATAGTAATATAGTAACCGTTCCACCAAATGGTTTCCCCCGGACGAACCGAGGCCTTTTGAGGTCGGTGCCCGGAGTTTGGGGTATCCGTTTCCCCCTCAAAAGTCAAGGATCGGCGCACTGAAACGAAAGGGCAAACCTTGGAAAATAAAATGCCAAGACACGCCAGGCTGACTCTGCCTTTTTCTTGATTTTTTTATTTTTTTTTAATTTTTTGCCCTTTCTGTTATTGGTTTAGTGGACTTCGGGCTAGTTCGGTTTAATCGACTTACAAGTTTGGTTGAGGCTTTGGATTCAAGGATCCACCGGATCTCCCGTCCTTCCTGAGATCCTCTCCATGATATCAAGATATCCCAAAATGATACTTTTGCTATAAATGAAAGCAATAAAGAAAATAGAGCGTATCAAAAATGTCGATCTTATGTTCGAACTGTATTCCTCATTCAGGAAATTTGGAGCCAATCAGTAGTATTCATGCAGCCCTGTACGGAGTAATGAGCCTCCTACATACCACATTGGGAATAGTGCTTCCCATTCTGGTCCTGCGAGTTGCCTAAACCAGCGCACGCCCCACTGATAATGTACCTTAGCTTTTCCGATGGGGCAAACCCGTTGTATCCCGTGGGAGCTTGGACCGAAGCCCTCGATTGTGAAAGCTGCTCCACGTTCAACGCGGGATTTGGAATATCAGAGCCATTTAAGCGGCTCCGTTTCCCGTTCAATGGGGTTTTTTTTCAGTTAAAAAAAAAATGGACGGGACATGATTTGGAATTCGATTAAATTTTTTTTTCTTATGGAGGAAAGCACTATCCACTTCACATAACAAAGGTAATAAACGTTAAATAATCCATAGTAATATCATTCCGCGACTACGGTAGCGAAATTGCGCTATCTCGAACCAACAGCTAACGGCCAATTTCTTGTTATGGATCATCTAAGGGCGGACTGGAAAGTGCGCCTCAGCCGCACTCATGGCTCTAATGCATGCCCCTGTGTAAATTTAGTACGGCTTATGCTCTGATCATCCCGCAGAGCGATCATCGCCTCCACGCCCGTGCTGTTTTTACCTGGATCTAATCTCAGTTAGCCTTAGTTAGCCTTAGTTAGCCTTATGTTGGATTTATTTTTGTTGGAATTATTATTAGCATGAGTATTTTAGGGATTAATTCATTATTATTTATTTATTTAATTTAATTTTATTTTAGCACATATTAATTTCCTCCAATTTCCTCGAAGTTTATTAATCTGGTAGATCTGTAGGAAGTGCATATCGTTCCCTCTATATCAGTCCACCCTCCTCTCTTCATTCATCTCATCTTTCAGGATTCTTATACCTGAACAATCCAAACCAGCCTCATATCTATATCTTACATCCCATTCCTCCCTATCTACTCTTTCTCCTTGTCTTTACAAATCATGACCCGCGGATCCACGGAGCGCATCAGTCCAAACCATATCGTCTCTGTCTTGAACTCGCCTTCCGTCTCCTCCTCTTCACCAGAACCTGAGCAACTTGCTTCCAAATCCAACATGGCCCGGAAGAACAACATCCGTCCAAACTCTCCTGCAGATGCGAATGTGCCCGTCACCTATACACCAACTACCCGTCGCATTAGCAAGGCCAAGAAGGGAAAGCGTGTACATGCCTGCCAATACCCAGCATGCGGAAAGGTCGGCGCAATCATATACACCTATCGGATCAATCAAACTGACTCCGTTGCAGGTCTTCACCAGGGCTGAACACCGAAGACGCCATGAGTTGAACCACAACCCCGAGGCCTCGTACCGCTGCTCAACACAAGGATGCAAGAAGGCATTCCACCGCGCTGACCTACTTGCGCGCCACATGGAGAGACAGTGAGTACTACGGGAAGCCTTTCGCGATACGGCGCATACTAACAATAATGGCAGCGAACTCGAATCGCAATCAGAGCAGTCCTCATGGGCATCCAACAAGCAAAATCCCATCGTAAACGAGTCCGCTGTCCCGCGCTGTATGTCAATGGACCACGGAATGCCATTGACTGCAACCTCCCATACACACTCCATGTCCATCGGCTCACTCGTGGCTCCTGGCATTCACCCGGACCTGGCCAACAACGACTGCTCATTGATGTGGAGCGGCGTCGACTTGCCCCTACAGCCCCGGCCAGCCTTCCATAGCCAGCTCCCCGAGTCTGTTGACGACAGCCCCTTCTACTCTTCCCCGCAGACACTTGCCCGTCGCCTCTATCCGATGCGACTTTCTCTCTTCCTCCCCACTCTAGCTCCTCCATTTCTTCCGCGTCTGTGTCTGTCATCGACCAGTACCCGAAGAATATCCTAAACGGCGAGGTCACTTCGTCCCCGCTTCAGATGCACACTCCCCTCCGCTGGGATACTGATGCTGGCGTGCCTCCGTCGCATCTAGTTCCCATGTCCATGGGGGAGAATATGATCCAGCCAGTGAGTTTTCTTTGCGATTATTTAGGTAACTATTCGCTAATAAATCTCAAGCCCGTTCAGTGCCACTACCCCTCTCCTTCATGGTCCAGCGCAGACTGCCTTCCCTACGAGGACCAGGTCCACTCCATGCACCAGTTCCAGCCCGTGAGCTGGGGGATGTGAAAAGACCACGGAAGCTCTTTAGTCAAATTAAATTGATCAAAGACGGCCGAATCTCATGACTATACGACCACCCAGGCATTTACCTCTACGAAACCAGCGCGGATGACCCAACAGCCCTGGGAAACCTTGGGAGTCCATGGCAAAGAAAACAGATTGTGGGTCCAACGGAAATCCCGAGGGGCCACTGGTGTGCCTTAGAGAGGGTGGTCTCGACTCCCTACAAATGGCTCAATCGTCATTAGCAGGACGCTCCACCTGTCTCCGTTGTCCGGAGTGTGACCACCTGGACTCCGGATCCACCGGTCGCGGTCGCTTCCAGCACACCACAATTCTTCCAAATACAAAGAAGATAAGCACCTCCCGATATCGGTTGGTTAATTCTTCGGTCTTGCATCCCAACTGGGTACTGGATTTGATGTTTCTTTTCCTTTGTTTGATGTGTTTCTTTATGTGTGATTTCTGACGACACGATCATGATTGTCTCTTTTTTTCATTTTTACCATTCTTGTCTACTATACCATTTATACCCATGCAGGCCATTCAAATGTACTGCAACTTTCGTTTCTGGATGATTCCACCATACCCCTACATTTTATATAAATGTATAGCTTCAAATTCAATGATTTGACAAACCAAATCCATAAAACTCCCGATATAAAGCTCAACTCTATTAAGTCAACACCCGTGGCTTCCTTGTCCGTCACACCCATGGGCTCAAAGATAAAGCGATCTCTGATCCGAGCGGAACTGGCTTCCATGGAAAATCATAAACTTTTGCTTATGTAAAGCGGAACAAAACCCGCCCTCGGGCAATTGGAAGGTACAGCCTTGCCCAAAACCGTCCCCTAGGGATATCAAAATCTCGATTCCAACCTCTCAAGGTCCCACAGGCTGCAATTCCAATTAGCAAATGTCCACAACTCTGTCTCGACCGTACACTCTAGCCCTTCAATAAAAGCCTCAACTATCTCCACTTTATCCCGGACGCCCCGAAACCCATTTAATAACACTGGACACGGAGTAAACAACGCGGTACCCGGGCTATCCTCAATGAGGTATACGAACCTGCTCTCCCCACCTTGTTCTCCCCACCCTATTTTTCCCGCTAGACTGATTCCAGGTCTTGCGAGTAAAATCTTTCGAATTGGAGCGTTCCCGTTAGGATTTGGAATTCTCTGTGGATTCGCGTATGGGGCGTTGTCATTGTGGGTTTCTGGGCTTCGATCTAGAATCGGGTTTTACGGACAAATACTATAGAGTATGGATGGCTTGCTTCGAGATTGGGTGTTTGAGGGTTGGTAATCGTTTGATTTATCAGCATGCTTATATATCAATGCTGGCGTTGGCTTTTGGTTATGAATGTCAATAGCCTTATTGCTTTTCTCCCTTGACAAAGCACAGAGTACGGAGTACGGAGTACCGCGAGCTGTCGAGGATTCTGCTGTGGGGCACGTTAGCACGTTAGTCTGGCGTGTCGATCAGGGGTTCGAGGAGTCACGCGGCTTTTTGAGGCCTTGGCTTTTGTTCAGACCACCTGCCTGCATGAGTGATGATGTGCATTTGCTTTTTGTTTTGGGATTCTGGATTGGGATCGGTGTGTTATGTTGTTGTTGGTAAGGAGCGAGGACGGAGTGGTCTTGTGATGGAGACTACTCTGTTTACACTGACACAGTTGTACGCAATGTCTAGTGCAAAGATTGCGTCAAGGCTTATGGAATTACGTTGACACATTCAGTCTGTAACTCTTCTGTGAGGATTTTTCTTTGGCAATAGTATTATTGACTTCTGCAGGAATCGGGGAATGGGCTTGATCTCTGTCGCCTCTAGGGTTTGCCCTGTATATCCTAATATCGACACATCTTTTACGTTACTTTCACAGGGTGTATAGGTAAATAACCTCTGATGTGGTATAGTGTTTTTAGCCTGGACTTTATAATGGAACGAATCACATTTATCCGAGCCTAGCTGTAACATGGGCAGAAGGCTGCATATTCATTGGTTGTACACCGGTAAAGAGTTATGAAGACGATTTAAGAAACAGAAAGAGTCAAGCAAAAAGCCTGGACTTCCTGATGGCTAATTAGTTGTGACTATGCACATACAACATAGTCGGCAATTCAATTTGGATCTCCATCGCTCTACAGCGAAGGGAACGCCATCCCATCGCCTCGAAGATCACTGCCTGCAGCATAAACCAGCTTCCCATCATCGTAGTACGAACGGATGATCTGGCCGCGACCAAACATAGCTCGCTTCCAACCAGTCAACACCTCAATCTTGTGACCAAGACGACGCAGTCCCTCCACAGCAGCATCACTAATACCCTCCTCAACCAACACAGTGCGGTCCGTACTCTCGTCATTCGGCGCAGCAAGACAGAAGCGCGGCGAATCCAGCGCTGCCTGGGGATGATACCCGAAGGCAAGCATGTTGAGCAGAACCTGTACATGGCCCTGCGGCTGCATAAAGCCACCCATGACACCGTAAACGGAATGTAAGGAGCCATCCGCAACATTAGTGATAAGGGCCGGGATGATCGTGTGGTATGGTCGCTTGTTCGGAGCCAGGACATTGGGGTGGCCTTCCTGCAGCGAGAAATTGGCACCACGGTTCTGCAGTGTGAAGCCACACCCGGCAGGGATGATGGCCGTTCCGAACCCAGCATAGTTACTGTTGATGAAAGAAATGCCGTTGCCCTCGCTGTCCGTCACTGCAAAGTACACCGTGTCGCAGTGGTTGTGCGCCGGACTACCGTGGTCCATGATATCCGCTGCGCGCTCGGGTGTGAACAGCTTCGCCCGCTCTGCGAGATACGCGGGGTCGAGTAGGCCCTGGGAAGGTACACGCTCCACGTCTGGGTCTGTGACCCACCAGGCTGCGTCGGCGAAGGCGATGCGCAGACTCTCGATCACGGCGTGTAGGTATTCGGCTGAGTTATGCTGGGCCTCAGTGAACTTGGGGATCTTGCCTGACTTCTCGAGTTCCTCCATGATGCCGAGTGCCATTAGCGCCACGATGCCCTGGCCGTTTGGTGGGTGTTCCCAGATCTCAACGCCTTGGTTGGCTTCACCATCTGTGCCGGGTGTTGATTTGGAGACGATGTCTTGGCCGATGAACTTGAGTGAAATCGCGTCGACTTCCTGTGTCCCGATCTCGGCATGATAGGCTAGATCCTCGAGTGACATGTAGCCACCCTGATCTTGCACCACCTTGACGATGGCTTCTGCGATCCGACCCTGGTAGAATCCTTTCTTGCCCTCTGCGGCGAGCGCGCGGAAGGTCTTGGCTAGAGTGGGATTCTTCATGATCTCGCCTGGAAGTGGGGGTCGCACGCCATCTTTGGCTGAAGGATCGACTTTCAACATCTCACGGAAGTTAGGAGATGCATTCCGGATATCTTGCTCGGAGTCATTCCACTGCGCGCGGGTTAGCTCATAGTGCGATTAAGATTGGGGATGATTGGAAATTGGACACTTACACCCCGAGACGAGAGCTCCGACACAGGGAATCCCTCTTCTCCCAGCTCAATAGCAGGCTGTAGAATCTGCTCGAGCGATAACTTACCGCTACCAAACTTCTCAACTGTATCCACCCATCCCGCAGCTGCTCCAGGCGTAGTCACAGCTAGAGCGTTCAACATGGGTATATTGCCCGGCTCACCAGGGGCCAGACCGAGATCCTTTCGGATTTTGTCCAAGCTGGCCTTCCCAGGATACCGACCAGAACCATTGAGCGCATGCACCTTCTTCGTCTTGGCATTGTAGAAGAGACAGAACATGTCACCTCCGATGCCGGTGGAACCAGGCTCAGTCATGTTGAGTCCAGCGGCTGTGGAATATGAGATCAGTTTTATTGTTTCCTGCTGTGGTTATGCAAATAGAGGCGAGGCTTACCGACAGCAACAGCGGCATCCTGGACAAGAGTATCAAGTCAGTATTTTTGGATGCGACACTTAGAATTGAACAGGATGCATACCGCTGCGTTTCCACCCTGGCTCAGGATCTTATGACCCGCAGCAGCGGCTAGTGGTTGGGTGCATGATACGATGCCCTTGGTGCTATGGACGGTACTCCGTCGACTGGCAAATGGGACATAGTCCGCATTGGAGCGGGCGTATACGGCTTTGGCGTTGAGCGGCATGGCTTTGGATGGAGAAGTGGGAGAGCGGGGGGATATGAGGGGTGACTGGGGATATCAAAGGCTTATCTACCCCCACTAACTTCTCCATGGATGAAAGGAAAGAAGGTTCCTCGGTAACTCAGACGGTAACTTTGATTGGAGAAAGTTCAATTAACCCGTGGATGACTCCAACTTTGTACAACATAATTACCTAAATAAATACCCGGACATCCTCCGTTTGGGGTCCACTATATACTTCGCATGTGTTATAGAACTCCATTCCTGGACTCTTTGATGTGATAGGAACAGTATAGACCAAAATGAAAGGGCCTCGAGAATCCACAGCTGTAGAGGTATAAAAGGGCGTCTCTTGCCTGATTAGGAAACAAAGGACTTAGTTATGTACCTGCAGGGCTATATCTCGGAGTTGAGCATGGCCCTCCCCGGTGTTCTGGCCGAGGTTAGCTAAGGGAGTATGACGTATCTCGTTTTATCATTGCTTTTATCCACGTACATTAACACCAATCTTCATTTCTGAAACAGACAAGTCCAACAGCTGTTTAATAGCCCTGGACCCCAGAGAAAGATCACGTAACTCACCGCCCCGGTATTCGGAGCGGCAATTAACCCCTCCGCCATCATCCCACCCCGAACCATTTAACTTCCTTAGGCTGATGAACGGGGCACTATAAAGACCCCCCCGATCTTATCTGATGAAACTGATCTTGAGAAAGGCCTCTGATGGAGCAGCATGGTGGTGTTTGTCGACCTCGACGATGCATTTGCTGACGGATCGGCACACTTGGAGAAGCCATTCCCTTTGATGGACCCCATCGCGTCGGACCCGGCCGAATTACCCACATCACCTTCTTCGCCGAATAAAACGACCGATGAGATCGTAAACCCCAATCGGAATGGATTCTCAGCGGCTTTGAGCTGTTATCCGTATGTATTTGATTGTCAACAGCCGGCGAATAAGATTCAGATCCAGCTAACACATTCACCCATAGCATCGTCAAAGAAATCGCTCGCGCCATCGACCTGAATACCCTCTATGCCCTATCGAGCACATGTCGCCAGTTCCACGTGAACTTGGCACCGTTCCGCCACCAAATAGTGAGAGAGACTCTCCGATGCGAGAACGAATACATCGAAACCCTGAGCAGAGATGCTAGACAGCGGCTCTGTCCTCCCAGACAGCGTCAAATCAGTCATACGACTCCTAAGCCGTCCCAGCGGCGAGCAAACCCGTATGACCCGCGGGAAGGTTAGTAAGTGCGCGCGCGACATGGTGGGCGAATGTCGACGCTGCGCCAAGGTCGTATGCAGAGTAAGCCACATCCACTCTTAGCAAAGACTACCAAGTCGCTAAACCCAGCTTCTTGCAGAACTGCACAATCAAACCCCCTTCCCAACCAGCTCTGAAAAACCGCATCCGCCGTCTCTGCCGGCCCTGCGGCAAAGCGCCACTCTCTTCCCACCTCTCCTACACAACCTCAGACCCGCACGCCCCCGACCGGTGGGACGAGAATAGCGTCGCGGCTGTTGCGTTCGCGCGCAGCCCCTGTAATTGCGAGGAAGCCGTCTGGCTGTGCACGCAGTGTGGAATGGCTCTGCGCAGTAATGATACGACATACCGTCGTGTCTGGACATGGCGCACGCGCTACAGCACGTACCTCGGCGGCGGGCTAGGTACTGGCATTGGTGAAGGCTGCCAGGGCGTTAAGTGCGGGCGTGGCGAGAGCTGTCTTGCTGCGCAGGAGATTGAGCTTGAGGTTGACTGTGAGGCTGATGAGGGGTCTGGGTCTGGGAGTGATACAAGCCGCACTGCAAGTCCAGCTCCTCCGTCGTTTGGTCACGAGGGGGCAGGTGTCCCGACAGATAGCCATGATGATGAGGAGCCTGGGTATTTTAGGCAGGAAGTTATTGGGTTGGGTGGTGTTGTTAAGCACAAGTCTAAGAAGAGGGTTAATGTTGGTGCTTGTGTTGTTGAGTATGAGGATGAGAGGGAGACGGGGAATTATCTTGAGAGAGAGGAGAAAGGTTTGTATCGTGGTTGGTGTGGGTGGTGTTCTAGAGTGATTCCGGCGAAGAGCGAGCAGACTTGATTTATTCTGCTTATTTGGGCTGTCTGGCTTAGGGTTTTGCATGTTGCATTTGGTGATCGGGCGATTTTTCTACTTTCCACGAGTGCTGGCGAAGATACCGACTTTGCATTAAATAACATACAACATGAAATATGACACGAATGATGGGATTGATGCCGGGGAGTCAAAGACAGATACTACGGTGGCTTTGAGATAGCCTCAAATAAGCTATAAGAGATCTGCGAATCATGACGATCTCCCAAATCAAAACCCTTGTCAAGTTGATGCATATTGAATCAGATCTGGCTAAAAAAAAAACAATTCAAGTACTCCTGCAATGATTCGCTCCCCAATGCAAGCACAAATTCATCAAGCATACACTGTCACATATAGATCATTCTGTCCAACCACAAACCCCCCTGGTTAAAGTAAAAGACAAGGTCGAAATGAAAGCAAATCAAAAATGTAGATAGACAATATCTGTGGTCTCAATGGGCAGCAATCGCTCTCCAGAGACCCTTCAGCTTCGACTCCTCTCGGGGAGGAGATTCCTCGCGTCTGTGGCGACGATGATGGCGCGCCTCTCTTGTCTCCCTGGAACGCCGGGAGGAGCCCTCAGGCCTCTTCTCCCTCTCCCTCTCCATATCTCCCTCTATTTCCCGTTCACGTTCGTGCTCACGCACACGCTCCCTCTCCCTCTCCTTTTCCTTCTCCCTTTCCCTCGCCCTCTCTCTCTCCTTTCTCTCCTCCCTGGATTGACCATGCTCAGCCGTCGACGAGCGTCGCAATCTTCTACTCTCAGTGCGCTCAACACGCTCAGTGCGCTCAACACGCTCACTGCGCTCAGCACGCTCAGCACGCTCAATGCGACGAGGCTCCTCTTCGCGTCGTGACCGTGATCCACTAGACCGACCATTAGACTGTCGCTCTTCATACTCCGCACGATCGTGACGGCTGCCACTGCTATGACTTGTCGATGACCGGCGTGGTCTTTCAATGGGCGGCGAAGCCTTAGTGGCATTCAGACGCAGCAAAGGCCCATTGGTATCCGATTTGCCTTCTGTCATGTATCGCAGGAAGGCGCGGGGCTTGGGCGTGGGTATCGATGTTGATACCTGCTTCGATGAAGAGGTCCTGGTTGAGCGGGCTCGTTCGAGAGGTTGACTGGAGGGTGTTCCGGAGGTGCGGCGCTTGGATCTGGGTTCGACGACTTCGGCCTCCATTTCTGGTTCCATTGCCCTCTCCTTCTCCCTCACCTTCTCCTTGGACGAGCTCTTCGAGCGCTTCAGTTTCTCGGGGGCAGGAACGCCACTGCGCTCCCGTTCCTCGGCGAGAGCGCGCTGTTTTCGTTCCCATTGGACTTTCTCGTCGCGTTGGCGTCGCGCTTCTTCCATTGCCTTCGCCCAGCGGTTGCTGAGGATGCCTCGCTCGCTCTTCTGGCGCTGGAGTTGATCCCGGCGGCCTTCGGATGATGTCTTGGAGTGTCGACGCTCCCCCTCGATCGGCGAGCTACGCTTTCTGCGGCGTCGGGAGTGGCGGGCTGCGGCTGCTTCTGCGCTTTCGCCCAGAGGCCCAGCGTCGATCATCTCCACCTCAGGCTGGGTGTCTGCTGGGGGTGGTACGAGCTCGTCGGGCGCCACTTCGTCGCTAGCGGGGATGGCGACTGGCTCAGCAGGTGGGTCTTCAGCGGGGAGGGCTCTGGCAGCCTCGGGCTCGGGAGTTGGCTCATCTGGCGGTGTCTCAAGCTTTGCCTCTTCCGGTGTTGGAGTCTCGGCTGGGACTGCAGCTGCATCAACCTCTGGTGTCTCAGCTGGGGCCTCCGGAACTACCGGTTCAGCCGGGGGATTCCTCAGGCGCCGGAGTCTCAGCTGGGACTGCTTCGACAGGAGCTGGCTCTTCGGGCGTTGGCTGGTCAGCAGGTGTTTCCTCTGTAATTTCCTTTGGCGCTTCATCGGGTACGACCTCCGGTTCTGCTATAGCTTCTGTGGGTGTCTCGGCAGCGGGTGCTTCTTCCACCGGGGCAGGAGCAGGTGCCTCAACCGCTGGTTCCGGGGCAGGAGGCTCCTCTACAGGATCTGCGGCAGCGGGGGCTCCTTCAGTCGCTGCTTCCTCTTCAGCGGGAGGTGCCTCGGGAGCTTCAGGAACTGGCTCAATGGCTTCCGCTGCGGGAGCAGCTGGTTCAGCAGCTGGTTCGGGAGCAGGCTCAGGGGCGGGTTCAGCAGCAGGTTCAGGAGCGGGTTCAGCAGCTGGTTCAGGAGCGGGTTCAGCAGCAGGCTCAGGGGCGGGTTCAGCAGCAGGTTCAGGAGCGGGTTCACCAGCTGGTTCAGCAGCAGGTTCAGGAGCGGGTTCACCAGCTGGTTCAGCAGCTGGTTCGGGAGCAGGCTCAGGGGCAGGTTCAGCAGCAGGTTCGGGAGCGGGTTCAGCGGGAGCTTCAGCAGCAGGCTCGGGAGCGGGTTCAGCAGCAGGTTCAGGAGCGGGTTCAGCGGGAGCTTCAGCAGCAGGCTCGGGAGCGGGTTCAGCAGCAGGTTCGGGAGCAGGCTCAGCGGCAGGCTCAGGTTCAGCAGCAGGCTCAGGAGCGGGCTCAGCAGCTGGATCAGGAGTGGGTTCAGCAGCTGGTTCGGGAGCAGGTTCGGCGGCTGGCTCAGCGGAAGCTTCAGCAGTAGGCTCGGGAGTAGGCTCAGCAGCAGGTTCGGGAGTAGGCTCAGCGGGAGCTTCAGCAGCAGGCTCGGGAGCGGGTTCAGCAGCTGGCTCGGGAGCAGGTTCGGCGGCTGGCTCAACGGAAGCTTCAGCAGCAGGTTCGGGAGTAGGCTCAGCAGCAGGTTCGGGGGCAGGCTCGGCTGGAGTGCTTTCTTCGACGGGTGCCTCTTTGGGAGTTTCCTCGACTGGTTCCGGCTCTACAGCTTCCACCTTGTCCTCCGCGGCAGCTTCGGGTTCGGCAGCAGGTGTTTCCTCAACTGGCGTAGCTTCGGGCTCTGGTTGCTTGACAGGTTCTTCGGGGGCCTTTTCTTCTGCTGCAGGTGGAGCAGGCTCAGGTTCTGCTGCTGGTGCCTCTGCTTCCGCTGGTTGTTCGCTTGTTTCAGGTGATGCTTCAGGCTCCGGCGCTGCTTCAGGCTCCGGCGCTGCTTCGGCGGCTGGTTCTGGTGTTGGTTCTGGCACTGGCTCCGCCGCTGTTTCGGCAGGTGGTTCTGGTGCTGGCTCTGGCTCTGGTGCTGGTGCTGGCTCTGGCTCGGCTGCCTTGCCCTTCTTGCCCTTCTTTTCTTCTTGCCCGTTGGCTTTTCCTCCGCTTTTGGCTCCTCCACGGGTGGCTCGGGTGCTGCTGGCTCTTCTGGGGTTGGGGTATCAGGAGGATTATCTGCGGGCTTTTCAGGCTCAGCTTCAGGCTCCGGCGCTGTTTCGGCAGCTGGTTCTGGTGTTGATTCTACTGCTGGTTCTGGTTCGGGCTCCGCCGCTGGTTCCGCCGCTGGTTCTGGCGCCGGCTCCGCCGCTGCTTCGGCAGCTGGTTCGGGCGTTGGCTCTGCTGCTGGCTCGGGCTCTACTGCTGGCTCGGGCTCGACGGCTGGCTCGGGCATTGGCTCTGCTGCCGGCTCTGGCTCTGCTGCTGGCTCTGGTTCGGGCGCTGGTTCTTCGGCTGCCTTGGCGGCCTTGCCCTTCTTACCCTTCTTTTCTTCTTGCTCGCTGGCTTTTCCTCTGGCTTTGGCTCCTCTGCGGGTGGCTCGGGCGCTGCTGGTTCCTCTGCAGGTGCTTCATCGGCCTTCGGTGCATCTTCCCCATTTTCTAGGGCGTCTTCGGCGGCCGCTTTAGCAGCAGCCTCTTTCTCGGCTGCTACTGCCTCAGGATCAACATCTAGATCAAAATCTGGGAAATCTTCATCTACATACTGTCAGCTTCGTAAGATCTAATGTAAGTTTGGCCACTGACCGTTGTTGCCATTATCACCTTTTTTCGTGTCTTCGCCTGCTGGAGCATCTTCTCCACCTTCAGGTTTTGCCTCTTCTTCAGGCTTTGATTCCTCTTTAGGCTCTGCGCTGTCATCGGGCGCCGCACCGTCTTCGGGTTTAGATTCATCTTCAGGCTTTGGGTCGCCTTCGGGTTTTGGATCCTCTTCAGGTTTGGCTTCCTCTCCAGGTTTGGCCTCCTCTTCAGGTTTGGCCTCCTCTTCAGGTTTGGCCTCCCCCTCAGGCTTGGCTTCACCTTCGGGCGCTGCGCCGTCGTCAGGTTTTGCATCCTCCGCAGGTTTCGCGTCCTCTACGGCAGCCTCCTTGGAAGCCTCGTCAGGATTCTCTGCATCTGGCGCTGGCTCATCCTTGCCCTCTTCCTTAGCCTCTGGGGCAGCCTCCGCAGTATCTGAGCATTGTATGTTAATATCAAGTACAAAACTTAGAACATGGATTCCTCGATGATAAACCCCATCATCTTTAGAAACATGCACTTACCTGTAGGTTCAGCGGGTGGGCTGTCATCACCACTTGGCTCAGCGGCAGGGGGATCTTCAGAGGTAGGGTCCTTCTCCGGTTCGTCGGCGGTGGGCTCCTTGTTGTCCTGGTTTTGGCCCTCGGTCAGATCGGTCGTTGAATAGGTGACAGGGTAGAATTGGAAAGATTTAGTCTCATAGTCAAAGGTCGAATATTGACGTTGGACCGATGCATATGAGAACTGAGGGAGGTCGGCATACTTGTAAGACATCCTCAACAGCGGCTGCCGCCGGGTCTGGGGCAGGGTCGACGAGGTCTTTGTTCTCTGGTTCAGGGGGTGGTGCAGAACCGACGGGAGGGCGATTGTTGTTTTTATTGTTCTTCTTATTCTTATTCTTCTTACCGGCCATTATCCCCGGTCAATGACGTATCATATATCGAAAGCCTGGGCGAGGCTGACTGGCGCGTGATGTGACGAGAACCGGCTCAATGGGAAATTGACAAGCCGGCTTGTCGGGTACGATGCACGGAAAAGTATGGGGCGACAAGGGAAATCGAAGAACAAAAGATACAAAAGATGGACAATTGAGAAGTGTGAAACTGGGTAGGGTACCTCATGTATTAGAGTACTAAAAGGGAAAGGAAGGATATGCTTGTTTCTCTGGTGACACAGAGGTCGCATTGGACAGTCATGGTGAGGCAGCGTATAATAGTTCGTCTTCAATGCGGTCGGATGGGACGACAACAAAGTGCATTACGGTCTTGGGCCCTTGAACGTCACCAATGAACTGCCCGATGGAGTCAATTGTCATTGGGCCACGTCGGTCGTCGGGTCTCCATTTCCAGGGCCGACATGATGGTTAGTGAGGTCCGGTGCTTGGTTAGGGCCGGGTGGGAGCAGTACGATCCCCACCCGCAGGAATTGGTGCAGCACCAAGCAGTAAATGGCGATACGGGATTGGGGATCGGAGGGCACATCGGTCAAGATAGGAAAGGTTGTGCTGCAGGAGCATGGAGAAACTGGGTCTGTAGAAGTGGGGCGGATGCCACCGAGTGAATTGAATTGAATTGACTTGTTTTTTTCCGTCTTGTTTTTGTTTTGTTTTTGGGCCTGGATACTACACATAGACACATATTGAGATGATAATAGGAACTGAATTGGGCGAAGGAACTTTCGCAGATGTACACAAAGCCACGAAGGCAATGTTTCGGTAAGGAAATCGATGGGCGACGCAGTGATGCAGACCCATTTCTGCCCAACGTGTCCCGGTAACGGCGGCAAATAGGATGCAGGCGTACGAAATACACCGGTGGAGAGAGACCAGGGCAATTAACCTCGAAAGGGATCCGGTATTAGGGGGGGCAAATATTGGGAATGGGACTTCCAGCAAAATTCTGCCTTATTCATAGAATCAAACTGGAAAAGCGAAACGGGGTGGTTGGGGATGAAGTTGTTATGGAGCTGATGGAGTCGTGGATAGTGGGATCTCCACTCTCGACACCGACACTTCAGAGTGTTGTCCGAGGACATTATTCTTGTGACACTCGACTGTAAGGGAGTCAGCAGTCGAAATGGTGATGTAATATGCAGTTAGACATCGTGGACTGCATCAATAAGACATCAATGTCTGAAGTAAAAGAAAAAGTGGCGGAACACAGAGTTTCTCGGGGTCAGGTGATATCGCGCATTGGACTTGGACGTCAAACTCTCCCTCTCTGCCAACTTCGATATTCTCACATTCCAATTCCGCCTATAACGGAGTACGGAGTACAGCCGATCATATGCGATCTTCGCGTCAATACCAGCCACTCCTAAACCAACACGTCCGCCAATTCCTGCATCCAACTTGGTCCGCGCGCCGAGTACACTAACAGACCCCACGGCTATCTGATTGATTTGTCGTCTTACAACAGCTTCGTCACTGGGGATCCTCTTCTTTCAAAATGGCATATGTGTTCAATTCGACCTAATGTACCTAAGGGTATAGATAAGTACAAAAGCCAACACTCGAGTCTAAAAAGAGCTGCATGCATGCCCAGGCCACTTTTCTCTTTTCTAGCGCGTCATCTCGGCGCTGATTTTTCGTGCCATTCCCCGATATGTTGTACTTCCTGATACAAGTCCTCAGCCAAATTGCCAGATGGAGTTATCTATGTATGTACCCAACTCCATGCAGCGGGCCGAGCATCCATGCCGTGTTGCGTGTGGTTAGCAAATTGTCCCCGAGGTGAACCCATCGGATTTTGTAAATATAATTGGTTGCTTTGTTTCTATTCTCAGAATTGGGCCAGGATTCTTCTTGCGTGGTCTTTTCTGGTCTGTTCTGAATACGTTGGACTGCGTTGGACTCCTGGACTCTTGGACTCTGTGTACGGGGTAGATGGGCATAAAAGTAGCTCTTTTTTTGGGCAAGATGTTCCTTTGTCACTTATGCACTTGTAAGGAGTATGCCGATTGGAGAGGAGAGGTCCAAAGGTTAATAGACTTTCATCCGATGTCTGATATTTGAGATTGCAACTAGCGAATGGATAGGTCGTTTGCAGTATAGTTTGGTAGGGATGTTGCCGGCATCGGATCTGCTAGAGAGTAACCCGTGCGAGAAAAAGTAAAGAAAACATTGGCATCGGGGAGATTGTTTGGTCGCAATGGAGGGGTATTCGCGATATCGTTTGAAAAAGCACTCCGTGCCCAAGTGGTAGACCCTGGTAACTCCAGCACATAAACCCCTCTACTCCGTTATCCCGCCGGCGATATCCCCTTCCCCTCATGGCGGATGCATCGAATGTTCGCTAGAAGTGCTGGCTAGTCAAGAACATGGCGTGATGAAGCTCTGATTGGCTGCCTCACTTTCTTTCATGCAGGTGGGTTTTACGTGCAGTATTACTCAGATCTATATCGCTTTTCTATACTCCGTACTCCGTACCAAGTAAAGACTGAAGCACACCTATGGATGTAGGTAAAGAGAAACATCGCTAGCCTCATCGCATGCAATCAATTGCACCTGCTAATCGAAGGACCTGCCCTCTCGACAAGAATATGCTATCATTGAACGACTAATTCTTGGGATAGTGTAACTAGGCCGAGATATGCGCAATAACACAAGTACGGGAGATTATACGTAGCAGCTTGGCATTTGCAATTACCGAGAAACAGGTTGAATGGTCCTAGGGGAAGCGTAATTCTCAAATTCGGGGTGAGGGGTCCCATGAGATAGAAACTTTGCGTTATTGATTAATACCTCGATACCAGGGGGGGCTATACATAGAAAAGCCTTCGTATACATTCAAAAGACACTAGAAAAAGCAGCCTAAAAGCATCGGTCCACGGGCTTGCTCTTACATATAGCGTCCCTCTTTTAGGATTACCAATAGGTCAGCCTATCAAGGTCTTACGTCGCCAAGGACAGAGGCAACATAATCGACTCCGGTTGGGGATACATAGATAAGAAGAGCACAAAAGGACCGGAGAGCGGCTTAATATAGATGAAGAGATAGAGTAAGGTATGGATATTTTGTTTTGGTGAGAAGTATGTGCAAAACAGAGACAGGTAGTTACATGTACCGACACCAATTGTGTACATGTTGGTACGCCAGGCCCTTACCACCCTTTAAAATTAATATAAGAATATGCTCAAACGCTAGAGATAAAATGCAACCTAGTAATACGAAGCAAAAGCAACTCATGCCCGCATTTCTGCATCCAAAGTCTTTCTCCACTTGGGGCCGTTGACTCTCATCAGGAAGATGACGGAGCTACTTGCGAAACTGACAAGGCCGAGGATGGTGAAGAGCCACCCATTGCCGATACCGTTGATTATCGGGGCAGTGACGACGGAACCGACGCAGGAGAAGATGTTTCGCATGAAGTTGTTGAGCGCTACGCCCTCCGAGGACTTTTTCGGCATGAATTCCGTGAGCATGGTGGTTACCATACTGAAAATGAGCATAGAGCCCATACCAAAGAAAAAGTTGGCAATCATCTATCAGATCGGAGTTAGCGAGTTCCCATTGTACTGATTTGCCTTGGGGGCCTGGGCTGAGACATACTGGGACAAGCCAGAACACTCCCTTCTCCGCCGTCCAACCATACCATATCAGGGCGGCGGGATACAGGAAGGCTCCGAGCCATGCATTCTCACGCATTCGGTCTTCGGGGCGTAATTCCAGTCTGCCTTTCTCGTCGTACCGATTTGCTTTCTTTGCCTCCCGTTGCATGATGCTGTCCATCCATTTGCCTCCAAATATACTGGTCACCATGTAGCCCAGCGAGTTTGGAATGTACAATAAACCAACGATGATGGTGGAGAAGTTGTATGGTGCCTCTGCGAAGGTATGCTCAACACTGATATTCAGAACATAGAGGGAACCGAAGGCGACACTAGCGTAATACACACTGAGAAGGACGGGGAGGAACCGGAGGTAGAGAATGATTTTGAGCGGATCAATGAAGATCATTTTCATCGTCTTGAGCCACCTTGCAGTGGACCGAACAACCTGCTGCGACGAGACTCGACTCAGAGGGCGGCTGATGGCTGGATCTTCGTCCTCAAGTTCAGCCAGCACAGGCTTTTGCACAGTCAACGTCTCGGGAAGGGCGAATAAGATAAAGATGAGAGTGACAGCACCAAATGCCGAGAGGAACCACATGGTGCTCCGCCATCCCCAACGTTGAGCTAGGACACCGCCGACAATGGGTGCAAACAAGGGTCCACACAACGGACCTAGATAGAAGATTCCCATGGCCCGTCCTCGCTCCCTGGGTTCCCAGAGATCGGCGATGGTGCCAGCACCAACCGCCTGGACAGAAGCAGAGGCGCCACCACTCAACATTCGCATTACGACCAGCATTGCGATAGAATTTGAGATGGCACAAAGGCAGTTGAAGACCACGAAGAGAGCAAAAGAAGTTAGATAGATGGTCCGTCGCCCAAGTCGCTCGCTGAATGATGACCACCACAATGGGAATATCGACATAGCTAGCATATACAACGCGATCGACAGATTAGTGATGGTGGTTGTCGTATTCAACTCCTTGGTTACTTGTGATAGTGAAGCTGATAGAAGATTGATCAGATTAGATATGATCAGACGAACAATTTGTGATTGGAGACTCACGAAGAAAGATCGCGCTGCCCATTGGTGCTGTGGCTCCGGCAAGGGCGACGACAAATGTGATGAACCATTTCATTCTGCGAGTATATGTCTTCGGATTTTCAACCTCTGCTACCAATGCCAACTGCCCGAACAAGCCTCGGCGCTTGAGTCGGGCGA